AATCTAAAAACATAAATCTACACACTACAGAGGCACAAGTAAAGGACTAATTATTTTTTTATTAATTTATATTCTCAATTTTTTTTAAAGTGCAACCTAATTACGCCATTCGACTAGAACTAGGATAGGCTATGTTATGTAAAAACCAGGCAACAAATATTTGGATGCACAATCCAAAACACCCAGACACGAGCCAATTCTGGAGAATAATTTCATAAATCGATCCGACCGGGAATCGAACCTAAGTCCTCATTTACAACATGCACACCATTGTATTGTACGTATCGAAAAATATACCTTGCCTTTCCCACTTTACTTTTTACTACACCATTTATTCTAAGTCATTTTAACTTTTTTTTATTTTACAATTATTAATTCAATTAAATTTCAACCCCCACAGAGACATGTCGTGCAGTACACTTTAAAACAATGTTATTAACTGACATTGGTATTCAATAAAGTCGTAAGTAATCTGAATTATCCAACCTTTTAAACGAGATTGACCCACATTTTGACCTTTTGTACCACACCCAAACCAATCAATTGAAATAGAAGTACCTACCAAATGTAACGCAAGCACACAAAAATTTTATCTAATATTATTTCGCAACAGATCCGTTATTTCTCGTAAATTGATTTAGATCTCTTCCATAAAGACTGGAATTTAATCGTAAAAATGTATACTTACCTAAACGAGGGTTTTAGAAAAGCAATTTCAAAAATAAACTCCAATGAATTTATTGTCTAAATTGAGATATTAGGTATTCAGTTTTATACATGTTACATACGTGCTCACAATTGTAATAAGTATCTGAAATATATACTTGTAAATAATATTATACTCATATATAGCCCTAATAGATTGATATTATAATATAAATATATATCAATCATACTCGTAATATAGAGCATTGGCAGGAGTTTGTTATTAATAGACGCCAGCCTCTATTGCTGGGGAAAAAGCGATTGTTAGTAATAACTCCATTACTAGCAACTCCATTACTTACTACTAATAGGGTTGCTAATCTCCAGTATACCCTATCAGGCCGACCTCCACGCGATTCCCCCTGGAAACCATCATGGTTAATTCTTGATGAATTTGTCCCAAAAATCCAACTAGCCTGCTTCATCTTCACCTATCATCCTTCAATGGTGCTTCAAGATATAACAATAATGCAGGCGGCGCTACCATAACATTTTCACCCATAAAAAATAGGGAGGAAAGAGGTTGTTAGTAATGGATACTGAGAATCCTATTGCTAGCAATATATTCAACCAAATCGACCTCCTCGCGGTTCTCCCTGGAAACTATCATGATTAATTCCTGATGAATTCATCATGATGAGCTAACTGGCCTGTTTTCATTCTCATCTATCACCCTTCACTGATGCTCCGCCAGCGGATCCCGTTAGCGCAGGCTACCATACCATATTCACCCATCAAAAAAAAAATTACTAACCATATAGGTTCAGTTCCTGGTTCACGGATGTCTGGGAGGATCTGTAAAAATCATTATGGTTTATTCCTAGAGAATTTGCCACAATAAAGCAGCTGATCCAATTAAATTTTCATTTTCAAATACCATTGTAAACCATTAACCTCCCAGTATACCATTTTCATCTATTAAAAAAATACAATTATGTACCTAGGTATATTACATATAAGAACATAATTTTAAACGCGATAATTTTCTACCCAATAGCCTGTCACCATTTAATACGTATAGCGAATACAGGACCATCATACAAAACCATTTGTAGATCAGTGTTAAGGAATATGACATTTATACCTAGCAATAAATACATATTGAAGCCTAAATTCTTAATTCTATTCACCGGAGGGAGTCTTTGTGCAAAAGTCATTTGCTTGGGCACCTCTGTCCCATTCGTGTTTCTACCGTGAAGCTGTTGTATTTGCATGGCTGTGTTTCAATTGGAAAGGTGGGATATGGCAGTGAATTTACAGAGTACAGAAGAATAACACCTGAGTCCTTAGAAATGAGAATGCATGAGATATCATGGGCGAAAGAGTATACTCTGTTATGTCCATGGTTACTGCTCATGTTTATAGGCGAGGGTTACCACTTTCCATCAGGTGGGCCGTCAGCTAGTTTGCCATTGTAAATTGCATAAAAAAATCAATTTTAAATATGGAAACCTTAAATTTCTTGTTAAAATAGTTCAGTTTTAATACGCCGTAACAAGAAATTATACGTAGTCTGGACTAAAATACGATTAATTGCTGATTAATACAAATAACTCTTGTTTTGTTAGTATCACATCTGTGCGATTGTAAATCTATTTGACGTTATGGTAATATCAAAGGATTTAGAATCAAACATAACTAAGTTTCAATTAAATTTCAAATAACTTTGTATCTAATATTAGACTTACTGTGCACTAGTACTTAATGCCCACCTACATCTATGCTAATATTATAAAGAGGGAAAATTTAATTGTTTGTTTGTAATAGATAAACTCCAAAACTACTTAACGGATTTTTAAAACATTTTTCACCTATAGAAAGCTACAACGAGTAACTTATCGACTCGCTAGTACTATACACTGATAATAGTATACTTATTATAGTACTGGCAACTCCGCCCGGCTTTGCATGGGTAGATTAATTTTTTGAAAATAATAGCTATATAGGCTAAGCCCCTTATTCTGGGGGGAAAGGGATTGTTAGTAAAGGAGACTGAGAATCCCATTGCTAGCATTATACCCAAACAGGTCGCCCTCCTCGCGGTTCCCCCTGGAAACTATCATGGTTAATTCCTGATGAATTCATCATGATAAACTAACTGGCCTGTTTTCATTCTCATCGATCACCCTTCACTGGTGCTCCGCCAAAGTATCCCGTTAGCGCAGCCGGAGTTAACATACCATTTTCACCTATCAAAAAAAAACCCCTTATTCTCGCGCGCGGGCAGAGGGCGCGAAGGGATTGTAAGTAATGAGGATCTGACAACCCCATTACTAGCAATATGTCGGGTCAATGTCAGGTCAACCTCCACGTGGTTCCCTCTGGAAACCATCTTGGTTAATTGTAGTTGAATTCGTCAGGATGGGCTAACTGACCCGCTTCATCTTCATATTATCTCCCACTGGTGGCCCGTCAGCATATAGCGGTAGCGCAGACGGTGTTACCATTCTATTATCACCCATTGAAAAAAACACTACGTTGCTTTACTATTTTATTACTTTCTTTAAAATTAGAAATCTAACACAAAAGAAAGACAAAACAGTTCAATAGCCTAAAATAGCTTTATGAGAGATTTCACGTTTTTACGAATAAAAGGGTGTAGGTCTTCACTCTTCATATATGAATATATATATATATATATATATATATAATACACTGGTAGATTAAATCTTACTGTTCTTATATTTATAGGCAACCACAGCATGCCTTGTGTTTGACAAACATTAAAATGTAATTAAATTATTAAATGTCATACAAATAATACAAATAAATACAAGTAAAAATATTAACAATATGAATAATAACATAATATAAATAATGGAAATTGTATTTAAATTATTTTAAATTATAAATAAATATAATGCAATGGCGAGGTACATCAACATATATATATATATATATATATATATATATATATATATAAATCAACTGATAGGTGTTGACAATTATCTTTTATGATGTTTCCTTTTAAAATTACAATTCTGCCTTAAAATTTTATCTATCTTGTTGTCAGCCTTATTTATATGTAAGTTACTTGTCTCAATATATTATAATATAATAAAATTATATTTAATACTCTAAGTTAGTATTATATATAGATAATATAAAAAGTGTGACAGCAATACAAGAATAGAAATACATATGTACAGACTTGCTAGTAAAAAATAAATATTTTTTTGTATTTGAAGATTATTTTAGATAAGAGCCAAAAGTAGATTTTTTTAAGTATGCCGTATTTTTATAGATATTTAGTAATTATACTTCAAATGGTTCAAAACGCTTAGCACATTAAAATTATCATCAATTTTATTTTTCAAATATAAATATAATGAATATTTAGAAGAAAATACAATGGAATTACTTCATTTACATAAAGAAATATGTTATCGATTAATAAAAATATTTGATCAGTCTATACCTACAAAATAATTAACAAGCAATCAAAACGTATTTACATTTTGATTGCTCGTACGTATCTAAATAACATTATCGTTACCTAACATTCTTGCCAACATTATCATTGCATCCATCTTTAAAATCATTCATTCAAAATAAACTAATATAATAATCAACCTTATTGCGATTTGCATAGGGATTAATTTTCTATAGAATATGGAAACATTTCAATAAGAACAATTTCGTTCATTTGCTGCAGTGTTGCCAAGATAGCGTTTTAAAGTCTTTTAGCTATTTTTCTTCTCATTCAGCATATATTACTTGGTTATACAGTTGAAACTCTAGAAAACCAATACATTTTACTATTAGACAATAACACAAACTCAAAAATATTATACAGAGAAATCCTAAATAATTAACATACTTACCCAATACATATTGTGTTATTATTATTATTGAGTGAAATAAATTCTATTATTAAAAATAATAAGATTTATTTCACTTAACACTAAAACCCATACATAATAATTTCATCACAAGTAAAAATATTTGACGCGTAGTAAAATGACCGTTGTGTAAATCGCAATACTCGGCATGCTTATATTTCTCTAAGCATATAATATTTGAACATGACAAAACGAGTCTCTTACTGTCACTCGTATTAATTTTATGTATTAAGAGTATTTTTAATCACTGGAGAGTAAGGTGAAACTTAAAATCCATATATAAAATTTGAATTAGCCAGTATCGGCATGACTGTCTCTTATACATTATATTAGGTAACATCAATATTTAATATAATATAATTTATCAGTTATGCCAAATATTAAACTTTTAGGACATGTAATTAAGTCGATTTTATTAAATTCGAATTAGCCCGAAAACCAGTGATTGAATTGTCGACACTGTCTTCGATGACATCATCCAATCAAATTCAATCTATATTTTCTTTCCTACCTTTTATGTTTTGGGTTGAAGATTCTCAGTGAATTAGTATTTTGTTTTTCCAAACTTTAAAATTGTTTTGTCTATCACCATTACGCCTGTGGTCCATAACAGGTAACTGTCTTGCCTACCTATTCTTAATTCTTGATTAAGTTTAATATTTTTTTATTTTACGTACCTATAGTTTTTTACTGAATTCGAATTCAAACCCAAAAAAAAAGAATTCGAAACCTACCTTTTTTCTTATTTCCATTTCAACTAATTATTTCCATTTCATTTAATTATATTAACTCTTTATTATAAGAAACTAATAACCCCTTCGTCTTAATGCCGGCGGTAAATGTATTTTTAGAAATTTTAGCAATGTACTTTGATGCAGTGAATCGTTGTTTTATTTTCGGTTCGAACTATTTCCAACCAACTTCAAAAAGAAGGAGGTACTCAATTCGACTCTATTTTTTTGTATGCATTTATGTTACGCTGTACCTGTTATCGCAAATAATCAACCGGCTTTATTTATTAATATTTTATTCAAAAAGATTTATTCCTACGTTGATACTTGGATTGAAGTTAATTTTTAGGGGTCCGTACCTTAAAAGGAACAGCGGAATCCTAATAGGATTTTTTTTCGTCTATCTGTCACGACCCTTTTTCTAAGGAACCGATGGAGGTATTAAACTGAAGTTAATATCAAATACTCAAGTCTGAAGACTCAGGACAGTTTCTTATGGCAATCTATGGGGGAGGCCTATGCTCAGCAATGAACACTTAGCGACTGATATGATGATCATGATGATATCTCAAGGCTTCAATCTCTTGAAAAATCTATCAAAAAATCAAACAGTAAACGTAATCAGAAATTGTGGTCCTTTGTAGGATATATTTTGACTTCGCTTGCATATGCAAGGTACTCGAAACTAGAGGGTACTTCCCGTAGATTTAGAATCATGAAATTTGCGAAAATAGATGACCTACAGTACATGTAAAAAATCAAAAGCGTTAATTTACATCACAAAAAAAAATTGTGCTAATATTTTTTCGATTATCATTTATATGGAACAATTTCTGCACAAGTCCAGCATGCGCTATATCACTTTTTTCTGGATTTTATTTGGAAGAATAGTTATAATTTACAACAAAATTACAACCGCTGCTTTAATACCCACCTAAATTAAATTATTTTACTCGCACTTCCAGTATAACGCGTAATTTCTATTCATTAAAACTAATCAAATCCCATGTTGTCATTTAAACGTACATATTAAAAAATATTATTAATTTTTTACTTACCTATCCGTTAGGTGTGGAATACTGTACAAACTAAAATTACTTATTTTCATAGTTCTTTCATTACAATCCCCTACCAGACAAATTCCAGAAAGATTATCTTGTTACTTTTAAACTTTTGCATGTAGTGGGTTAACATTAGATATGATAAATTCTAAAAATCAATTCTCTATCGTAATCTAAGTCTCTATCTCTAAAATAATTTATAGCTTTATATTACACCTAAATTACTATTCTAATAATATAATCAAATACTTAAACCAAAAGTATAACAGAATTTGAACACAACTTCATCACATTTAATTTTCGATGATTTATTCAATGTAACATCTATAATATAACACAAATAATAACTTATATGTTACATATTTATAATAAAACACTCTCATCTTTCTATTACAGTTTATCACCATGGGTACTGATTCAATAAAATATACACTGGGAAAGAAACACAAGATTTACAATGAATTAATGAAGAAGAGTATAGAAGATGATCAAATAATCACTTCTATTGAAATTAAAGGAGCCGATATAGAAAAATTAATGGAAATAGACCTAGCATGTCATAAAAGAGATATTATTTATGTACAAAATATACTCATGGGAGCAGACATGTTATATGTATCTAGAGTTCTAAAAAAAAGTGATTGGCTACTCAATGCCGAATATGCTCATATTATAGAGCCAGAATATCTACGTGCACAAATATTTCCGAAAATGACCATAAAAGCAAAGAATAAACTAATGAAATACATAAGAAATAACCTGAAAGATGAAGTTCGCGTAGAATCTTTCTTCAACGATGAAAAAGACATTAAAAAAGCATTGAAGTGGTTACCTAATTGTTCATTACCATTCATTAAAGAAAAAGTTAAAAAACATTTTGAAGAATTAAATTCAAAGTTATTTAAACGTCTATGTGAAAAATCTGTTGAAGTTCTTGAAATTGGATTTAGTAATTATGGAATTAGTAGTTATAAACGAGATAAACTACAATGTGCGATGCTCTTTTCTATTATTGATGTGAATAAATACTTAGATATAGTAGAAAAGTCAGAATATTACAATTGCCCTAAATTCAATCACAGAATGACAAACATAATCATGCAACATTGCTCTGAAAGGATTATAAAAAATTTTGAAAAATATGCTACCAATATACATCTTGCTACATTTGTAAAATATTTGAAAAAAGAAAATATAAAAGATTTCTTATATACACAGGCAATAAAACTTCCAAAAATATCAAGTTTCCGACTATCACCCATTTTTCAATTTCATTCCTTAAAAATATTTATTAAAGCAATGCCATTTAAAGACCGTTTTAACTTTGTAAATGCCATTTTTATAGATAAGGTACACGTTAATAAAAAAGAACAAAGTTTATACGATGAATCAGAGTTATATAAAATGAGCCAATTATATAAAGTTTCTAAATATAAAAATGATTATGTCTGGTATCAATTCGCGCCATTTGATAAAGCTTTTACAGAATTAACAAAATTAATACGATCCGAATCATCTCACAATGAAAAACAATCAATGCTAGAAGTATTGATATTATGTGTTGGTAATAATGCACATCATCTGCAAGTCTTGTTACAATATTACTGTGATAAACACAACGGTAACAAAATTGAACATCAAATTAATTTTGTTAAAAAATTACTTTCTAGAACTATGATTCAGAATTATAACAAGAACACGTGGAATTTGCTTGATATTATATTTAAAAATATGGACATTTATGTCGAGACAGAAGTTGAATATGAAAATATACAAGAATGCATCGAAGCAATTATTGTTCATAAAATACTTACAGATGAACAAGTACCAGAAATAATAGAGAAACAATTTAAATTTAACACACTAAAGAAATACGGTGATAAACTAAAAAGTACCGATAAAGATAAAATTTTTAATTATTTATACAATTTTATTATTCCAAAAGTAAGTAAATCAAATGTAACCAGTAAAATTGATATTGAAGAATGCCTTAATTTAATATCTAACATTCTAGATATTTTAAAAGACTGGGATAAAAATATTGCTGACTATCCAATTGTACTTGATAAATTAAATGAATTAATCAAATTAAATGAACAAAATGCATGGAATGTAACACTTTCTCGCTTTTATAATGTAAAAAAATCTTGGAGAAAGTATATGTTTGAACAATCTTTAATCATACATCCATCCGAGGAAGTATGTGTAAATGCATTGAAACATGATCCGGAATTGCTAGTACGATATAAAAATGTAGTGGACACTTTGTCTTGCAATGATAGTATATCACTAAGACAACTACTTAGCAAATTGAGGATATATTGGCCCCAAACATTAGGTAAAAATATAACTAATCAATATTTGAGTCGACTCAATAAACCGAATGGTCACAAAGCACTCGCATGTGGGCTCTGTTCAATTCTACCCCAAGATCAACTTCTTGATATTATAACAAAATACACCCCCGAAAAGTGTAAAATAAACTTAGAAAATATTGATGATAATGTAGTGAACCTTCAAAAATATATTGCTAAAAATATGCACAAAGCTAGACCTCATCCACCGCCAGATTCAATATTGTCATATGCAAAAGGAGATTATCTACAATATGCCATTCCATCTCTTTTAGCTATATTTCATAATTTAAGTCCAATGTCTAGCAAAGAACACATACAAAAGTTAATAAATTCACCTATATCGTTACAAAAGCATGGCATTCGATTTGCCTTCAATAAATTAGAACTAGATGATATTAAAAATATTTTCAGTAATATTTGGAAAACTACTAAAAACGTCACTATACGAGCGATCATTTTCCAATTTACCTACAACTTAATTTGTAAAGAAGAAAATTCAGTCAAAGTTCAAGAATTTTGGGAGTTATTTGAAGTTTTTATAGACAATTTGTCTTATGAGGAAGATAAAAAAATTTACGAGTTGCTGGTAAAAGTAGATAATATTCCGTTAAGCATTAGACCAAAATATTTAATAAAATGTTATAATTTCTTAAAACTTTTAACCGCTCATGTTACCAATGAAAAAGAATCTTACGAATTTATGATTAATAACTTAATTTGTAGCACTCGAAGTATAATGGAGTTCATGTGCCCAGATTTCATAACTAAACGGTTATTAGAATGTTTCGATAATAAAAATTCATCCACTGACATGAATTCTGTATTGTCAGCATTTTTACTAAGCGCTAAAAACGAAGAAACTCAAACAAAACGCTATGAAAATATTTTGTATCCATATATGCAACGTTGTTTTAATACTTGGCAGGAAAATTCTATTAAAAGTGATTTTGAAGCAGTTCTTTCGCAACTGCAGTATGATTTACGTGATTATGTAATACAGAAAAATATGTTTGTCCCTGTAAAATTATTTACAGATATTCAAAAAGAACTAGAAAGTTCATTGTCAAGACCAGAAAACTATTTATTACTTACCAAATGGAAACTAATAGTATCCCTAGTTAGACTGATAAAGGACGTCAAGTCATCTGAATGGAATGAAATATGCTCGGAAATAGCTTCAGAATTAGGAAAAGCATATCTGCAATATTTGAAAGAAGATGTTGAAACTCTCTTTCCGTGCATTTACGTACTCTTCTCTCAGGCAGTTGAAAGTACATTGAATTATTTTAATGACGGTGCTAAATACAATGTTTACACGTGTATGCTTTCAGATCAACATTTTATACAGTCATACCTTACTGTAATGATGCTTTATGATAATTACGATTCAAATAAAACGAAAGAATTGCAAAAAATATTTTCTGAACACCCTTCTTCTGAAGTCAAAATGCATTTTTATTACAAATTGTTCAAGGACAATCAATTCCAAGAGCTATTGGCTTAACTATACGCAAAGGGTTTAGGCTTTGAATATTGAGCGTACAAAAAACTATGTTGAGTCAAGAAATTAAGAACATACTATAACGTATCATTGTAAAATGATAATACTAAGTCTAAAAACTGGATTCCAATTTCAAATATGTATATGTGTTATTACTTGCCCATGAAGAAGTAAAGAAATTATTTTTTGTGGATATGCTTTTCTTATAATAGATAATGAAATTACAGATACTTACCTATTTTTTTTTTCTTTTTTAAAGTAAGCAGCAACTAACAAATATCTAATATTTTTTGTAAACGTTTATAAATGGGAATTGATATTGTAAATACTTCTAAGCAATTCTATTTCTCGTTATTCATTATACATGTAATTATAACACCTATTATAACAAGTTACGTTTAATAAATAGTCGTATTTGTAAAATACATAAAATTTATTTGTTGTAGTTGTAATATATAGCTAATTTATATAGTGTGATATCTATGTAACATAACCAACAATAAATAAATTTATAAAATTGTTCTTCGCATTAATTAACGTCAAAAGGTTTAAGAACGATTAAAAGATTCAGTTCTGGATCATCTTGAATGTAAATATTTCAAATTGACCCAAAGTTAATTTTAGTTTATTATATACCTATAGGTATGTTCTTCTGCTTGCCAAAATTTCACTAAAGACTAAGGGTAACTACTGTAAGGAGTTGTTTAAAAGGCATTTTTTTTTTTGGTTAGCAAAGTGCACTTGACACCCCTGGCTTTATAAGCATTCATACATCAGCTACTGCAATACTTTGCCATCAAACGGGTTGTATATCTGTTTGCCACCTTCGTGATATAAAAAAATTCGTGCGACTTAATTTATGCATCAACCTTATAACATGTGTTAGCTTACTCCTACTTATATATTAGATCCCAACTGTAACTCGACCGCATCATCGTTCGCATAAATTAGAATTAAAGTTCATAATTCATAAAAGATCACCATTCTTCTTATTCCTACCCTTATCCCAATTATAATATGGGGTTGGTAGGTAGTAATATGTTTTTTTATCCATATTGCAAAAAGATTTGACTTGACATTACGACTGGCCGCCTGTCTGAGGTCAATCCTCTTTGGGAATGTATTTGTTGTTAGTTTCGTCCACCTCGGTAAGGATTAAGGAAAAAAGGACGAGGACGTTTGAAATGCTTAAAGTTAATTGATAAATAAGAGGAATAATGGACTTATGTGGAAATGGAAAAGAGGGGACACTGCAGTTGCGGAAAGGACTGGGATACTACAGCGGCTTGGAAGACCGGGGTCGCATACCCATATGCCTTTATTCTAGAATCGGACAGATTTCACAGAGAAGAACACCCCTGACTTTACTCCTACTTATGTATTAAATCTCAACTGTAACTAGCCCGCATCTTCAGTCGCATAAATTAGAATAAAAGTTTAAATGCATAAAAGATCACCATTGTAAACATCATTTCTCACAAAATAATGTCAAAGGTTGACATAACCTGCCCTCCATAGTCGCCATAAGAATTATCCTTGTCAGTGTATGCAGATGCATCCACTAACTAGAACGACTTCTACCTGCTTCACATCATTGAGATCATTATAGGGGAGTATTTAAAATTATTTTTCAGAAATGGTCAGTGGCCTCTTACATAAAACTCTAATATATATTTTTAATCAATACACCTTCAAGGCGTACGAAGTCTCGTTTTTCCTTGTATTTTGTTGTATGGGAATTTACCAACTTTCATTGTTAGAAAGAGATGTAAACACCCATCGCCGATCATTTAATAAAAACCTGTAATGTAATTCTTTCTCTCTTACTCTCGATAGACTTTTTCAAAGAGCGAGCAGAATAACGTTACTTTTATGTTGTAGTAACATACGAGGAAACAAGAAACACGTCACGAATTTGCGATTATGACTTGATTCTGTCACTAACAATGCACTCATTCATTCATGATCAGTTCTAGTGGTTATTCCTGTCATTCTTATTACATTAGTTATATTTTTTTTAGTTTTATTAAAATGTTTTTTAAATAGTCGATTGTTTCACTCCACTTTTTACACAAAGTGTAGAAAGCAAACATTATGTACCTATCTATATTACGATATACGTGTGAATTTATAAATTATTTGTAGTTTATATACATAATTGGATATATCAGGTATGTATTCATTCAATAGAATTAACTATTATAGAATTGAATGTTGTATTTACTATTTACAATTAGACAAACATAAATCTATCTACTATAATTTAACACTGAATTACTAAATCATATGAAATAATATGGTGCAATAACGAACAGTTTATTTCATTCTGATTTATTTAAAGTAGGTACTTATTGTAAGATGAACGTACCTAGTTTAAATATGTATAAAGGAACGCATCTTAATTGACAGATGACATTAGTTAACATGTATGTACTAGCGGATCTTCCGGTTGCTTTCTCACCTTTGTTCATTCTCTTGATGTTAATAAATATGTTTGCAATTAAATAAGTTTTATTTAAATATAACATGGCGCAGTCGTAGCGGTATTCGAAGTAGTAGTCATGGTTGAAGTTGCAATTATCGTATTCAAAGTGTAAACGATATTGTATCAAGTATTAAATATCGTAAAGAAGTTTTTCAGCCAAGCAGACGCCATCATGGAAGGATCGGTTAAATTGCCTCCAAATTTCGACATAAGATCGCCTAATGCAGCCTCAGAGTGGAAGGTATGGATACAGGCATTCGAGGATTATTTAGTGAGCATTGGAAAAGATGACTCGCAGGACAAAGTAAAATTATCACTTTTGCGTAATATGATGGGAATCGAATCTGCAAGATTGCTACATACATTGCCGATTACGGAAACAGAATCGCAAGTCTATGCAAATGTTATAAGAGCTATTAATAATTATGTAAGTCCAAGAGCAAATCAAGTATTTGAAAGATATAAATTTAATGAAAGGAAACAAAAAGAAGGCGAAAGTTTTCATAATTTTCTCACAGATTTAAAACAGCTGCTTGCTAATTGTTCGTATAAAAATGTAGAAGGACAAGAATCATTAGAGGACCAAATATTAAGAGATAAAATAGTGCAAGGCATATACGACAAGTCCTTACAGGAATCTCTACTAAGAATAGACAATTTAACACTTGAGAAGGCAACCAACTTTTGTCGTACAAGTGAAATTAGTAAAAAGCAGGCAAAAGAGATGAATCCAAATATAGAAATAGATATAGTGAAGAAAAGAAATAGTTTAAAACAGAAGGAAAAGGAAGTATATCAAGGAAATAAAGAAGTATATAATGGGAAACAGAAAAATAAAGGAAGGCAGCATGCATATCAAGAAAATAAAACAAAATATATAGAAAAATTTAATTGTAGGCGCTGTAAGAGAAACCACGGTCCGAGGGAGTGTCCAGCCTTTGGGCAGAGATGTCATAAATGTGGATTAAAGAATCACTTTGCAGTTAGTTGTAATGTGAAGAAAAAGGTACAAAATGTAGATTGTAATTCTGACAGTGACTCTAATTCTAAATTGTATTGTTGCAGTATAACGAGAAACAAAGTAAAAGGTAATAAAAAGACACACTGGACAGAGAACATTTTAATTGAGAACAGGTATGTAAACTGTAGATTAGATACCGGGGCAGATGTGAGTATAATGCCATTAAATATATATAAGTCACTAGGAAGTAATATTGAACTTAGGAAATGTAACCAAAGTTTAGAGGCCTTTCAAGGCTCCACAATTAAACCAGTGGGTATGGTAAATTTACACTGTAAATATAAAGCAATCGAATGTTATGAAGATTTCATGGTAGTTGACTGTAAATCAATGTTACTAGGATTACCAGGTTGTATTGCATTGAATTTAGTTAAAAGAATTAATACAGTAAATTTAAATTGTAATGATGAGAAATTTAAGTTTATACAAGAAAATATGGAAATTTTTGAAGGTCATGGAAATTTTCCTAAACCAGTGGATATTCCTACATTACCACATGAGCAAATTTGTCATGCGGCACCTAAGATACCAAATAAATTATATAATCCTTTGAAGTGTGAATTGAATAGGTTAGTTAAGAGGAAAGCTATCACTAAAGTTGAAGAGATAAGTTCAGAAGCATGTATAAATAGGCTAGTTTTAGTAGAAAAACCTAATGGAAATATAAGATTGTGTTTAGATCCCAGTGAGTTAAATAAAAAAATAATTAGAAAACCCCAAGTATTATTAACTGTAGATGAGATAGCATGTAAAGTAAAAGGTAAAAAGTATTTTTCAGTTTTTGATTTATCGGAAGGATTTCATCATGTGACACTAACAGAAAGTGCATCATGGAAATGTTGTTTTGCGACACCTTTTGGAGTGTATAGATACTTAGTTTTACCGTATGGTCTTTCAAATTCACCTGATGTATTTCAAGATCAAATTCAAAATTACTTTGGCGATATACCTAATGTAATAACATGGTTCGATGACTTACTAGTTATGGGAGAAACTGAGGAAGCTCATGATAAAACTGTTAGGGAAGTTATTAAACGTGCAAAACAAATAAAAGCTAAATTTAATAAAGACAAGTTGCAATATAAGTTAAAAGAAATTAAATATATAGGACAAATATTCAGTGAAAAGGGTATGGAAATGGACAAGGATAGAGTCAAATCTTTATTAAGTCTAGAAGCTCCTAGAAATATAGCTGAGTTAAGAAGAATTATAGGGTCATTCAATTATGTTAGAAGATATGTACCAGAAATGGCTGAGCTTATGGCTCCATTATGTCAATTATTGAAAAAAGATGTTTTATTTCAGTGGTTACCAATACATGATAAAAATTTTTCAGAGCTCAAAAAGAAAGTTTCAGAGGCTCCAGCTTTGAGTGCTTTTGATTCTAAAAAGGAAATTATAATGCAGTGTGATGCATCTCAGAATGGAATAGGTAGTTGTTTGTTTCAAAAAGATAACAATAACTGTTTAAGATTAGTAGCTTGTGTATCCAGAACAATGAACAATTGTGAATTAAACTATAGTCAAACGGAAAAGGAATTATTAGCTATTTATTTTGGTACACAAAAATTCCATAAATATATATATGGTGCTAAAAATATTCAGGTACAAACAGATCACAAACCATTGATTTCAATTATTAAAAAGCCTATTACTAAAGTAGGATCTCCAAGGCTTAGACGTTTGTGTCTTAAATTATTAAATTATAGATTAAATCTTAATTATATACCAGGTAAAGACATTCATTTTGCAGACATGTTATCTAGATGTAGTATGAAAACAACAGAGAAGGACTATGAAATGTTAGACATGGTTCATTCAGTTTCATTGCATTTGCCTATGAGTAGTGAAAGAAAGTCTGAGTTCAGATCTGAGACTAGCAAAGATAAAGTGTTATCTGAAATTATAAAATATTATTATCAAGGATGGCCTGAAGAAAATAAATTGTTAAAAGAATGTAAACCATATTTTAAATTTAAAGAGGATATCTATGTAGAATCAGGTTTAGTGTTCTATACTAACAAAATTATTGTTCCTAAATCTTTACAATTATATGTATTAAATTTAGTTCATTCTGGTCACCCAGGCATAAGTAAAAGTATTAAAAAAGCTAGACAGCTATTTTATTGGCCGAAATTGTCTCAGGATATTCAAATCTTTATATCTAAATGTAGAACTTGTGAGAAATTTAAATCTGCAAATACTCATGAACCATTGTTAATGCATAAGATACCTAAATTAAGATTTTCAAAAGTAGGTTCTGATATTATGGAGTATGGAGGGAAATCCTACCTTGTTGTTGTGGATTATCTATCACATTGGTTGGAAATTATACCAATAATAAATAAAAGTTCAAAGTCTGTTATAAATGCTTTTCAGGAAGTATTTACAAGGTTTGGTTACCCTACTGAAATTATAGCAGATAACAATCCATTTAAATCTTATGAATGTATTCAGTATTATAAATCTAAAGATATTTGTATCACTACCAGTAGCCCTCACTATCCTAGAAGTAACGGCATGTCAGAAAAGGCAGTAAATATTGCTAAAAATCTATTAAAGAAAGCGAGGGAGGATAATGTAGATTATAGAGATTTTCTATTAAGTTATAACTGTACACCTTTATCTAGTTTAGAAGTATCACCATCTCAAATATTACAGAGTAGACAGTTGAGAACTTGTGTACCTATTACAGAAAGCATGTTAGAACCTAAAATAGAGAAAAATATTCATAAATTGTTAACTGTGAAACAATCTATAACTAAAAAAATTCATGATAGATTTATAAGGAAGGGTGAAACAAATTTTAAGGAAGGAGAAAATGTAACTTATAGGACAGGTCATGATAGTTATTGGAAAAAAGGAGTAGTTATTAAGAAGTCTAAAGAACCTAGATCATATTGGATCAGTAGGGGAGAAAATTGTAAGCCCTTTAGGCGCACTTCTCATCACATTAAGAGGTCAAACACAAAAACACATAGTTTTAAGAGAGATTTTTTTGATTATTCTTTAAATGACAAAGTTAGTAATAATGTGCCAAATATTGTATCTGAAAATAGTAACCAATCAAATATCCCTCATAAAGCATGTCACACTCGCAGTGGAAGAATTATAAAACCTAAAGATAGACTCAATTTATAATGTAATTTTGTAAAATGTTTTTTTATTTTGTAATTGATTGTAAAAGTTTTGTTTTAAAGTTGAAGGGGGAGGTGTAAGATGAACGTACCTAGTTTAAATATGTATAAAGGAACGCATCTTAATTGACAGATGACATTAGTTAACATGTATGTACTAGCGGATCTTCCGGTTGCTTTCTCACCTTTGTTCATTCTCTTGATGTTAATAAATATGTTTGCAATTAAATAAGTTTTATTTAAATATAACACTTATTTCATCACAACTAATTAGACATGTGACTATAAATTATCTAGTAAATTATTTCTACTTTTATTAAAACCTCTCAAAATATTTTTTCTTAAATATTTATCATTTTAGACATCGTCTAATTACAATTTTATGATCTACTAGCTGACTCGGCAAACGTTATTTTACTATATACATTATTTTTAGAACTATACATGAAAATTTATCGTACTAGAATTATTATATTGGATTGCAGCATATAAAAACCCTATTGCAGCATATAAAAATCGCGATTAAAAAACAGGAGTTGATCGTAATACGGCGAAAAATTTGAGGTTGCATATATTTTTCAATGCTAAATCATAATAAAATAAAAATGGAAAAATTTGTCAAAAAAAGAAAAAAAAATTTTTTTTGGGGAGGGTCACCCTTTTCATTGAGGGGTTTAAAAATAGATGTTGGCCGATTCTCAGACCTACTCAATATGCACACAAAATTTCATAAAAATCGGTAAAGCCGTTTCGGAGGAGTTTGGTAACATACACCGTGACACGAGAACTTTATATATAAGATATTGTATTATTTTAACCTATTATTCCCTATGTATAATCATAAAAAAGAAGCCTTTATACGATATTAAATTATATTTTGCTTTTTGCTTGCTAAGATAATAAAATATAATCTAAGATCGTAAACCCTAAATTTGATTTTTTTCATGATTATACGTAGATAAATAAATGCAATATAAATCATGAAAATCAAATCCTATTTAACACCAACCCTTGACTTTTACCTATACTTAATATCATGTCTTGTTTAATTCCAGTGACTTAAGATGACGTCATTGGAACTACGTGGATATACTCTTGGTGAAAAACATAGACACTATAATGAACATTTGGAAAAGATTACTAAACAAAGCTGTGGTTCTTCACCTCAAAAAATCAACCAGAATGATAGCGATATAGACAATTTGCTAAAAATAGACATAGCCTGCCGAAATAAAGATGTTGATTATGTACTTGATATTTACAAATGCGAAGATATGTTGTATGTATCCAGAGCCATAAAACGAAGTACTTGGCTAATTAAAGACAATCAATATAAAAATATTATTAATCCCGAGTTCTTATACACACAATTATTTCCATATATGACATCCAAAGCAAAATGTAAATTACTGTTGTCTATCAGGCTTAACCTAAGAGAGGAAAGCCGAGTCGAAAATTTTTTTGACTACATTAAAAAAGATAATATGAAAACTGCACTAAAATGGTTACCATATTGCTCTACGGGTTATATAGAAAAAGTAGTTGATGAGCACTACGATATCATCACCCCTTCATTACTTAAACGTCTTTGTGAGAAATCTTTTATATATTTAGATATATTAATATCAAAATTTAATTGGGAAAGAAACCTAGAATATGACTTGGAAACAACAAAATTGCTCATGCATATTGATCCTAAAAAGTTTATAGATATTTTGCTATCCGTAAAACCCTTCTTCATTCCTCAACTTGGAGCAAGAGCCACTAAAACAGCAATGAAATCCTGTCCCGATAAAATATCTGACTCATTCCAGAGATTCTATCCTTATATTCATCTTCCAACATTTATAAAATATTACAACCATGAAAAATTAAAAGATTTTTTTGTAGCACAAATGGAAGATGGACACATTAAAAAGAGATTAAATTTCTATATCCCAATATTTAAAAAGTATATGCCAATAGAACACAGATTACAAATAGTAGAAACATTCACCAAAGTTCAAGAACCGATTGTAGATAAAAATACTATCGAGATTGATGTAGACGAACTCTTATCCAAATGTGCTGTGGCCAGTAATCTATCATTACCAGATCCAATAATACGTTCTAGTTACAACTGGTACAACTTGCTACCTTTTGAAGTAGCTTTTTCAAAAATAAAAAGTATTATTCAGACTGAATCATTAGGGCGTTCTCGGAATAATTTACTAAAAATATTAATATCTAGCGCTGGAAATAACTTGGATTATATACATTCTCTGTTGCTTTATTATCGCGACAGACATATAAATGAAGCATTTGTGTACAAAATTATGTTTCTGAACAACATACTTTTACTGACAAATGCACATAAATTCAATAAAAAAACTTGGAAAATTTTAAACGATCTATTTTGTAGTATAGGACTGTACGAGGATTCAGAAAAAAATCTTCAGAACTGTGTTGACTGCGTTCTTGTCTACAATATCCTTCACGATATCCCGGTGCCCGAAATAATTAAAACAAAAATTAACACTCATTCTATAAAAACTTATAAAAACAAATTGAATGAAACAGAAAATGAAATTATTTTTAACTATTTATACAACCATCTTTTAACGAAATTACATAAACGAAAAATTACAAATGTAGATAAATTTAAGAGATCGGTTGATATATTAGAATCTCTCTTGAATTTATTAAAAGACTGGAATAAAGATTTGTGTAATTATACAGATTTGTTAGATAAATTAAAGGGATTTATACAAATGAATAAACTGAAATCATGGAACTGTGATCTCTCAAGTTTATATAGTATAAATAAATCATGGAAAAAATACATGTTTGAAGAATCATTCGCTTTATACCCATCTGATGAACTATGCGTCTATGCACTTAAACATAATCCAGATTTCCTTAATCAGCACAAGGATGAAATCTTAGCATCGATATTTGACAACAATAATAAGTTAATCTATTTAAAAAGAACAGTCGAGAAGCTGCGTATATATTGGCCATTGTCGGTAAGATCTGAATGGGCGGAAGAATTTCAAAAGCAACTTGACACACCCACAGTACATACATTTTTTAAAGAAATATGCTTACTTTTGCCATCAGACCAACTAATCAAAATTTTAAAGAAATACGCACCGGTTGAATCCAAAATTGAATTAAACGAATCTATCGATCCAATACTAACTTTACGCAAACAAATAGCTATGAATATGTATTTAGCCAGACCTCTTCTTCCATTCGAAACTGTCTTCTGGTACTCTAAAGGTGATTATCTTCAATATGCCCGACCATCTCTGCACGCAATATTAAGTAATATTAGTCCAATTAAGTGTACAGATATTATATCGAAATTAATAAAAAGCAATCGAGTATCCATGCAGAAATATGGTATTATGCTTGCAACGGCTAAATTGAATAGCGATGAAGCCAGACCCATATTGTATAATATGTGGAAAGCTACCGACAACATGTCTGTTCGTAATTTAATCTTTAAGAAAGTACACAGTATATTAATTAAAGAAAAGAATATAGAAATGTGGCAACTATTAAATATTTTTATTGATGATTTATTAAAATTGAATATTGGAAGTTCCACTATATATAACACAATAAAAAAAACTAACGATATTCCTGTTGACATGAGAGTCAAATTTTATGTGAAAAGTTATATATATTTGTCATCTTTACCATTTGATCCTATATGCACAAGTGTTTTAGAATACTTAAAATGTCAAATAAATCAAACTGTGTCATTATATCTATTATGCGCGAAGGACGAGGAATTACAAATGCAATCATACAATAAAGTTTTTATTCCCTTCATAGATAACTGTAACCTTAATGAATTGACCAACTGTATGATAGCCGATTTACATAAATATATCGGAATTAATAATACAATACCATTCAAAATGTTTGAAGCTATACAAAGTGAACTAAAGAATAGACTACCGGTAGACGAGAACTATATCCTACTAACCAAATGGTATTTAACTACTGCATTTTTGAAGTCAATAAGTGACTGCTTGCAAGACAGAACAGACAACAAAACAACAGCATTCTACACGCAAGACAATAACGTGCAAACCTCTCTAGTCGATATATTCAACCATTCAGAGACAAAAGATAAATGGAGTAAAATATGTGCAGCCATGCTACCTGTCTTTGCTGATATATGTATACAATATTTGAAACAACAAGTCCAACTGTATTCGCCTAGTATATACACGTTGTTTTCAACTGCTCTGAACAGTACAATTGAAACCTTACGATTTACACATCGTTTGTTGTTATTAAAAAAACTATTAGCAAACGAGTACACGATTATATACTTAGTAGTGCTACAAATGCTACCAAAAATTGATGAGGTTTATGAGAGTAAAGAAGATGTTGAAATTCGTAAATTATTATTAACTCGATTGCATCCTGATCAAAGAATATACTATTATGAAAAGTTTAAGGCTAAAAAGGGAAATAAATAGAAGTATTTTTAATTTTCATACCTGGTTAATTTGACATTACAATAAATAATAATGTAATAGTGTCATATATAACTACTTTTGTAAGTTACTTATACATATTCACTAGTAAAATATTTTTTTACTGAAATATAATATTAAAACGTTAAAAGAATTTCATTTAATACAGAAACAAAAATTATTCCCAGTTATAAAGACTTCTATCGAGACCAAAAGGAATTTTAAATAATAAGGCATCCCTAAATTTAATAGTGATTAAAGCCGATATAAATAAATAAAATAATATAAACAATACTTTGGTATAAGAGCATGACAATGTTCCCCTCACTAAAAATTGCAATATCTATGTTAGGAAAAATTTATAAATTCATATTTTCCTGGAATAACTTCAGGAAAAAAGAAGTGAATAGGGAAATACTATCTAACCAGATATATGGGGGGAAGGGATTGTTAGTAATGTGGACTAATGGCTCCATTGCTAGCAAGCTCTATCAGGTCGATCTCCACGCGATTCCTCCTGGAAACCATTGTGATTAATACTTGTTGCATTCGTCACGATGGGCTAACTGACCTGCTTTCATGGGGGGAAAGAGATTGTTAGTAATAGGGCTAACTGCCCCATTGCTAGCAATACACCCTATCAGGTCGACCTTCACGTGGTTCTCCCTGGAAACCATCATGATTAACTCTAGTGCAATTTGTCACAAAATTAGGAAATTATTTATGCATCGTTAAGGTAGCGTTACCCTTAGTAAGTACGTTATACTAAGTTTATGGTGTTACCTACGCCTCTATACAAAATTGTAGTCAACATATTTAAATAGGTATATTATTTAAAATAAAACAAAATCTTGGCAAAAACATTTATTGCCCATTCACTTATCCTAGGAAATATGTCACAATAGTCAGCCAAGTGACATGCCAACGATTGCTACATTATTATTATTAGCATATGTCAAAATTCGATTTGGAATGACATTAAAATTTACATTTTACATCATTTGAACGTAGGTACTGGTCTCTATCTTTACACAACTATTTTCACAAATATTTTGATAAAATTGATATTATAAACCTTAGTTGTAGAGTAAGTAGAATTCTACGATTTCCTTACTTAAAATGCATTACTTTCTAGACACTAGTCCTTTGCACGTAAGTAGGTATCACAACGATTCATAACTACAATAATTTTATTTCATAACTGTCGCAACAAAAATACAATTACAGAAAACAAACAAAAATATTATGTAATGAAACGCAAAGAATTTATCTAATAATAGTACACCAAATAATATTTCAAGACTTTTCAAATGTGGCATATCTAGTTGTATTACTGTTTTACAGATAAGTATAATAATTCATAGAATAAGAAAATAATGAAAACCAACCTTGTCTTGAATCGCGTGATATTTATCCTAATAAACTAATATTAAATACTACAAACAATAAAACAAAACCATTGCAATTTTTGTTTATTGTTTGTAATAAGTAATATTAGATATATTAATTTACACAAAATAGATTTGGTAATTAAATTAACAATTACAACTTAAAATACAACTAACATAGATACGAAACCTTATTACAAACGAAAATTATAATTTCTATAAAATAAATCTAAAAATATTATTCCCTTTTATTTCTTAGCAACACGGAAAGGCATTGTCTTGGAAGAAAAAAAAACGTGTACATGTATTGTAAGGTTTTATTTAAACATTGACGAATCGTGAATTAATACTTCTACTTTTTATCTATGTATGATTTGATAACCTTTTTACGAATCATAAAAAAATCATCTAAAAAGTACAAATCCGTCAATTATTATGACATGTCTTTTATATAATTTTACAACATTAATCCTCTAAGGTCATTGCTATATAAGTTTATATAGTTTGTTTCAACAGAACTTAATAAGGATTTAAACTAATAGTTGACCTGACCATAGGTAGTCTGCTGCTGACATCCAATCTGAGTATACAAATAAAAAACCAATTGATTCAATGTTTTGATTTGTTACTATTTCGAGACTACACTATTAAGAGCATCTCTGCGATAATTTGAACAAAACTTGATTAAGCTTTTAGTGAAACAGTTTATATAATAGTTGGTTAAAGGTATATTACACTGTCAAATATATTTGATCATATGTACATTTTACAATCGTAAATGCAGCACATCTAGGCAAATATAACAAACTAATCTATCGGTAGATACTTTTCTACGAACAAGATGCTTGATGTTGTCGTCTCATTCTATCTCACTCAAACGGTAGCGAACACATGTCTACCAAAAGATCCGTTTACCAACTGATAAGGAGAATTATGTATAAATAAAAAATTGTCTAACTAGCCAATAACCTAAGTTACTCAAAACCTTGTAAAATTTCATAAATTAATCTCCATATAGCGCTTATATTTGATAGTCTAATATCCGAATACGGATACGGACGGATTTGACAAATCCTATTAAATCACGATTCAGTTTTAGACTGTTTATTTATCCTTACGATTGTCATTTTTTTTTAAACAAAATTCGAGGAGGAAAATAAAAATGGGACGTGCTTCTATTAGAGTTGTTTTTTTTTACACCATATTATAGTTAGCTGTCCCTGTGGCAGTTGCATTATTACTGCTAGGCATGGAAAGACTACTATTTTTTATCATATAGTGAAATTATTTATAATCTTCTCAATGATATCGTCTGTGAAATTTTAAAATCACCGAATATCAACTCTTGCACATATGCTAATGTGCTATAGAAAATGAAGTATAAATTATGATTTTGAAGGTCAATTTGATAAAATCAATATTCATAAACTTTTCACAGCTCAGTCAGCCTTCACAAATGCTCAACCAACTGCGATGTCATTTAACAATTAATCAAGAGCCGCAATGAATCATGATTAAATCCGAACCCAGCGGCCATCTGTGATTTTTCACGTAACACTACTTACAGCAATCTTTACAAACAGAAGTAGCAGTTGTGGCGTATGATTTTGTATTTCGTATTAAATTAATAGAGGTACCTCGCGCGAAAGGACTAGTTCATTTTATCAGAGAATTACACTTCCTAAAACAACCATATAATTATTTAATTGTAGTATTAATTTGGTTATGATTAATTTTTATGGAATCTTATGTAATTTTTACATTGAACCCCTCACGTTGGAGCAAGCACCGAGTAATGTCAATGTCGGTTTTTTTTCACAACTGTAACAATTTAGTTATAATAAAGAAAACTGATATACCGTGTAAAATATTAGTCTAAGGAATATACTGTTTATATAACATAAAAAATACGCGTATTTTTAACTTTAAATCTATAGGTGATTAGTAAAAACATTTTTATTATGTTTTTATTATTCGACTATAGTGCGTGGTCAGCCAATAGATACGAAATCTAAGATCGCTAATCTCTTTTGCTATGTCTAGTTCGAGTGAACTAAATATAATCTTACACCAAATCACTCAGCTAAAGAGAGAAACTGAGTAACACTTAACTCTTATCTATACAAGCAACCATGAGATTATTTTTTAATGAGTTTTGTTATAAAAAGAATTTTAATATTTAAACCATCGTCATTAAATATTACCACTAAGCTATACATTCCTTAGACATTTTTACAATCACAATTGTACAATTTAATTTTTAATTTCTCTCAGATTTTGTTGTACATACTGTATGTTACCGAATTAACAATTACACAGGCTATATACAGTCAAAAATATACATAAAGATAAGGATTTACACAATGCAATGATCATTGTAGGAATTAAATTATGCCAACATATTGAATAATTTGTTACCTGTACACTTCATTTGGTACCAGACTGTATACTAACAAGTGCTTTTAGTACCTCTCACAGAATTCAATAAATTGAAACTCTATTGCAATTTTTTAAAGACAATTTTATATAGAGCTATTTTACCAAATATTAAATCACGTGTTAGTAACTGTTTATGTATGCTATATCCCGTATATAAATGCTTAAATTGATGAAGATACCTGTACTGTACATAGAAGATCGCTCAAAAACCGTCATGAATTCAGTAACGATTTTGGCGAATCTTCGTCCTAACAGACGTATAACGTCTAATAGATAAAACTAAAAAAATATCCTTTCAGTTACTCTAGTAACAATTTATAGTATTCATAAAAATTCCGATATCGCGGCCGCGTATTTTAATGGGCCTGAAAAGAAAGAGCATGATCTTAATAAGAACTTCAACAATTAATCCATTTCAATTTTTAATTGAATACATATATGTAGAAAAGTAAGAAGTTGAAATATGATATAATATTATGTGTATATAATCAGCCACCTATACTAGTGGAAAACAAATGTAATAATAGAATCATTTCGGTAAGTCAGTGATTCTCAACTTTTTTTTTGTTGCGGCACATATTTAACGATTTAAAAATTTTGCGGCACACAAAGGAAAAGATAAAAATTATTTACTTACTACAACACACTGCATAAATAGTTTATGACAAAAAATTTTAATATTTGCAAAATTTGGCGGCACACTTTCAAAATTTGGCGGCACACTATCAAAATTTGGCGGCACACTTTCAAAATTTGGCGGCACACTTTTAAAATTTGGCGGCACACAAAAGTGCCGCGGCACAATGGTTGAGAATCACTGCTGTAAGTGCTTGCATGAGAAAAACATGACACTAGACAAACTTACTGGGATGATAATTAACACCTATTAACTTACCACTTGTAAAAATGATTGAATGAATTTTAGAGACCAGAATTAGTATGTACAACATAGTAATGCATAATATTGATAGCATATTTTAATATTGTGATCCCTGCATAGAATGGGTCACCCCTTCCTTTCCCATGGGTGTCATAACAGGCTAATAGACTAGTGGACTAGTCTTTAGAATAGAAGTCAAATGGAACTTAATTGTCGAGGGATGGGCAGCAGCGTCCCTCTTTAAACATCACCAAAGTTGCCAAGTTGCCTGCCAAGCACAGCAACTACTGGCAAAACCCCCTAATAAGGGGAAGTCTATGTTCAGGAGTGGGCAGTAATTGATACTTTATTATAACACACTAAAAGTCAGTGTTCTAGATTGGCTCACATGAAACTCGAACCTGAGATCTCATTTATGTAAAGCAATAAATATATCCTGTCAGATCCACCTCCAGAGGGCATGCAGTAATTATTACTAACATACACATAAATCAATAGAAACAACAATTGTAACAATCTGACTACTCAATTCTAATTCTACTTAAAATGTATTAAATGTCATTTAGTGAATTTTACAGAAGAGCAAAAAAATTAAACAAAAAGGCAAAATGTGTGATTAGGAAAAATAGTAACTGTTTAACATGGTAAATCAGTCAACTTTACATGTTTGTATTTTTGGTATATTTCATATTAATCAAAAATAGAAAACAACCAAATGTTGTGGAATGTAAACCAAAGAAATTTCTGTGATTAGCCATTTAATAACATGGCTAAATCATGAGAGCTTGCTCTGATTTATTTATTAAATATGGCATTAGTAGAAAAAATAATGAATTCAATGATAATGACTAAATATCGGTTGATATTGGTATATAAAATGACACTTAAACTAAAATGTATTACTACACTTTGCCTTTGCAATGTCAATATCATAATCAACTACTATTACTTAATGTTACTAACCAGGGGAACACCTAGTCTTCATTGGCGGTCTCGTCAGGGGCTGGCGTGTGCCACGTAAGCCGCTCCTCATAAAACTGTATTACAACTTGTGGACAGCGCACATTAGCCTGTTTTGCTGGTACCAGGTCTGCTTCATCTGTGCCCTGCCACTTCATAAGGAACATCAACTCTCCACTGCTATCTGTTGCACCTGAGGACAGGAAATTAAACCCTATGAGGTTTAGATGGTTAACAGTACAAGTATTACAATACCCAACATAAACATTTCATGCCTCATATAGATAATGTAGTTAAAAAAGCTAGCATGATGTTAGGATTTATTATAAGAAACACTAAAGATTTTCGTAATAGTCGAACCAAAATTATTTTATATAATAGCCTTGTCCGCAGTATACTAGAGTACTGTAGTGTAGTCTGGCATCCACATTATTGTACACATGTTTTACGTATTGAATGTATTCAAAAGAGATTTTTGTGGCACCTCTCATATCTAAATAATAAAGGAATAAAAAACTCCTCTTACTTATTGACAAGCTGAAGCATTTTCATATCATCTCATTAGAAAAACGCAGAGATTTTATTGACATTTCTTTTGGTTTTAAAATACTGAATTTTGGACCCACCAACAGCAGATATAGCTTATTGCGGAAAATCTTAGACATAAGTTCTTAATCTACTTATTATTCAGATAATCTTATTGTTATTATTAATGATTTATTGAATATTATAATAGTGCATGTGGTGTTCGCGTATAAAAGATTTTTACATTAGGCAAAATTATTTTTTGTGTTATTAAGTTGCATGTAAAATGTAAAAGTTGTATGTGAACCTTATTAAATAAATAAAATAAAAAAATTAGTAAAATTTTAGAGATATTAGCTAGGTTAAATATATAATATCACTCTATATTTAATTAATGTAATAAAAAATATTTATTATAATTGTTAATAATGTAAACCTGCATAATTATATTCAAAGATGATTACTATCATAATCCATTAGTTTATCATGTCAGCTTATTTGTTATTTAGACTATCAATAAGAAAGTACTGAAAATAATAGTTTCTGCTTTTATTCACATTAATATTTTATAAATAGTTAAGTTTAATGAAAACTTAAATTTATGCATATATTCTTTTTTATTTGGGTTGGCAATATGCATGTGACACCTCTGATATTTAAGTATCCATAGGTTGCTATAATTGTTTATTATTAGATGGGCTCTATACTTTAGTCAACTTTATAAAATCTCATGATTAGATTAAAATAAAACACACACACACAAAAACAATACATTAAAATTGATTTAAAATAGATAAGATATAAGATGTAGATAGCCATTAAAACAACAGCTCTAATTATCTAAATACTAACCAATAATTTTTTCAGGTTCTAATCCACGATCAAAACCTGACGCTTTCTTGTCATCACTCTTGCTTTTCTTGGCACCTTTGAGATCAGGTGTGGCGGCTGAAGACTTGCGCTTCTTAGGATCCTTATCTGTTTTACTGCCTTTTCCCTCTGTAAACAGTATTTGTCTTATGTAGATAAAAGAGTTCAGATCTAGCAATTGGATAAAACTTTAACACAGTGTTGTCTTAATTGGCAAATATTTATTTATTTAACACTTGATTACACCAATATTACATGAATTGTTGAAAGATTAAATAAAGGAGATAAAGACAAGTAAATATTTTTCCACAAAAAGACACTTCAATTGTGACAAAACAGTTATTTCGAATAAAAAACTAATGACTCACATTTTGATCAAATTTCTATGGAACCAATCTGAAAGTATATCCCCACAAACAAAAAAAAAATAAATCATTATATAAATGATGGAGTTCTGTGGTAACAAATATAAATAAAAAACTACTAAACTGAGAAAGAAGATAAAAAATTATACTCACCAGCTTCTTTCTTTTTCCTAGCTTCTTCAAAAGCTTGAATTAGATCTGGACAATCAAGGTTCTCTTCTGGCTCCCAAGTATTGTCTTCATCACTATAGCCCTTCCATTTCAAATAATACTCCACCTAAAATTAATTTAAATATAAACTAAAAATTTTCATATTCTAACCTTCCTGCAGGAGGGAAGAAATCGTTAGTAATGAAGAGTTTAGTATTCACTACCAGTAATATACCTCTGGATGGATTAACATCTACATAGTCCCACTGAAAATAACTGTGGTTATTTCCTGATGGATTTACTGGCCTGACTTCATCATCATCTGTCATCACCCTCTGGTGTCATGCAATTGTTTATCAATAGCACAGGTATGGTTATATTTTCATCCATTGAAAAAAAATTCTACATCGGACAACAAACTAACAAGTACATTTGCAGATACTACTGGAACCATGGCATAAGAATTACTCCCATATGTTTCATAAACTACAAAATCATAAATTATTCTATAACTTAACATGTTTTTTTTTTAAATTACCTACTATTTATTTTATATATATATATATATATATATATATATATATATATATATATATATATATATATATATATATATGATGTAAGTAAATATTATGAACTTACTGTAATTGTATTATACATATATACTCATATTTATGACCATTCATAAATATCAATTTATGACATTGTTATCAATATATATATATTAAATACACTACTGGGACTTAGCATGATGAAAAATTTTGCAGGTAAATAGTACCTACATACTTGCTTCGTTATTCCTGATATTTTATATTAAAATAATTGTAAAAGTTTAAAATTAACAAATATATACCTTGCCATTTCGAACACGACGATCTAGCACTTTCTCAACAGAGAACTCTTCTTCACCTTCAGGTTCACCTTCCTTCTTTTTGTCTGCCATTCTGGAACTAACATATTCAAAAACATTTATTTATTGTTTCTTAATGCAACCAAGCTTTTCAATCAGTATTAATATTGCACCTAAAATCAACCAATTGCCTGATATTAACAAGTATGTGAAATCAGTTGTTTTCTGCTATCTGAACTATACTGTTCATATAGCAGAAATTTGAATATTTTATATTTATAGCAGTATTTTGAATAAGTATTAATTTAAAAACTAACTTTGTGTACGATAATAAAAATATCTAAAAAAAATATGCAATTAATTACACACAAAACCTGAATTGAACATAATTTACAACAAATTATATTTACCCCATACACAACATATTTGTAATAAATTCTTCACTGAGGATTAATGGTAAAGATAAACCCTATATACTTGCAAAAAAATAACATCGCAAAAAATTTTATTATTTACTGCAAAATGATAAACTGTTAACAAAATTATTCAAAAACTTTATATTTTTAAAACCGAAAACTTATTAATTAAGCATGAAACTGTAATGATATTGGGTATACGAAAGAGCATGCAGGTCCCGCCATTTTGATTGCAATGATGAAAGCCTAACCACAATCTTTGAACTTTAACGCTATGCAATTAAACATAATGATTATTAACATTTTAATATACAAGGAATAATTAAATCTTCACGTTCTATTAATTAAAAGTATACCTTCTTTGAAAAAGAAAACAAAATTACAAAATTCAAGCCGGCGTCTGAGCGTGAATACAAAGATTCCTTTTTTTTTTTCTTATTTTATTAATATAAGGTTCTGATTGGCTCTCCTTCATTATAATGCATACAGATTCAAAATTAAAATATAAATACCAGTGATTACTTAGATATTGGACCTTATCCTCTTTTCACTAATAAATACAGACTAAGTATCCTCTCTCCTATTTGCTATGCTCACCAAGTCCATCCTTGAGGGGGGAAAGGGATTGTTAGTAATGGAGACTAAAAATCCCATTGCTAGCAATATACCTAACCAAGTCGACCTTCTCGCGTTTCCCCCTGGAAACTTTTATGATTAATTCTTCATGATGATTTCATCATGATACAACTGGCTTGTTTTCATTCTCATCGATCACTGGTTCACTGATTCACTAGTGCTCCGCCAGCGTATCCCGTTAGCGCGTTTCCATTTTCATCCAACAAAAAAATCCATCCTTGAAGTTAAATCTAATCTAATAATTAAAAATCTACCAACTACATTATAGAATGCAATAAGCAATAATTAAACAGGTAAAAAAGATACAACCATACGTACCGTAATAATTTTTCCTTCAGATAATAATCCTATACATTCATTTTATTCTGAAACAAGTTTAATGTCTTTGATACAAGTTTAACTATTCCAACTTAATCCCCAAAACTATGGGGAGAAGGGATTGTTAATAATGGGGATTACTAGTCACATTGCTAGCAATATACTCTGTCAGGTCGACCTCCTCGCGGTTCCTCCTGGAAATCATTATATTCTATTCTGAGTGAATTCATCACGATGGGCTATGAAAAGGCAGGTTTCATTCCCACCTATGATCCTTCATTAGTACCCTCGTTAATATATACCTTTAGCGCAGGCGAAGTTATCATTTCATCATCATCCATTAAATTAATAAAATTTGCAATAAATCTCCTTAATTTATTGCAAATTTTATTATTGTCGTTTTTAAACACAAAACGGAACAGATTATATTCTAAAAACAAAAGCAAAATATACTTTTTGTTTTTACTAGCATTCTGTTTTATCAAGTTTGCCTATTTAAAAATTTAAAAAGTAATAAAATTAAGAAAATCTTTCAGCTGTTCCCTCATTGTCCTACAAACGACAATGGTATAAAAGCATATGTTTCTAATACTTGTAATAACATACCTTATATAAAAACATTTGACATTAAAATGTAATATTATTTTTTTATGTAAAAGGAGGAGTAAAATTAAATTAGACTTTATCATATCGTAAGATGTACAGAAGTTAGAACTGGAATTATATTACGCGGTAAATATAATATTCAATTAAACTTGTATAATTTTATATATGTATCCCAAGGAATATAAAATATACTCCTTACAATTCAAGCGAAGCCTAGAAATGAAAATTATTTTGTAATTTTTTACATGATAACACTAATTTAAAAAATAAAAATCTTATTTTATTAGTCGACAGAGGGCACTTTTGTATCTGAAAGTTGAAGTTGTCTTTAACCCTGAACGAGAAAGTTGTAAATAATTTTCTGTAAAAAATCTACTCGATGACTTTATTAATGGTTTAGGATAAATAGAAAGTGAATTAATGATTATAAAGTGAATTCTGAAAGTGATGGCTAACCTTAAATGGTGTGCCCTATGAAACAAAAAACTATCAGTGCGCACGATACCCCAACGCCATTTTGAGGCGAAATTTTGTATGTAAGTGCCAAGTATTTCGCAATATTTTCATTTTTCACCCTCAAAATGGGCATATAATTGTGTATTATCAGTACCAGTGAACATAAGATATATCTACTGTGTTCTGCAACTGTGATCTAGTGTTGACAGAGGTGTGCACTCTACTCTCGTCGCGATGGGTTGCGGCGCCGTTTATCTGGTGCTCGCATTAATTAAATTAATAGTGGTGTCTTTAACTGACAATTGTTTGGTTGTTTAATTCTGTGTAGGCCGATGTATAAACGTTTTTAAAACATAAAGATTCAGTAGTGCGGGAGTGTTTATAGCGTTGAAATTTGGCATGGAATTGTTATCTTTGCCATTTCCGACTGTTGCAGATAGCGGGTGGCGCAGAGGATGGCCCGAGAAGACGGGAGCGCCCTAATTAACTGACGGACGCTGCCGGCTTACAGCTGGCGCAAGCAGTATGTATCTACCACCATAATATTTTGTTACTTATTCATACACTTATGACATCTAGCTTTTTAAATCAGTATCATATAAAATTTGCAATATTTCTTTATTATTGAGTAGTAGTAACTAAACAAATTGTGAATAATGTTATTGCTTTATTAATCCATTAAAATGTTGACTGCAATTATTAATATGATATCATTTAGACTATATTTTTTATGTAGGACAACATGTAGATCAAAATATCCTACTTAATTTATTATCTTATCAGGTTTACAATTTGGCATACTATCCATAAAGGATCGTTTTTATCCTTGACATATTGGAAACAGAATTAATTTGCCTTATCTCTCTAAAATCTTGCCAGGTTCAATATGAATTTATTGTGATTGAATAAATATTAAAATAATTTATTCTAAATTCATACCATGTTCAAGATGATTTCAGTATTCTTTTTTGGTGACAGAAAAATACAATGTGTTACACTTTTTTTCTTATCATATACCTATTTTACTTTTACAAAGATTACTATGGGAACAATACATCAATACTGGCCATCAGAACATTCTTAGTGCACTAATATGTTGTTGAGATACACTCATACCCAACAATGGAATATTAATTGTTGTTATAGAGTTAGCAATATGTAATTCTGCTCTTACACTTAATTAATTTTCTTGATGATAATTCATGTTATCAGTTATCTTGAAAAGATGTTACAGCAAGGACTTGATCTTATTGAATAATTCTTCCGTATAAAAGTAACTTCAGCATTGATAAATATTATTATGGAACCAATGTGAAGCAGCTGTACTTGTATGGCTATGTTTCAATTTGATCACCCTTCAATTTCAAAATTATGCCAGTGAAGTCACAGAGTGTGAAATTATAAGACCATAGTCATTAGCAATGGTGGCACATGAGAAGTACTATGGGCATCACAATGCATTCTGTAATGTCCGAGGTGCTCCATGTTTAAAGATGACAGTTATGACTTATTTATTGGATGGGCTTGTCTACTAATTTAAGTATTAAAAAAAATAAAACAATCTTGGTATGTCTTTACTGAAATTGGTTGTATAAATATCAGCATCTAAAAAATACAACTAATACAAAAAATTTAGTTTTAAGCCCCCATGCTCTATAATTTTACTCTAACATCTCAACTTTTAAACTAAAATAACCATTTAAGCATGGTTGTTAAGCACTATAAACATTAGTAGTACTTCTTTGTATATATAGGCAGCAGCCGAGTGTGGGGACCAGAATACCGAATACAGAATACAGGGTATCCTAGTATGGATTCTGTCCACTTCCAATGACATTCTATATGTATTTTATTTTGTAAAATGTGTATATGAAGTGCCATTATGATAGAAATAAATATAAGAAGAAATATATGCTTTTACAGGAACTTCACTTATTACCATCAGACACTATTTGTAGATATTATAAAGAAAATACAATTGCTAAGAACTACATTGTTGCCTTTAAATTATAAATTGAAAATGCTAGATCAGTTCTACTTGGTGTGAACTTATACATAACAAAATTGGCAGGTTTTATATTGTACCTATAAATATTTATTTGAGTATACAAAAATTATTGATCTAAATCTATAGAAATTTATATGCTGCATTGCCATATAGTGGTGACTTATAATAAAAGGAATAGCATGAAAAGTATTCTTTATTAAATGTATTTATTTATTAACAAAGTATGCATAAGAATTTATCGTTGATCCCTACACTAGGTTAAGCTTATGCTGTAGGAAACAGGATTCCTCGTACCTTATACATGCTTACAGAAATTAACATAGGCTTTCTAGTAATACTGATTTTAATTTGCTGACTTATATAGTGATTTGTGAAATAGTTCCAGGCCGTATTTGCCTTGAAACATACAGATACACAAACATCCATTTGTAAATACAAGTAAATAGATTATATTGACAAAAATAAACAATTTTTTTTGTATGAACAAGGTGGCAATCAGAATTTTGGCTTTGATTACTTTTATCTATTGTAATTAGGAATGTGAATTAATGATTAATTTACTTTTTTCCACCAAAGATTTTTCAATAACAACAGGCAAGACAACACTGCTCTTGTTTTTTCAAATAAAAGCAAAAATTTAACAATTTCTAAGCTTATCATTTTGTATTAATATGAAATTCTAAATAGCATAAAATAAAATATAATCAAGATATTAAACATGTAATTTGTTCTTCAAAAGACATGATAAGGTTTTTAAGGGTCAGCAATGTAGGTGTTACAGGCGTTTATAGACTATGGTTACTCCATTTACCGTCAATCAGGGCTTATGCTTGTTTTCTTTTTTAACGGGTGAAAATGGCATGATAACTCTCCCTGTGCTATTGGTGAATACCGATAGCGCAGGCGGCGGCGTATCAATGAGAGGTAATAGGTGAGGATGGAAAGGCAGGTCAGTTAGCCTATCATGACGAATTCAATGATAAATTAATCACAATAGTTTCCAGGGGAAACCACGTGCAGGTCGACCTTAAATAAATTATGAGTAGTATTCAAAAATTTTGTATTAAGTAACATTAATCAGTTGTAGTGACTGGAGCAAGTCAATCCCTACAAAGAGATCGCATTGCGAGTATGACAAATAGGCCAGGTCATTCTTACGTTCAATCTTATAAGAAGTACAATAACCCGGCGTAACTTTTGTATAATAATTCTAAACTCGGGAATTGGGCACGGTTTTTATTTTTATGTTACATTAGCTAATGTTGCCCTCTTTAAATTTCAATTTATTTTTCTAAATTGTACTATAAACACTGTGAAACTGCTCAAGTGGTTTAGCCAGTCCCAAGTGACACTCCAGCAGTAGTCTTATCGTAAGTTCTTTTCATTCCACAAAAATCTTAATCGGACTGTTAACAACATTAAAAATTGTTAAATTAGTTCCTTCATTCTAAAATAATGTGTTTACCAAAATAAAAACATTAGGCAATGAGTATTCAAAAGTCAGTTATTAAAATCATCAGAGATATATGATTAATTGATATTATTGATAATCATATGATATGCCTAATCAATTAATGAACATAAATGACATGTTTAAAGGTTGATGAGTCAGCCATCATTGCGTTCAACCATATTAAAGGGAACTCAATAATCCGGCAACCACGCCACCACCTATCTGTACATTTTAGTGAATGACTTACTCAAGCCCCTCAACCGTCTAATATATTAACATAGTATAATAACAAATACCGTCTGGTACCAGCTTAGAATAGGCCACCTCTTTTCCCGTGGGTGTCATAAGAAGTGACTAAGGGAAGGCGAGGCATCGACAGCAGCGTGAGGGACGCTGCTGTCGATTAAAACAACTTTAAATCCTAACTGCGGTTGCTAATCTACCTGTCAAGCGTGGCAACTACTGGCAAAGCCCCCCAAGGGGGAGGCTAATGTTCAACAGTGGATGGTTAGGGGTGATATGATAATAATAATGATAGCATAATAACACCCTGAATGTCACAATACACTTTAATGCTCGTCGTACCCATTAAATTCATTGCCATGTCTCATCCTCCAAACCGAAATACAAACATGCACATACAGCTGCTTCACGGCAAAACCACTAGTGGAACATGGCACCCATGCTTTTGTAAAAAATCTCCTGCTATATGTGAATACTATTCGATTTTTAACGACATTTCAATCACTAATCGTTCTACAATCGTTTACGTTAGTTTCTTGGTATTGTGCAAAGAAATATGTAGTTTAGGCTCAAAATGTAACTTCGTTTTTTTACAACGGTCTATAGATTCATATTACTTATACGTATACTTGACTGCATATTTACGAAATACGTATTTCTACTATGAAATATTCATCAGAAATAGCATCCTATGGGGGGCACTGAATAATGACGAATGTTCATGCGTAAAAGGGATGGTTACCATTTGCATATCACATGATATGTGCACTGGTTTGCCTTTTTCATCAATAGTATAAAAAATTAAAAAAACTTTATTCAAATATTATCTAAACTTTATCTGAAATGATGGCAAATTTATGATGTGTTTAGAAATATTTAAAAATTCATAATTACTTATGTAAATGGTGCCTTTTGTGTATATAGGTGACGGTTACCAATTCCCATCGTGAGGACCACTATACCTCATCAATGCTTGTCGTCCTAAGTTGCATAAAGAAAATAATAATTTATATTGTCAATCCATTCGTTAAACCTTCCATGGTCAATTTAGCTAATTTATTGGATTGAAATTAAGCGTGTGACCTCTAATTGAGGTATTATTGGATTTATGACGTAATCGTGTAAGTATCGCGTATTAACTTTATGTCTTCAAAATTTAATTTATTGCTGTTAAAGTTAATATGATCGTGAACCTATAGTTACGTAATAACTACAGGGTGATATCAAAATATTTAGTGGTACTAAACAGCTCAACGCGTCGTATCATCTACCTATAGAAGGCACAAAATTTTTTGTCTTTCTTAGACCCAATGTCTCTTTGGTGAAAATATTCAGTTTTTCTAAAAAAACTGCTGCTAACGATTTCCATTTCACCTTGTATAAGTAATCCGTGTCTAAATATTAGACTATAATTGTTATTTTTTAATTATACCATGATTTAAAAATACAGGAGTTTATAATTTTGCTAGTAATATTAAGTATATTTAACCACGCATCTTTTGTAATGCTATCTTTCAGATAAAAATGCCAAGACCCGGCAGCCTTAAGGATCCAGACATTGCGGAGTTGTTTAGTAAACATGACCCCGATAAGATCTTTGAGGATCTACGAGAAATTGGGCATGGCTCATTCGGCGCGGTGTATTACGCTCGGTGCAATCTCACCAAGGAGATTGTGGCTATCAAGAAGATGTCCTACTTGGGGAAACAGAGTGAAGAGAAATGGCAGGATATCTTGAAAGAAATCAAGTAAATAATTTTATCGTTTACCTTTATGTAGTTAATTTACATTCTCTGAAATTTGAGTGCAGATTTAGATAAATACTGGTAAAATGGCCAAGCAATTATATATTTTTAGCTTTCCTAAAAATTTTATAAAATAAAAGAAAGCATATAAACAAATTTGCTAATCAATAGTTTCCACAAATTAAAAATTAATTTCAATATACATTATTATTATTTCAGCCATTAACTGTCTACTGCTGGCCATAAGCCTTCCTCATAAGGAGAGTTTTGCCAATAGTTGTCACGCTTAGCAGGCGGGTCGGCAATCGCAGTTAGACTTTTGAAATCAATATACATATCAGAAATTAATTTAGACTCTTGCATTTGATAAATTATAAGAATACAAAAATTGTATTTTGCTATATATGTTGTACATTTTTTCCATCACGCAATAGCCATCAGTAGAATATTTTTATCTTGCCATGGTGATTATAATTATAGATTGATTGTGGGATATTTCTAATATCGCTTACTAATGATAAAACCACTTTTAGCTTAACTATACATATTCTTGTGTTTAGATTTCTGAAGCAACTAGATCATCCAAACACCATAGAATACAAAGGTTGCTACAAGCGCGAGCATACAGCATGGTTGGTCATGGAGTACTGTGTTGGCTCTGCTTCTGATATTATAGAGGTAATCATATGTGCAGTGCCTGACAGTAAATATTCCACTTGATAAAACATCATCTCATTCTGTAAGGTTTTATTTCATGTAACTTTGTCACAGCTAGCCTTTTTTAAATTTGACATACAATATACTACATACTTTATATACATACTCATATTTTTAATACTTTTCTGCCAATTATTTTAACTTTTACAATTGTTGAAGTGCACTTTAGTGTTTAACAATTTAAAATATTGTTTACTATTTGGAAATATTTATTTATTATTATTTAATTTTGCTATACACTGACTCTACTACGTCTACATTGTTTTCCCTTTAAAAATCTTTTGGTGACTATTACAAACATGAAAAAGTTGCCAAAAACTATTTTTTTTTTTTTATTTAAGTTTATTATATTTACAATATCAAAAGTATAGAATTAAAAATGTTGGACAATCCAAGTTGCAATATCACATCCCAAAAATTCATAGCTGGATAAACAGTCAACATTCTACGAAAGTCAATGACTAAGTTATATCCTAAAATACATAATGCACTTCAAATTATATGAGATCATAATTATCTTCGATTCTGAGAAAGAATACCCCACAAATTAAATTGCAAAATGACGTATGTATTGAATCATATTTTATACATCGTTTAGATATAGTTTTAATTCTATAACCGGCATTATTTTTTATAGAGTTGCACGAATTTCTCGATTTCAAATTTAGATTACCATAAGATGTAGAATATCCACAAAGCTCATGTATCTTACGAAATTTATATTGTTATTAGCTTTTTATTTTTAATATTTTGTAATAATTTTTATACATTTGTATTTACACAATCTTTAGATATCTATTTGTCCCGTTATACCAGGGAAATTTCTGATCGGATATCAGCAAAATTTTGGAATCGTGTGGATATTAACCCAATTAAAAACTGGCGTAATATTTTATTAGGAATGATAAGATACATATCTTAAATCTTCTTTTGTATAAATACGCATAGAACGTGTAGAGATAGTAAATTATGTTTACAAAAAGTGACTAGATTAAATTAATATGAAACAGTAACCATTATGAAGATTTAATGTAATTTAAGATATTATTACATAGCTTAATCATATCTTAGACAATGGTTAGGTTATTTTTGATCTGCATTCATACGGCCAATTTAATAAATAGAATAAATAAACCTCTTATCGGTTCAGTCAATTATCAATACTAGAATAATTTACAGTGACATTATACATTACTTATCACTCGTTATCACTTCAGTTTTTATACAAATTATGTTTTTATTAAAGCTAAAGTCCCTTTGCATTTTGCATTGCATTTTTAACGTCGCTTGACCTCCGTGGTGCATTGGCGGGCACATTGCTTTGTGTTACATATTCGATTCTCAATTGGGTCATTTTATAAAATTAATTTGGTCATATTCAAAGTTGTGTGTTTTTCTATGTCAGGTTTTTCTTCTAAATTTATAATCAGATTATTAATGTGATTGAAGAGCATTTTTTATTATTATTTATAATAGCAAAATATAGAATTCGGTATGACACGCTGCAATGTTAAAAATATTTTAATATAGAAATAAATTCCGTCAGTATTTGTTTTTTAATATATTATTATTAGCATTCACCAAATTGATAATATCCTTTTTCTCGCTATTTATTTACTTAATAACATTGATTAATTTATAAAATGTTAGTTTATCATAATATTTTATTTATTCATGAATGAAATTTTACTATATGTGGAACTGAAAGGAAGTGCTTAAGATTCAAAACGACATTCTGACAACATAAATCTCATTTTTCTTTCTTGTAACACAATCTACTATAAAATAACTAATATTATGAAATGATTAAACATGTTAAATTATTGACTTGAAATTACATATTTGTCCAGGTTCACAAACGCCCTTTACGTGAAGAAGAAATAGCCGCAATATGTGAAGGAGTCGTCTGTGGATTATCGTACCTCCACAGCCTCGGTCGCATCCATCGGGACATCAAAGCGGGCAATATACTGCTGACGGAAAATGGAACAGTAAAACTTGCGGACTTCGGTAGCGCGAGCATCAAGTGCCCCGCCAACAGTTTTGTAGGCACGCCATACTGGATGGCGCCTGAAGTCATACTCGCCATGGATGAAGGCCAATATGACGGAAAGGTTGGTAGTATTGTTTACTGTATAATGTTCTTGGTTATATTATCAGTTGTACTATTTACTAAAGTCGACAAATGTTTCTGACTACTTCATCTTGGACTATAATTGTGACTACATTTTTTATACAACAAATTTTATCAAATATTATTTTTTTATTAATTAACTACTAATATATTTGTTTACGATTTGTATATAAATAAAATATCGATTAAGCTAAATAAAAAGTAAGTGCTTTTAGTGTACATATTATAAATGTGTTATTAAACGTTGAGTATATACTTTATATTTCGTGTTAAGGTATGCTAAATTATATAAATAAAAAAATATAAATGTTCACTAAAATGTAACTAATTGATTTTAAGGTTGACGTATGGTCGCTTGGTATAACGTGTATCGAGCTGGCAGAGCGCAAACCACCGTATTTCAACATGAACGCCATGTCTGCATTGTACCATATTGCGCAAAATGACTCTCCCACATTACAAGTAAGTAAGGAACAGCAAATAATCATAATAAAACATGCACTGCAAGTCCTGTAGTATTAAAATCGTGTTCATTGTGCTGGTAACTATAATAACTACTCTCCTTCCTTAAGTTTAATTTGCCACGATTTCCTTATCACTTGTTGACTTTTTAGCTTTTATATTAGTTACAATATATGTAATATTTATAAATTAGGATGATTTTCGAATATAGTCCTTTTGTAACTCCCTTGACTAGTTATAAATTTTCAAGTGTTAATCAATAGTAAGAGAATTATTCTTAAAGAAAAAATCGTCAAATCTAATATTGTTACGGAAGTTCTTGAAAATATTTTGCTTTATTATGAGTTAATACATTTCCTATATTATCGTTTGTTTATAAAAAATATTTAAGCTTATATATAATTCTTGTTTTTAGGCGCCTGAATGGACCGATACGTTTCGCTACTTTGTCGAAGCGTGCCTGCAGAAGAACCCACAGGAGCGACCGTCATCCACCAAGTTACTCTCCCACCAGTTTATTACGCGACTGCGCTCTCCACATGTCCTGATTGACCTTATACAGAGGACAAAGGCTGCAGTTCGAGATCTCGATAATTTGAATTATAGGAAAATGAAGAAAATATTAATGGTGGATGCAGATAATGAAAGTGCAATTGGTGTGTACATTTTACTTTTAACTCATTTTTATCTGAGGAAAATTTATCTTACTAATGTAATAAAATTGTAACTATATGATATGATGACATGGAAGATTTTTAAGAAACATTGAAATTAGAGGTCTTAATAAGAGAAAAAGAAGCTAAAATATATTTTTTATTTTGTCTTTCGAAATTGACAGACAGACAAAATTCCGCCGTTACTTATTAACTAGCACCAAAAAAGAGAAGCGGTTAAAAAGCTTGTCTTATATAAAAAAATAGTCTTCTTCTTTAAAAAGAGAGTGTACAAAAGTCGTTTGCATGAATACCACAGACCTCTATTCTTTTATATCAAATACTGCTATTACAACTGTGCGATATGACAATGAATTTATACAGTACGAAGACGTAGACTAGTTCTTAATAAAGTATGCATCAAGTGTATCATGGGCGTCACAGTTTACTTCATAATGGTATTGGTGTTGTCCATGTCTTTAATAATATACACTGTTGTGAATATGATTATTGTTTGTGAAACACTAGGTGATAGCGAGGAAACAGCGGAGGAGCGATCAGGCGGCGACAGTTCCAAATCAAATTCTGCGACGTCGGAGCACAGCGCGGCCGGCGCCTCCAGTCAGAGCTCCTCGTCGGGCAGTCTGCGACGCCGCCCGCATCCTGTTAGTAACAATATTATATTTATTTCAATAATTCACTTAATTATAATAATTCACTTAATAACATCAACAGATGCCAAAACAATATGTTAATATTGTCTGCTTGTATATTTGTTCTGACATCATGCAAAAACAACTGCTTCAGATTGAATGCGACTTTAACAGTTGATTTTCTGGATGTCTACTGGTGTGTTTCATATTGATACGCCATCTAGAGAGTTAATTTCACCTCAGCTTGCCTATCCTTCGGACTATGTCGATCACTTTAGTTCTTCTGCAGATATTCTCATTTCGGATTCTATCACACAATGAAACTTCAAGCATATAGCCATAGCTGATTTAGTAACTTTTGCATATGGGTGACTGTGTAGGTTTTCATATCAAGTTATGCAAATGAGCTGTCTTTTAGATATTTTTCTAAAAGACTACATGCATGAAGTCCTTAAAAATGTGACAAAAAGTTTTTGAGTCACTTATATACGTTTCCCTAGTAAGTGTCATACACTACCTATGATAACCTCTTAACATAAATTAACTTTTGTTAATATAGTTGTTTACCATCTTAGGAGTATTTAAAAAGTTGTTTTACCCAGCACATCATCCCCATGTGGTTCCTTTGAAATTTCGGATCACCGGAGACCTTTCATAGAGAAAGGCTCTATTATAATAAAATATTTATATTTTTTAAATGGCAATAATTTTATGAACAGTTGAACGCGAACCACCATAGTCAACACCAACAACAGCAGCAGTATCAGCATCACAATCACCAGCACTCCTCACATTCTGCCAGGTGAGATCAATATTATGACTACTACTAGTTCTTTATAATTATTTGAACTTTTATAGATAATGTATTTATTTGGTATAAAGTTATTTGCTTATTTATTATTACTGTTTTTTCTATTTGCAATTGTAAGTTCAAGTGCATGATAATGCAAAAAGTATATTTTAAAGAACTTAAGTTTTATAATAGTATATTGGCATGTACTCATTTAATGAATGTTTATATTTGTATTTATGTACATGTTTGTCTGGTTTTGGCCTAAGCATTCCTACTTTGTATTGTTTGTGCATATTTAATAAAAATATATTTATGTATGTCTATCAGTATATGTAGAGTACAAGTCTAAATTGGGGAAATACATTTAGGACTAGATGGTGACAACTTTGTATATTTGCGTGCATGATTTCAATTTGTATATAATTATAAAATGCACCGCTTGATAAACTGCACAGTTCACACGTAGTTAGTGGCACCGTTGCATGTCCCTTTCAGAGGTCGCAAGCGCAAGCTTTACTCATGTTGCTGTTTCGTACGCAGAGAGAGCGAGAGCACTCTCCCGGTGTCGCACGACGACTACGTGAACCGCGACGCGCTGCGAGACTACGCCAACCGCGACTCGTTGTGTGACGACTACGGGGACGACTACGCGAACAAGGAGGCCATACGCGAGGCGCAACGGGAGCGCGAGCGCGAGCGCCACGCGGACTACCGCGAGTACGTGAACGCGCCGCCCGCCTGGCACGACGCCGGCGACGACAACCGCAACACGCAGCGCCGCCACACGCACAGGAGTCAGTTCTATTACATTATATTGTATCCATTGTAATTTCCTGGGGATAAAAATATAATAATATACACTGTGATGTCTATGGCACTTTTCATGCTATAGGCGACGATTATCACTTTCTATAAGGCAGGCAATCAGCTTGATTTTCAAGTTGAATTTAAAAAAAATAGTAAGCCCATCTGTGCTTTAGTATACGCTGACGGGATACTACCAGTGAGTAATGATAGATGAAGATAAAGTCAGATCACTTAACTCTTTGTGATAAATTTACTAAGTATCTATCAGGATGATTTCTGAGAGGTACTGTGTGAAGGTTGATCTGACGGATCTATGATGCCAGCAATAGAGTCACTAGTCCCATGATTAGATAAAACAATGATATGTTTTATAAGTATGTGTATGTTGTTGATTAGTCAACTATGTATATTAAAAAACGACATTCCTTCACACGGTATAACAGATTGCTAATCGTATTTGTTTTTTTATCGCATGAAATTGGCGTAGCTCCCCTAAAAACTAATAAAAGAAATATTTTTAATAATTAATATCATGTATTTTGTTGTATCATGTGGTTTTGTAAGCCATAAAGTCTGAATTCTAGTACAAATGCATTTCCAAGAAGGGTTGACATATAGGTGGCTGATCGTGAAACCAAAAAAAAATCCAAAACCTTATGTAATGTGAATAAAAACATATTATGCTGCATCCGAATAATTGCCATAATTCATTTTGTCTAATAAATAATGGAGTATAAACGACAAGATTTTAAGTAGTTTCATATTAAATTTACAGGTTTAAGCAATAATGTGTCTGCCGCAATGTCCCTAGTGTCGGAGCATGGAGCTAATAACTTCGCCACAATACGAACAACCAGTATTGTTACCAAACAGCAAAAGGAACATAATCAGGTTTGAAATATTTATTGGTTAGATCATGTTACTACATCTATTTCAATTTTCATAAAATACAAACACCTTTTAATGAAATTTTTATTTAAAAAAAAAAATCTGTAACGAACTTTCATCCAAATTTATTAGAAACTAAAAGAGTTAATTTAAAAGAAATATTTTTTTAAAAAAAAAGCAGATACTTTTCTTGAAAATATCTTAATATAAAATTGCAACTATGCACCTGCCACAAATGGGAATGGGCACATGTCCAGCTGTGCGAATTTTAATACTGATGAAATTAATTCTATAATTTGAAGCAACAAATGCATTTTTTTTTCAAAATATTTGGCTAATATCTTTACATCTTTTGTGTGGTAATTAGTGGATGTGATAGGCAAGAAAGAAAGCCAGGAATATTGGAAACATATGCCAATAAAGAAAACTTGTAAAACTAGGACTGTGAAAAACAGCTAAAAGGGAACAATAAAAAGATATGTCATTTAGTAGACGTAATAACATTAAAACTATAACACAATGGGTGTACATGATAGATGTATGTGACAGGAGATGCACGAGCAGATGTCCGGGTATAAGCGCATGCGACGCGAGCATCAGGCGGCGCTGCTGAAGCTGGAGGAGCGCTGCAAGGCGGATGTGGACGCGCACAAAGCGCAGCTCGACCGCGAGTACGACACGCTGCTACTGCAACTGTCCAGGGAGCTCGAGCGGCTACAGGTAATTACTATGTAAACGTCACAGAGTACACTGATTTAGGCACTTATCTCACCAACTCACTTTCTTACTTTTTTTTTTATCTTTGATGCTTAGAAAAGCACACAAGCTACAGCCTACCTAATGATAATCATGAACTATATGGCACATGGTACACCATATATGTTGTCATTCTTGAAGACTATCCTTATCCTGTAATTTGTGTAACCAATTTTAACTTTGTAACCAAGTAGTGTAAGTCAACTTGTATTCTCCAATATCTGATTCATCTATCCTCTTCAAATGGCCTTTTCAAATTATTTTAAATCTTTTTATACAAACCGAGCAATCACCTATTTAAAATCACTAAGTTCCCATTCATCATCAAATTTTACCTATAATATTCCAGACACGGCATGGGCAAGAGCTGGAACGCAAGCAGAAACAAAGTGCGGCCGCAGAAAAAAAGTTGTTCAAAGACATCACAGCCCGACAAGAACAAGAAAGGAAGGCATTCGAAGCACAGCGTAAACGCGAATACAAGGCGAACAAGGAGCGCTGGAAAAAGGAGCTCAGTATGGACGATGCCACACCTAAGCGACAGAGGGATGCTACGCTACAGTACGTATATACCACCAATTGAAAGTCTTGTGGCATCTGTAAAACATCAATTTAACTCTAGTTGTGACTATGATTTGTGTGTAATTGTGTAGTAATGTATAAAAGGGAATAAAAATGTCTGTCTAAATTTTGAAACACCTATATGTAAACAATCAAATTAATGTTAAAAAAGTAATCTGATATATGTCTCTCAATGATAGAATAGTTTTTAATTAATGTAAAATTTAGTTAGAATTATTTTCATTCTAACATTTAAGAATCTTAAATTTGCATTTTTAAAAACCACACAGTTGTAAATATAAATATTTTTTTTCTGTGTGCTAAGGTCACAAAAAGACAGCCTAAAGCAAGCGGAGGCAGCGGAGGAGGCGAGGCTAGTGCGATCGCAACGCGAGTACCTCGAGTTAGAGCTACGGCGCTTCCGCCGTCGTCGCATGCTCGCGTTACATCACAAGGAACAGGAGCTATTGCGGGAGGTGAGTGCGTAATGATGATAAGTTCCACCTGAACTCGGAATAGAAATTCAGCCGAGTCTACTAGTAGGCTCTTTTGAACTAACATAAGGCAAACAATTGAAACACAAAATTTTGATGCAGAGTTGAAAGTTATATATGGAATTAACCATACTGAGTTTGAGTTCTATTAACAATTTCCATTTATATGACAGATAAATTTACAGATTTAATATGATAAACTCTTGATTTATTGCATGACGTATGACTGTATTATTCTATTTCTTTATAGATAATACAATATTATGCATTATGATATCAGATTCATATTATATTGCTTCTCATATAGTTACATATAAAGAGTACCTTAATAATAATAAGAAACTTGCCAGAATAAAATGAAAACAATATGAAATAAATAACGATAACCTATCATGCACATAACGCGTACAGGAGCTGAACAAAAGACAACAACAACTGGAGCAGGCTCACGCGATGCTGCTTCGTCACCACGAGAAGACCCAGGAGCTGGAATACCGCCAGCAGAAGGGCGTGCACGCGCTTAGGTGCGTATATTATTACTCAACACCATAGAGTATATTGAATACTCACTAAGACATGTATTTTAGAAGTACAAAATTACTGATACACAACAAAGTAATTTTTTAAATCATTAATGAGATTATATTACAATTCAATACAGTTAATTTGATGAATTGGTGGCAGATATACCAAAGAAAGAAGAAGCGTTAAACAATACCAATAAATAATCCGCCTCTTGACATGATAAAGCAATAAAGAATCTGATATTTTCGAAAGTAAAATATCCTCTGTAGTCTGGCAATTTATGGTTATACATAAATTATTATTTTATTATTTGTACCGTTAACTGCCCTTATGAGGAAAGCTTATGTTGAGCAATGGATTGTTAAACATAAGTTTTCCCCATAAGAGGAGTTTTATACATAAATCACGGCTAAAATTGCTATTTTGATTACTATACTGTAATTGTTTATTAATTTTGCTAAGTGTAAACCTATTAATATTTTTACCTTATTTAACCAAAACTGAGAATTATTAACTATGGCATTATAATAAAAAGTTAACCCCATTCTTGTTCTGGTCACATTGTAAACTATAAAATCTCGGCATTGTTCCAGGGAGGAGCAGCTGTCGAACCAGCATGCGACAGAGTTAGCCAACCAGCGCGAGTACATGCAACGCGCCGAACATGAGCTGCGTAAGAAACATGCGTTACAGCTCAAGCAGCAACCCAAGAGCCTCAAGGTTAGTACAAATTCCTATCAGACGACTAGAAAGAAGAATAGTTTTGGAGACTAGGAGCTCTTATATTTTGTTTTGATGGATAATAATAAAATGGTAACCCCTCTAATGCTATCGGTATACACTGGCTGGGCACCAGTGAGTGATGATAGGTGAGGATGAAGGCAGGTCAGTTGGCCCATAGTGACAATAATTAATCATGATAGTTTCCAGGAGGAGCCGCGTGGAAGTCGACCTGACAGGGTATATTGTTACTAATGGAGATTAATATCCCCATTACTAACAATCCTCCCCCAGAACTCATATACAATATATAGCTATCATGTCACGATTAAATATATAATTTTCATAAAATGACGTTTTTTATATAAAGTGTTCACATGTGAGTACAGTGACCTCCTCCCGCCCGCTTCTCCTAAGACATAAAAGCACTCAATGTTCAACATATTAAAATAAAGATACAGTCTGCCATCCTGTTCTATTTACCACTAACCTTCAAAGTACCCACCCTGTTGCTCCCTGTTTTTCTTTGTTATCCTACAATTTTTCTATAATAATGAAATTCTAATGAAATAAATATTGTGTTCCTATTGTTTACAGCAAAAGGAAATGCAGATACGTAAGCAGTTCAGGGAGACATGTAAAATTCAAACGCGTCAGTACAAGGCACTCAAAGCACAGATATTACAAATGACTGCAAAGGTATTTTATTATTATTTGTGAAACAAACAGTACAATTAACAGATAACATATTACATAGTTAATATATATTAACTAATAAAGTTTCCACTATTAACTATTACATACTAAGCAAACGAGGTTCCAAAATACTGTAATAAATACAAAAGAAAAAGAATATACCAAGATGCAAATACTATCACATTAAATTCTTCATATTATTCCTAATCAGCTTTTATACTTCGCAATGGAGTTCTAAATATTTCAACACTGGAGGACAATTTATTGTAATTGGTACAAACGCGAAAAACAAATGTGTTTTCAGCATAGTATGATTCAAAATACTGTATATCGCAATAAATTTTGTTTTATATCTCTTGTATTACTGTTTAACATAAGTTTGGATATTGTTAATAAAAATTCCTAACAATAATTTTTCTTCACACAGGAACAACAGAAGGAAGTAATAAAAACTCTGAAGGATGAGAAACGACGCAAATTAGTTTTGCTCGGTGAACAATATGACCAGAGCATTACTGAGATGCTACAAAAACAGACCGTCAGACTGGACGAGAGCCAAATGGTAAGTAAGGCTACAAAGGTTTGAAACTATTCAGTCCATTCAAAGAAGTCCTATCAGATGTTGTAAATCACTACTTATTTATTACAAATGTGATTCTTTAATAAAAACATAGAACCTTATTATATGTTGTTACTGAACTTAGAGATATAATAATTTCATATAATATTAGTGTATATTTTCAATTTCTGATTGTCAGAACGTCATTGCCTTCTGGTACTAAGTTTTTTTCTAATTATCTCAAATGCAGGGGTTGGAATAAATTGTAAGGCTGGCTGTATATTATTTAATACTCAAACCGCAGACCGGTCATTGTGACCGGTGTTTTTAATTCATTATTTAATATCTTCGAAATTTGTTGTTATAGAGAGTTAAGTTTTTGTGACTTTTCATTTACCACTTTACTGCATGATGCGAAAAATATAACTATCACTTTGTAATTTATATACCTAGAATTGCGGAAACAAATTTCGGAGATATTAAATAATGAGTTTAAAACGCCGGTCACAATGACCGGTCCGCGATTCGAGTGTTAAGAAAGAGATATTACACATGTATCCTAATAAAATCTATTAGTTATTCCAAATGTTAAAATGACGGGGTTTGAGTCGCTCCTGGTTCTAATTTATGTTATCTGTATTTATGCAGATGGAGTGCCAACAGTTGAAGATGCAGCTGGAGCATGAGCTGGACATGCTGACGGCATACCAGAGCAAGAGCAAGATGCAAGCGGAGGCGCAGCGGAACCGGGAACGACGCGAACTAGAGGACCGCGTGGCCGTGCGGAGGGCGCTGTTGGAACAGAAGGTCGCTATCTTAGATTATATACATAGAGTGACTCCATACAAATGTTTCGAGAAAAGCAGGTCAACTTTTTTATACAATTTTGCGTAATAAATAGATATGAGTGATTCCTTTATAAATTCTATATTTATTATGTCTTATAATTTTTGCATATTTTTAATGCGCAAAAACTTAATTTATTTATTAAATAATTAAATATATTTACGTCAAGGCATATTGTTTTCCTAAGTACTTACATGGAACATTAATAAAAAAAACGAGTCCACTAATTTGACAATTAGCTGACAAAAAGTTGATCCGTTTTTGATACTCTAACTATAATCTTAGGTCACTATATATATTTGATTTAAATAGTAACAATTAGGATGTACAGTATCTATCACTCGATTAACTTTAGCATTTCTTAACATATATTTTTATCCGTCGTAATAGAATACATTAAACTGCTTACATTAATATACTTATGTGATCTATACTTATAATAAATCTGTAGAGAGGTCAATTCTGTACATGAAATATATTTCCAAAATAATTATCAGAGGATGATTAGTGATCGATACTAATGCCAAAAATGCAATCAGTAAAATTTTTGTCTTTCTGTCTGTATATTCGTTATAGAAACAAAAACTACTCGACGGATTTTAACGAAACTTGGTACAATTATTCTTCATACTCCTGGGCAGGTTATAGTATATTTTTCATCACGCTACGATCAATAGGAGCGGAGCAGTGAAGACAAATGTTGGAAAAACGAGAGAAGTTACTCCATTTTTAAGCTTCCGTCGCATGTGCCTTAATGGCCAATTTTTAAAATGTAAAAATGTCCATCCGTGCGACGCCGTAACGGGCCGCTAGTACTATAATAAATAAATAATGTGAAATTATGACATTAATCGTGGCAAAATTAACAATTGACCAAGACTAGGAGTGAACCCTGTGTGTATTATACAATTTTATATTTCATCTTATCAGACCGGACAGACAGACACCTCGTCTACATATGTAAATTAATGTATACACATGTCACACTGAAATAAGTTGTTAACGCTAATTTAAATAAGTGACCAATGATTTGATCAGATGGAGTCAGAGTCGGCGCAGTTCGTGGCGGAACGTGCGGAGCGGACGCGTGCATTGCACGAGCGGCACGAGCGCGAACTCGAACAGTTCGATAATGAGAGCGCGCGCCTCGGATTCAGGTATTTGTCTTCTTACTAAACTACCCTTCACCACAAGGAAGAAAGTGATATCAAAAATATACATTATAAATCTCCTCTGCTTTTGTCATTTTTATACCAATCGTTTACTAGGATCAAATATATGACCTTCATATACACCATTATTATGTGCATTAAATATCACACAATAAGGTTCTCAATTTAGTTGTGTTTTTTATGTTTATTACCTCATAACTCCGTCAGTTAATTCAATTCAATTATTTATTGCTATTCATGTTGTAACAATATAGGTCTTAAGTTATTAAAAGTAAAGAATCAACATGAACCCTGGAAGGGCACAGCAATCACATTAATAAATATTTCATAAAGTACACAACAAAATTTTTATATTATATATATATATATATATATATATATATATATATATATATATATATATATATATATATATATATATATATATATATATATATATATATATATATATATATATGATTAACATAAAATTAATAAAACATTATTACATTGAAACAAAGTAATTTGAAAATTTCTTTTTTTTTATTGGAAAGAAAATACTTACAGATTGGTTCCATAGAAATTTTATCATAAACGGTTCAGTACTTTAGTTTTGAAACCAAAATAACTGGCTTTACTACAATTGAAGTCGCTTTCTTTTATGGAACAAAATTTTAAATTATTAACAGCATAATGTAAGCAATAGACATCATAGTGCGAGCATAAGCAAGCATATTGACACTTGTTTTCGATCATGTCGTTAAATTATTTGTTATAAAACTAACATCACCTAATAAGTACTTTAACTACCACTTCATTGCATTGAGGTATAATTTTGGTTTTTTTTTTAATACTTGAAACCCTTATTTAGCTGTTTTTGTAACTTATTTATTCTTTTAATTCTACCTTAATGCATATCAGCAGAACCATACCATAAATTTAATAAATCTCTATAAAGCCTCGATAGCGCAGTAGGCAGCGCGCGAGTCTCATAATCTCGAGGTCGTGAGTTCGAACCTCACTCGGGGCAATATTTTTGTTACTTTTCAATTTAACTTATAACAAAATAATATTATACATAATAATTTATAAATTTAATCTTTTTTTTTTTGTATCTATTGAATCTTCATTAAATCAGTGAAGTAAAATATATCTTATATATTGACATAGGATGCTCAGACACAGCCTACTTACAGTTTTATAGTAAAACTGTTTCATTAGTTTTTCACCAGGACTTTTTTATGTTACCAGAATATATTAATCTACCACGTTGAAAATGATTCTTCATTCCAAATGCTATATGTATACCAAATTTCGTGATGATTTGTTGAGTTATTATGGCACCAAATAGGTAACAAACTCAATTCCATAAGTTTCCAACAGAAGCTATTTGAAACAGTACTGCCTACTTGTTTAGTTAGCCCCCCGAGTCGTAGATAATTTTTTATAATGTTTGAGAAATGGCACATTGTCATTTTTTCTTCTAAAAGAAATGGTGATTCAGAAAAGATTGAGAATCTATGATATGAACGTAGCTTTGTTGCTTTTTTCAGCGCTCTGGCGATCGCGGAGGGCAGTCGTGAAGGCTACGGCGACGAGGAGCAGTCGCTGTCCGGCTCGATGCTATCGCTCGCGCACAGCAACTCGTCAGCCAGTTTCCCAGCCGGTTCACTTTAAACGCTCAATCAATCCACCTCTCGCCACTCGCCACACGACATCCGACGCACCGATAATGCTGTTGCCAAAAAGTAATCCTCTCCATTATTTCTTTTTATTTTTGATAGTTCATTGTTTATTTTTTTATAAAAACTGATATATTTACAGTATTATAAGGTCCTTTTGTCTTTTGCAGTTTATATTTATTATCATATATTTCTTTTACTTCACATTTTATAGCAAATTTTCACAAATTGAGCTGTCACAAATATTATAATGGAATGGAACATACATATTTATTTTTATCTGTTAGTTTCATAATTATTTACTTATTTATTTGGTCAATTGGGTAATCTTTACAGTCTCCCAATACGTTTACCCAAAAAAGTATCATTACAATAACAAATACTTTATAATTATAAATAACAATGAGAATAAATATTATATAACAATAATAGAAATAATATTGTGTATTTTAATTATGTGAACACACACTCAATGGGCATCCAACGAAACTCCAGCAAGTTAAATGCAAATACATCTAGTTGTGAATTCTGGCTCAAAACATCATTGAAAATACATTTGAGTATTTGTTATATGTCCAAAAATATGATCAGCAAAACAATTTTTGTTGATTGTTTTAAACAAAGTCTCTAGATTATTTATTCGACAGTTAAACAAACAGATGTTCCATCTGATTGAAAGCTATAGTTGCCGTCTGTAGTCATGAACACCATGGACGGTTTCCAGCGGGAACCGCGTGGAGATCCCGCTGATATATTGTATATAATAGGGCTCTTAGAACCCATTATTTTAATCCCTCCTTACCCCACTCTAACACATAAGTTATGCCTCTTGTTTCAGATGCTATTAGAAAAAAAAAAGATACTCATTGCTGTAGAAAGACTAATACTAATTTCATAGAACTCCGAAAGCCAATTTGCAATAATTTTCACAAACTATAAAACCCTATTCTTGTAGTTTGAATTAATATATATACTACTACAGAAAACACTATCCTTTTCCTATTTCCGTTGTCACATTGCCTTATACGCAATGGGGGATAATTAACTATAAAATGATTTTTCTTCTCTGTATAATTATTTTCTTGACAACAAACTTACCTACATAAGTAAAATTTTAAGTCTCTGAGAACAGTCTTCAAAAGCATTAGAATAAAGTTACCATTGTTGTAACAAAACTAATACAATACTTTTAAATATGTGGCTATTATTAGTCGCAAATTATTGTTATGCAAAAATTAAACTACTGGTTCCATTTTGGCAAAAAGTGCAGGTTTAAAAAACCTTTTTTTAATCACAAAATGCTTAATTTTTCTGATATATGAATTTTATACATTAATAATAATAATATACACACATATATATATATATATATATATATATATATATATATATATATATATATATATATATATATATATATATATATATATATATATATATATTGTTTTGGCAACAGCATTAATTAAGTCCTCGAGTCCCATTGATTACTGAGACTGTCGGCCCTCCCGGTAAATAAACGGTAATATTGAAATGTGTGCTTCAAACTAAAGTCTATAGTTTGTGATTATTTTTGTTGTCTTCCAAGAAGTGCGTCAATATTCGCGTAGTCAATGGCGACGTCTCGGGAGGGCATTTCCTATTTTATTACACTATTAAGTTTATTGCACTCCATAGTTAATTATTTCTAGTACGCAGTTGGACTAATAGCGAATATAAGATTGAACACTCAAGATTTTGTTACACAATTTGTAGACGTTTCCGCCTCTTTAATAATATAATTTTAGTCTATAACGGTATACTTTTATTTTCCTATACACAAACGATTTTTAAGAAAGCCTAAAGATTGGCTTGCCTGACTTGAACGATAGTCGTAGAACTAAATAGCACGATGTGAATGACAAATGACCATTATTTAAAAGTCTCACTATCTTTAAAATATCATTACAGAACAAATAGTAATTAAAATCACATAATGACATAGCCGTTATTAGTCCCACCGCTAGAGTATACTCAATATGTTTCTGGTAATTCTGTTGTGTTATCATGTATGCGTAGATATTGTAGTCGCATTAGTTTTCATGCCATTTTTCTTGTTTAATAAATTAATTTTATGCTATTTATATTTTTCATTTAAAAAGATTTTCGCCTATATTTATAATTATCAGAATGTGCCAGAGACATGTTGCTAAAGTAATTAAAAACGTATTTGTATGTAACTGAAGAAGTAAGCCTGTGTGTTGATAATTCGGTATTTTAAAAGATAATGTGATGACGTGAGAATGAAACGCTTATCTATTAGCTAACTCATAACGCGACTCTGTACCGTCACTTTTGGTTATAATAATATTAAAATTATCCGAAAATGCACTGAGAATGAATAGTTAATTTGATTGATACATGCCTGATAAACGATCTCCTAGATATAAGTAATTTTATCTTCGAGTATATTAGCATAAAAGAAAATCAATCAAATATCAAAAATGTTAGACCGTCCATCTTAAAAAATTGTTACGTAACATAATGTACAGTCCAACAGCGACGGGGCAGAGTACAGTAGAGGGCATGATTAAACCTAAAAATAAATAAAAAATCTAGTATTCTCGATTTACTCTTGTATAATAAATATATAGTTTATCGTAAGTCTTTATAGCGTTTTTAGCTAATTTTTCATCTTGATACACTGTCAAAATCAGATGAAGAAATTTCAATTTGAAATATAAATCCATGAACAGATATTATATATAATAAGGCAAACATTGTAGCGCATCCCGGTAAGACCACTATCAAAGTGTACGCTTAAAGTTATTTGACAAGAGAACTTAGATGAATGTAGTGTGCTCATGACAGGCCGAGCCTCCCACGTGGCGCCCACACCAAATCACAAATGGTATTATATCATTATTATTTACTTGTTAGATAGTCAAAATTCTAATATTCATATCATTAGTTTTTACTTTAGAAAATGTTTACGTGTACATTGATTTGTTTAGTAATCACATTTTCTTTAAACCAGAACTGTGTTTATTGAATAAACGCTACAGTTTCTTGTACATAATTACATAAAGTTTTCATTTCATTTTATATAGTCTGTATCGTCTCCTAATTTTAATAAATAATACAGGTGCTGATTATGAATATTGTGCATCTGACTGCCAGTTATGTTTTGTAAATATAATAAATTGTCTGTAATATATATGTATGTATTAGAAAGGACACAGTTTGCCTTATATTGTGGATTCGACGGTGGGGCTCGGCGTTTTGTATATAAAGAACAATAATATATAATTAACTATTATACATAGTTTGTTACTGTTTGTAAGGTGCGGTATATTCTTGTACATTCGAAGTGCGATCAATATGTGCTAATATTTCTTTTTATTTAGTGTCCTAATATCTTTGTATTGTCAAGCTTTTCAGTCATGTTATATATAGGCGATTACGTGAGTTATTTAATTTAACACCGATTTTAGTCATAAATATCCAAATTTAGTGTATGCTATTTTTAATGGTAATTTTTACTCGTTAATTATATTATCAGCCTATATCACACTGCTTGCAAGCATCACACCAAGTGATTATATTTGTGTTTTATTATTGACTAATCATATTAGTCACGACCCACTTGAATTTGATGTAAAATTATAAAAGTTGGTCTAAAATTAAAACTGTTTTAAATAAATATCGACGCACAGTGTCATCGATTTGTTTCAGTGAAACCTTTTTATTTAATGTGCTAGTTAATACGATGAAAACTTATTCGATGGTATTGTGAGTCGAAATTATACGATATAATGTAGGTTCCACTCTCCTCCTGAACTGACCAAGTAAATGACAATAATCTCTAGACACAGCCTAACTAGACTCGTCATCCTGTCACTGTACATACGTATTTAGGCCGGTGAACGAGAGCGAAGCGGTGGCCTCCAAAGTTCTGATCGAATTGTTTGAATAGTTGTCATGACAATTATATTTATAATGAAGTTGATGTGAACTGCTTTGTATCGATTCACTAGTCGATCTTACATGTCATATAAGTTTGTTATTGTAAAACAAAGCAGTAGGTAGGTACGGGTAGCCGACAGAACATTATATTACGTTCTGTGAAAAATATTACAACTGCATTTCTAATATTAAACATCACAAATAGCTGATTTCTGTGAAGAAGTTAAGTCTTAGATAGCTTGATGTCGTTTACTGTCTTTAAAAATTACTTTAGTAGGTTAGCGTTTTAATCGAATATTCATTAATTTTTGAATATTTTGATTATAATATTTGAAATAAGCCATCAATATCTGTGCTCATTTATATCTATTTCACTTAAATTACTAGATCTGATCGAATGAGCGGGCTAAACTATTTTAATGCCAGGATGGGAGACATAAATGTGATTTAAATCGATTTTAACGTACTTAGGCCTGATATATGTATAGGAGCATTGTAAAGCAAAGCTTTTAGAGGCATTATTAAATGTAAAGGCTTTTGAAATGTGGATGATTTATTTCGTACTTGGTCCATCGCTACGCTCTACAAAGGTCATAGCAAAATCTGGAACCGAAGCACTAAGGAATTGAAATGTAAGCTGTACGTTCGCTTGCGTGCAATAGATGGTCGGTACTTAACGTTAGGCGCGTAGTCATTCGCTCGCTGTTAGTTCTCTGACCGAAAGCCGTGCAGTTGTGTAGCTATTGCGTTAAATCTTCAAACTGCAAAGTATTATTGAAGCATATTATTTATTGTAAATTATTTTCTATTATTATTTAAAGCGAACAACTGTATCGGGCAAGGCTATGAGTTTAGTGCGTAGACGCGTCTCTCCCTGTTCTAAACTCCCACCACTTAGCTGTTCTAGAGTTAGTTATCACCCCTACAATTTTCGACCGACAAATTATTAATTAATTAATATATAGAAGTACCAAACTCGTAGTTAGCTGTCACATATTATGATGTACATTGTACTAAATAATTTTTATATTTTACCATTGTATAGTCGTTTATCACTGATAGATAGCAATATTGAGACGAAGGTATGACAAGGTGCGCGCGTGTAGCCGCCATTCGTTTATATAGTTCGCGTGTGTAGCGGCTCGCTCAGTGCACCGTTGTTGTTTTCTTTTTATTTTTTGTTATATATTTAAATAACACAATCGACTTGTAGTTTTAATAATTATTATCATTAATTATTATATTGTAATATAATCTTATTAATGAAAAAAATCAAAGCGGAAATAAATAAATAGAAACGATCTCTCTGTGTACTTATTTTACTCCGATATCTTTGTTTTTAGCTATTTGCCATTCACTGATAAACAGGCCTTAAACATTACTGTCTTAATCTCATTATTTATTTATTTAAAAAATTGTTGACCAAAAGAAAATGTGCTAGTAGCATTCTATATCAGTGAATCATGAACGCGATACTTCATTATTAGGATAGGTAAAAAAAATAACGGTTATTGTATAATACATAAATAATATGTACATAAATAAGATACAGACATAAATATAAAGGATATATATAGACATATATATCCTTCATAATACACAACTAGAGAAATATAAAAAAATATAAAAGATGGTAACTAGCTACTTTTGTTGTAATTCATAATGACAGAATACACGGACTTTGTTTTTTAACATGAAGGTGCAGATCTTTGAAAACCGGTATGATTTTTAGTTGCCGCCCTTACTTTGAAATATTACTTTCGCTTTTATGAGACCATATGATATAGCCAAAGGACGTAAAACATTGCAATATTGCTGTTCTGATATCCATTGAAGAATTCAAATACGATATGGTTTTTAGTTACAAAAATAAAACACTTATTAAATATCGTTAAAAACTGATGTATTGTAACAAATGAACAAAAATAGAATAACAATAAAAACTACGGGTATATCAAATATTCCATAATTAATTGGTTCGTATCAGTACATAAAAGCTAAAAATAACAAAAACCAATAACTATGTAAATATCTACACTACAAGATAGCGCTCAAGTACAGCCGATAAGTCTAGAACGTGGTACAAAATTATAGCTTCCAATTGAATTGCATTTTGATGGATTAACAGTATTAGTTGCAGCTGTTTCATAGCTCATCAATCGGTTATCTATTCGAGTAATAACTAACACTCATTCAGGGTAGTCGTAATGGTAATGTGTAGGAATACCAAGCCAAAACCCTGTGATAGTATTCGTGAAATGGAAAAACCCAAGAATAAGATATATAGTAGGATTCTAGAAACAATTTGCGAATTTTCCGTATTAAGATAGAGAATTTATTTGTATCACCTATAACAACAGACATAGATAGGCATGCACAAGTAGAAAGGAAAATACAAAAAAGTAACGTAATTTTTAAATTGACAATAAAAATTCTTTGGAATAATGAACACTATCACGGTGTTCCAGCTTGGTAAGCTGCTTTTATTATGATTAATTATGTATATTAATATGCAAATATCTACACCATTCTTAAAGTACCTACGCCTGCTTAGGAGAGCACGATACATTAAGAATTAAAATTAAGTTCGATAATCCTACCAAATTACACTGAATCCATGCAATAAATTGAAATCTATAGTCTAGCGTAGTAGACTAGTACATAAACTTTTTTATTACATAAAAATAGGTTAATAAAAAAAGTCTATACATTATTTTGGTTAATCCTGATAAAAAGCCTAATATTTTTATATCAAATATAATAATTTGGAAACATTCACATTCTTATTAAAATGCAAACCATCTTGCACAATTCAACCAGCTTGGATCTAGTTGGCATAGATTAATATAGTAAAATAAGTCTTTTCCCTTGTCCGCGACTTTACTTGCGCGAATCATTATCTTCTGTTATCGTGGGACATTTGTAAGTGGATTTTCTCAGTGCTCACCTAAATCATATAAGAACATTGACGTATTTAAAAGTATTTTACAGAAAGCTTGGAGCCCATTAAAAATGCACATTACCTACTCTTGGAATTCTCTTTGCGCATAATTAAAAGTTCTGCCTGCACCGTGGGCTAGGCACCAGACAACTGGGATAAAACGCCTTTAAATACTCCTTTGTATAAAGAACTGCTGTGCAATATTTCATTCTTGTAAATTTCACCGGATTTGAATGTGCGTTCTGTGATTTGTCGATCAATGTTACTTTTAGTAAATACATTTGTCTAGTTATAACGATGCCTCCAGTGGCTTAAATATACAAATATGCAAAAATATCTATATCAAAATTTATAAATTGAGTCTAAAGATGAGGAAAATGAAGAAACGCATACTCTAACCACACAATCGTTTGTATGTGTATAATTTAAAAAAAAAAAAAGATTACAACTCGAAACGACATAGACTACACTTTTGTAAAGCCACATCATGGCGATAAATTTATTATATCAATTTGTTAACATTAACTTGTGCGTATTGCATTTACAATGATTGAATTTTTATGCATATTTTTATTGTATTAACATTTGAGCACTAAAAACAATACACATTTTAGTACTTATATAAATTAATTCGCATATGGCAATAGGCCATCTATGACTGCGCCATTAAGTATAAAAGAACTTACTAAGCTGAAATAATAGTAGAAATAGTAAGAAAACAATATCGAAACATAGCAAATAGCAAAACAATAATGTCTACTTACTAACTTAAAATAATTTTTTATGACCAAAATTTTATTTTTGTAATATTTAAATAACTAATAGGACGAACATGGAATTTCTTAACCATTTCGACTATTTTTATAAACCCCATGTTTTCTAATATTAATCAAAACTGTGCCCGCGAATTCATTCTGATTTATAATAAAAAATATCCTAAATATTTAGTTGGAATTGGAAAAATAACCAATTTGTTTTTATTTATGCAAACGAACACAGACATAACGAAAAATATATAGATATTTTTCGCTGTAATTGTTAATAAGTATTTAATCCTACAATAATAATATTATATCCACTATTCGTGTTATGATTTTTTGACGAAACTTCATTATATTGGCAGCCATTATATTCTAATTAAAAGAAGATATACTAATTCCACTTAGTTCATTTTAAATTTTTTTTTTATTAAATTCTGTGTGTGTATAAAACATAGTTTTATACTTACACAAAACACGTGGGTATACAAGACAGTAAGAAAGGTAAATTTAAACATTTCATACCTATTTGATAATTAAAGATATATCATACACTTTTATCAACTTAACTATATTGACTTCATTAACTTTTGTTTTTTCTTCTTATGCAAACAAAAGTTTCTAGAAAAATTACTACTAAAATAAAATTTATTTTAGCCAAAACTAGACAAAATAATACACTATCCAATTGATTTTGAAATTTACTTAAATCAATGTTTCAAATATATTTTACCAATTTATAAAACTGCCATGCATGTATATTTTCAATGTTGTTATGCATAATATTCAGTGGAATTCAATGCTCATCTCATTGATACAGATATTACAGTAATATATTTGTATTTTATTTATATATTCTTTATTGCGCTTGTAAGTTACATATAAAATAATGTATTTATAAATGTTGTGAGCAAGGTGGACTTATCTCTAACAGAGATCTCTTTCAGTACAGTAAGAAAGCATTTCGTTAGCGGGCAGCTGAAGTGCTACAACTATTAATACATAAACATTATATATTTTATATATATATATATATATAAAATATATAAAATTATCGATAAATTAGACTATAGAAAAGCTCCAGGTCTTGATAACATTAAAGTGTCAGATATTAAAATAGTTAGTAAGGCGGTATCGGTAGCTATTGCTAACCTCATAAATTCTAGTGTTAAAACTGGCGTATATCCCGATGAACTAAAGATTGGTTGTGTTAGACCGGTATTTAAGAAAGGGTTAAGAAATAATTATTTAGACTATCGTCCCATTACCTTACTTTCTACAATAGACAAAATAGTTGAAAAATATGTTTGCGAACAAATTCATAAATTTTATCGTAAGCAAGATGTAATTTACCAAAATCAATTTGGTTTTCAATCGGGTAAAAGTACTAGTCAGCTGTTATCTAAATTTACAGATGAGATTAATGAACATCTCAATAAAAAACAATACGTGTTGGCTTTATTCATAGACTTTTCCCGTGCTTTTGATACCCTAAAACATGCACAAATAATTACTAAACTTGATGAGTCTGGTGTACGTGGGCCTTTACTCAACTGGTGCAAGAACTATTTACAAAATCGTAAATTCACCGTTAAAATAGATGATGTATACAGTGATCATGTACCAGTAACTGAAGGTACGGCACAAGGATCTGTATTAGGTCCGCTACATTTTTTGTCTTATGTTAATAATATGCATAATATCTTGAAACACAGTTCATGTTACCAATTTGCAGATGATACGTGTCTAGTATTGTCTGACAAAAATATTCAAAAAGCACGAGACCTTCTACAATCTGATGTCAATGTCCTTCTTGAATGGTGTCATGATGCCGGATTGGTATTAAATCCAATTAAAACACAACTTTTGATCATAAAATCACCCTATTTAAAATTTCGTCCTCTATATAAACCTATCATTGCTCACAACCACAAGTGTCTACATATAACTAATGAAAGGAACTTTTGCAGCTGCCCCGCTATAACGGTCAAGGACAGCCAAACATATCTTGGCTTAACTATAGATAGTAAGTTTAATTGGAGTAAACACATCGAAAAAATTTGTAACAAATTAAGACAATTTTTAGCTAATATAGTCATCCTTAGACACCGAATTCCCTTTAAAGTAAAACTGATGCTGTATAATTCATTGGTCGAATCTTATGTTCAATATGGGTTGTCAAGTTATGGCCGCACTTATAAAACATATTTAAATGATATTTTTAAACTTCAACGTAGAATTTTAAGAACTATTGTATCTCCCAAAATTAAGATGCAGTATTATGACGATGATACTGGTCTTTTTCGACATTGCAATATTTTACCTGTACATCTACAATTTAAATACACATTTCTTAAGGAAAACTTTTTTAACAATAAATATTGGAACGAAATTAATCATGCTGTATATACGAGGGCGGTCGCACGGAAGCAACTTTGTACCAATAGCGCTCGCGTAAATAACTGTTATGGTGAGCGTACGGCTGACTACCTGGTTCCTCGATTTATTAATGAACTACCCACCGATGTACGAGATAATATTACTATTAGCAACATCAAGTGTAAATTAAAACGATACTTCTTGCATGGTTTTAATACAATCTAAATAATTTTAATGTATTTAGTATTAATATAAACCTACGTGGTTTCTAAATGCTAATGGAACATAAATTCTGTAACTTGTATTTTTATTGATAATAAAATAAAAAAAAAAAAAAAAAAAAATATATATATATATATATATATATATATATATATATAACAGTTTTTATTTGCTAGTATAAAATTATTCAAGTATACTCATGTGATATGAATATATCATTATCTGCAATTGACTATATACTCGTTCACCACAATTAGAGTATAATTATTTTTAAAAGCAACATAGTTATTATATTTTACAATTACTTAAACAGGCAAAGTGAGAGATTAAGATTGATAAATGAATGTTTTAAATATCACCAAAGAGATGAGCAAAGAATCTAAATCATATTTCAGTATTTCAACTTAACATTATACAATGATAAAGTACTACTAACATCATACAAAATTTTCAAAGAAACCCACTAATCTAAGCCTGACTTAGGTTAACAAAAATATCTATTTTTGTCAAATAAAATGGGCACGTAAAATTATTTAATTCTATCCGATTAATATTATAACTGTATCAGTATTTCAGTCAAGTATTTATTAGCTATGCACAATGTTAAAAATATTAAAGTATAAATTATGAAATAGTTACTACATTTTTGACGGGCGTCTTTAGACTAAAAATGACAATATGAACAATCTAAAAGCATTAAAATTTACACTCGATTAAAACACTGATACCGCACTAACATTTTTCTTATTTATTGTGTAGGCGAAAACTCTGTAGGTTCAAGGATACGGCAGTGCATCTCCCTGATAAGTGGCACGGTGTAAGCTACACACTCATCCCAGCCTGGGTTGCGCCACGTGCTCTCACGGGTCTCGCGTCGAGCCTGCAGGTTCTTGTAGCCTGTTATATAAAAAAAGAAATGGAATCACTAATGTTATGCATGTAAAAATATTTTTTTAATAAATGAAAATGGAACGGTCACCCCACTTGCGTTACCGGTGTACGCTGGCGGAGTATCAGTAACATATATAGATAAGGACAAAAGGACAAGAGTAAACCATAGAGAAGTTGATCTGATAGGGTATACACTTGTGTGAAGGTGTCACCCCCTGGTACCAAGTTTTTAGGCAACCTTTGTTACATATGAAGGCCCCAAATAGGATCTGTATATATATATATATATATATATATATAGTTTTAGTTATTATGCAGTACACAGCTTCTATGTTGAGTTGTAAAAACTGTAATTATCTCCCAATTATATTATGTTGAAAATGTTGCCCTATATATCAATATTCAATTTTAGTATTAATGATATCATCACCAGCTTATTAATATTATGGCAAAAAACGTGTGTGTATATTGATTTAATGCTAGAGCTTACACCAAATATGATGCACGTTGTAAAGCCGCCCGATTTGTGAAAAGTATCCAGCGAAGGCCTCGTTTTGTGCACGCCGGTATGTGAGTCCTCGTGCCCAGTTATTGCCCCACTCTATCATTGTACCCGGTTTTAAGCTGCAACAAAACACAGATTGGATGCCATTAGAAATTATTGTTTGAAGGGTGAGGTGAGGGTGAGATTACATAGACAGCTAATAGATTATAATATGACTATATAATACTGTCCAAGCAATTCACTATTATGCTTACTCCAATGCAAACTACCTAAGATATTATTTTAAAATCTAATCTACACTTGTGATAAAATGGTGTGCAATGTATGTACATGTAATAAAATATCATTATTTACAGTGATAATTTAAAAATATAGATTTTTTAAATGACCTTTATATATGGTATCTTTATAATATTAATATTTACGAAATACGAAATAATTAAGAAATACATGAAAAAAAAAAATTATGAAAATTAGGACTATTATTTATACATATATATGTATGAATAAATATATTAATTTACTCTAAAAACAAGTAGAAAATTCTCAATTATATTCTAATTTTAAAGTCATTTACATACCTGTACGATCGTATTTCATATATGTTATGGGGTGATCGGGGTTCACCATTTGGCCAGAAGCTAAATGCAAGCAAGTACTGTAAGTGCCTTGATCGCACAAAATTCCCACGCTCCTTTTCAAGTGCCGAGTAATCCTGAAAATATTTTTTACGATGTAATTTTAAAATGCATTAAAAAGTTCAAAATTTCATAGACAAATGGCAAAAATACAAAATCCAATATGTCCAGTGAATTGTTTATGTGTATAACTTAAGTTTACAATGTTATCATAATATGAAGATAATTAATGTAACTGAAGATAGCAAGAATAAACAACTTCAGATAAGAGTATTTTTAAAGAATATCTATAAATTGAAGAGAAAGGGATTGTTAGTAATGGAGGCTGAGAATGCCATTGCTATCAATATACCCAACCAGATCAACCTCCTTGCGATTCCCTCTGGAAACTATCATGGTTAATTCTTGATGAATTCATCATGATGGGCTAACTGGCCTGTTTTCATTCTCATCTATCACCCTTCACTGGTGCTCCGCCAGTGTATCCCGTTAGCACAGGCGGGTTACCATTCCATTTTCATCAATCAAAAAAAATCTATAAATCTTTTTGTTTTAAATATTTTCCAAATATATTAATATTAAAGTGTACAACTTTGCATTTTTAAAACATCATCATAACTTGATTTTAAAAATTCTACTCATTAACTTTAAATCAAGCTTGTCAGAAAATACAATTTCCTTGCTCTTACTTAAAAATTATAAATAAAATAGAAATAAATATATTTTAGTTGCAAAAATTTTGATTTATTATGTCTTAGATTTATAAATAAGCTAAACTGAACATAACCATAATTGTCAAAGAATACAATATGATGCCAATAGTACCCCTCAAATTGGAAAATGATTTTTGTCATACATACATACATGTATTTTTACCACTTATATAAATAATATTATTAAATTTGTACTTGTTTGACATATTATATTATTCATTATAATAATTGCAATAATGGACTTGGTTGAAGTAATAATTGAAATAACTCTTGTACTGTTTGGTAGTCTGCATTGACACAAATTTATAAATGAAACATCAATTTATTTGAAAAAAGCAATAGTTGTATTTCTTGCCCATTCTTCTCAGCTAAAATTCCATTCCAAATGGTTGGTGGAACTATAGAAAATATGACTATTCAAAAATACTTATAATTAAGTTTACTTGATTAAAAATATTTTTATTCTTTGTTCTACTGTCTTTATGAATATATTTTTATTATTTATGCATGCTATGAGTTCCTTCATCCTCAGCTTTATTGATTAAAATAGAACTATTTTTATCTTCCTCTGGTAAAGTTAGTACAAACACTTACTGGATCCTCTTTAAACAGTATCTTGGCTCTATCTATCTTCTCAAAACCACCAACATAACGCCACAAATGGAGAGCCTGGTCCATGTCTCCAACTGACACCGTCCATGATCCCACCAGCTCACAACCCAATTCAGACTTTTTTGAATGGACAAATTCTACTGATTTTTGACTAGAAAATAACATGTTTTTGTTTTATATAGGGTGAAATTGACAATATTAGTGGTGTGTGTGGATGTGTGACAATATGTTATCTGATCCCATATTCAAATTGACATGGCAATCCTCAATTCATGGTTAGAATGAACTCAAAATGAAATCATTATGTTAAATTTAAAGTTTTAAGCTAAATAGTAACACCAATTTACTATCTTTAAAAAAAAACACCCTAAGCTTATTTGAAAAAAAAAATATAAACAGACTTATTTCATAATTAATTTGTAGCATCATTTTCATTATTAAATTTAATTATTATATTTTATTTTAATATAATTAGCTAAAGAGTTAACACATTAATGACTAATAGACAACCTCTATTGCTGCAGTAGTAGGCATATATTGCTTTGCATAAATGGGATCCCACTTTCAATTCCCAGTCAGATCAAATTTAGAAGTTAATCTTTACTGAATTGGCCTTAGGTTGTGCCTCTAGATGTTTGTTAGCTAGCTTGAAAACCAAATTATAGTGATTGTATAGCACTTAATAAAAAAAATTGATATTACTGACATTAGAACAACACATGGTGTTAAGTCCATCTTTTATAAAAAAAAATATACACTGTATATATAATTTAATGTTAATATGTAAATATATATTAACATTAAATTAAATAAATAAATAAAATGGTCACAGTAAATATACAATTGTGAAGTCTCCTCCTGGAATATATAAGTAACTCTCTTTCAGTTCCACTCTTCATCTCCAACCTCAAAAGTACTAATATAAGAGTACTTCCATTCATAATGTCAAATTATAAAATGTTTGAAATTGATTCCAGATCATTTTGACCAATCTATATTGAATACAGCAGTAAGTACATATCACTGTTCAGTTTATTTAATAATCATGTATAAAAATTTAATAACAAGATTATAGAAAAGTGAATTTATTATACTTAGTTGTAAGGTGAAGGTCCTTTTTCCGATAATAATAGTAAATAATCACATTATCACTATACACCATCTATTGAACTAATTCTTGTAATTCTATTTACAGAATATTGCATAATAAACAGTACTTTATCTGTTTATCAGTTAAAATTATTTAAAATTTATAAACAAAAATACTTACTAATTTTTTAAGTATTTGTCCACGGAATCGGGCCGTATATTGTGCGTGTGTAGCGCATAAATTGTCTCCTTGTCGCTAAGCATACGGCTATGAGATTCCTTCGTTGGTTCTATTCTTCGCACCAATAATTTAGAAAACCATCCATCATCGGCGTTAAAACGTGCGTTTGTTGTGCCGATCAACCTATAGAAATAACTACTTTTTATGACATGCTCCAAAATTAAATTACAAAAAAGTATATTGAATACGAAAATACCTCGCACTTTTCGGTGCATGTGTATACAAATTAATTACTCTATTTATAGAATTCATAATTATTTAAAAAACAACTAATATGTAGTTCGATCACTTCACAGTATTTTAGGAATTGTTGGCCGACTGATAATTTGATAAATACAGCTGTTATCAACACTTCACAAATTACAAAATCAGTTGAAGGTTATCTTGATTCTTCAATGAAAATAATAAAACAAACAGATTAGTAATATATAGATAATATAATAATAAAATATGAAGGCCGTACACGATTAAAGGTTAGGGTAGTACTATTTATATTTATTTGAAAAGTAGCAACGTAACAATTGTCTATTTTCAAAAACAACCGATTTCATTATTTATTACTAATAAATTATTAAAAAGTTCATTGCTAGTAAACTAAAACGATAATCATACAAGAATATACTATTTAATACTGTCACTGAAGAATTGAATTTTAATGGTAAAAATGTATCTAAAATACTCCGAATCAAAATAGTAGATGTAAAATTTTTAGTGACTAATTATAAGCAAAGTTTTCTGAGATTAATGTTTTAGTTCACTAACAGAGTATTTTTTAAATAATTAATCAGAAATATTGAAAAATATTTGTTTCGAAAATTAATAGATACAAATTCTTTATAATTGCAACGTCATGGTTAAGTAGATGTCATGAATGGCCATCGTGATGAATACAGGAATTCAGTATGATAGTTTTTAGGAAGAAATCATGTGGAGGCCGACTTGACAGGGTATATTGCAATCAATGGGATTAGTAATTCGCATTACTAAGAACCCCCTTTTTACTCGGTACATAGATTTAGTGCAACGTATGTATACTTCAAAATCTAAGTTAAAAATTATCTTAAATTTTATCTTTTTAAATATTAATAAAGTGCTGTATGTAATCTCATCAAAGATTTTGGAATAGATGGTTATAGATATTTAAGTAAAATGTAGAACCATAGGTACTATCCTTAATCTATAAGTAAATATTATGGATAAAGAATAGTATAACATTCTTTATCTATGAATGAAATTAAATAAAAACATAGTCATACATCCAAGTGTCATTTGCTAATTTATTTACTCAAGTACATATTCTTCTTTCAATTAAATAGAAAACACTCAAAAGTAATTCTGGCGTAGTTTTGTTAATTTTTTATCAACGAACCTCAATATGGGTGAGTATAAAAAGATACACTTTTAGCATAATCGCTGCCTTCTATATATACAGTGGGCGGGTTTGTCGTTTGTAAATTATTGGTTTGTGCCTAAAGAGTTTATTAATAATGCCCTTTTGTGCAGCATCCAGTGAGGTGACAAAACTTCAGCAGCATTTATCGCTGCTGAAGGAAGAATATAGCAAACTGCAAAGCCATTGTGCTGAAGTAGAACGAAAGTACACGCTGGCGGCGGCATCCGCCGGGGATCTCAGTGAGACCAGCTTTGTAGCTCGACTTCTGATGACAGTTGCAACTCTTTATGGCAGAAATACATACTCGGACATCATTATCAAGCTGCAGAGCAAATCCATGCCTGGACATAAATTTGTATTAAATGCTCGTTCTGATGATTGGAATGAAGAAGCTCTAAAAGACCTCCAAGAATTAGGTGAGTAGAGTTGTATTACGTCGTTTAAAAGATATGTTTTTAGTATTATAGTTTATCTGGCTAAAGATATCCTATGAAATGTAGCCAATTTGAAAATAACATTTCAGAGTTTGCTCCAATACTTGAAATACATATTCTCTTTTACAGAAAATATTTGTTTTCTTAATTCACATTTCTTTTCAAGTTGTATGTTCATAAATCCTAATCTAAACATTTTTCAAATACAAGTTTGGAAGACACCTCTATTTGTTTACTGTATATTTGTTTAATGTACCAAATTTTTCTCTAATGTGATCTCTTATAAAGAGTTTTGAACAAAAACTTTTCTGTATATTATACTAGTGCTTCATAAATACATATTATCACACTCATTATATTAATATATTTTTTTTTATAATCTGATTTAAATATATTGAAATTATATGTATATAATACAAATAGTACACAATAAAATGTATATAATTTAGTGACCATCTATTTTCTAATAAAAGTTTTATTTGCAACTAACGATCAGGCCAGGCTTATTTTATATTTGCTGAGAAAGTGTTATTGTATCTATTGATAGTACGATATATGAACATAGGGCTGATAGGGCTTTTGAAGTATCTGGAATATGACTGATGGCTCCATACCCACATTGTGCAAGGTGATCACTACAATTCTATTTTCTTTAACACCCCATTCCATATTGTAATTTGATAATGAAAGAAGATTTTAAAATAATAAATGTATTCCAAATTTGAAATAATTATAAAGTTGAAAAACGAAAAGTTTTTATGTAAGAGTATTTATGGCCAGACTAGTTATATTACTAAGTGTGTATCATTTTATTTATTGGCAGATTGGTCAAATCTTCCTGATGACATTGGTGCTGCACTCCTGAAATGGCTATACACAGATGTGGTAGACTTAACCCGTGGAGATGTGTTTGCACTACAACTCATGAAGTCTGCAGCCAGTTTCAAACTTCATGGCTTAGTTGGCAAGTGTGAACAGGCACTTATAGCTTCAGTTGGTGTAAGGTGAGCATGCCATTGAAATTTACTTTTTTATGCAATTTAAAATGGTAAGCTAACAGTTCACCTGATGGAAAGTGATAACCATCACCTGTAGACATGATTGGCACTATGGACATCATCAAATATTCTATGATACTATTCCTTTGTACTCTGTAATTTCACTGCTATATGTCACTTTTCTAATCAAAACAGCTATAAAAGCACAGCTGCTTTACAGCAACAACACAAGTGGGGTATATAATTTTTTGTATTTAATCCAGTTTACTTCTATATGGCTACTACATAAATATTGCCACTATTGGAATTACTGCTTATTTTTCCATAACAAAACCTGAAATAATGTCTTTTAATTCCATAAACAATCCATCATATAATATGATCATCATCATATCAGCCGTTAACTGTCTACTGCTGAACATAGTTCTCCCCCTATAAAGGGGGGTTTTGCCAGTAGTCGCCACTCTTGACAGGCTGGTTGGCAACCACAATTAAGCTTTTGGTGATATTTTAAGAGTGATGCTGCTGGCCATCCCTTGACCAATAAGTTTGCTCAGTTTCCTCTTATGACACCTATAGGAAAACAATGGGTGGCCTATTCTTTGCTGGGACTACACGGCAGCATGGCATAAACCTGTACTATATCTAAGACTGTATGGAAAATATAATACCTAATTATGATACACACGCTATTTACCAAAAAAATAAAAATATTAAATAAGTAAAAAGACTGACGAGAAGTCATATATTATCAAAGTTGTGACTGGAAATAAATTTAATTAAATATGTAGTAAAGACCCACATTATTAATTAAATAATAAATAAATCTTGTGACCTTGAGTTTTAGTAAACTTGAGTGCCTTTACGGATGAGTAGCTTATTTGAAAAAATAAGTAGTTACAATTCTCGAACAGATTCTAGGTAATTGTGCTATAATCAGTCATGCGTAAATGTAACGTTCAAATCATTATGGATATCACTGTAATGTTCATAGTAATGGTTCATTACTTAATCTTAGTGGTTTGGTTTAGTGAAAGTTAAAAGTATGTTGTAAAAATTTTTTTTTATGCAATTTGAGGAACAGGTTGATGGCCTATTTGATGGAGAGTTAAATATAGTCATGAATAGCATAACAAATATCACATAATACTAAAAACCACAGTAATGCACTTCTGTAGTTGTACCATGTAACTACACTACAACAAGCTGGGCACTACAAGCCAAGATATAACTTAGAAAGCACAAATTCAGAATTAACGACAAAATTATTAGAAGTTTATTCGGATCTTTCTCACAATATGTCTTCTAAACGGTTTGATGGATTTTTAAAGATGTAGTGTTGAGGGTATGGGTATTTGTATGTTTATTAAAATATAAATAACCATACACTATTGGTTACATGACAAGCGATGATCTTAGAATGTAATAATCAATAAGCCTATAATGATAATGTGCTGTGTTTTTTAGGTCATGTGTTAAATTTTACTCTGCGGCTGATGAGATAGGAGCTTCGGCTCTTAAAGAACACTGCTCTGGGCTTATATCTACACATTGGGATGACCTCACAGGTGAGTTCAAAATATTTATCTGTTAAAATATAAAATATGAAATTAAAGAGAAGGTTTAATCTGAATTACTCTAAAAATAGTTCTAGTACACTAAAATGTTCTCTAATTATAGAATATAGTAAATGTTCCTTTAATATTTCAAAAAATAAAGATGTGACAAGAGATGGCATTGGTAGTTAACTGTTTGTTAACTGTTTTGAACGCATTGTTACAAGTAAATATAAAAATATAAGAATCTTAATATCTATATAGTTTTAGTTTAATTATTCATAATGTACAAAAATTTATGTCTAATCTCTTAATAAATATTAGTTGGTTTTTGTTATTTAGAATAAACACGCGAACGAAGTACATTATAAAGATAATAATATGTACAAAACTATAAAAGATCTTTGTTATAAGATTTAATGTATTTGTATATATTGGAAACAAATTTTTTGTTTTATGTAAAGTACCATAGGCATCACAGTATATTCTGTGATATACAAGATATTTTTATGTCTGTAGGCGACAATTGCCATTTTTCGTTAGACCGTCAGTTTGATTGCCATTCTAAATATCGTTAAAATTCTTCTTAGGTGAAGACTTCGCTCACATGTCTTCAGCGCTACTCTATCGTATGCTGAAAAGTAAGACGACGCAGCCGTTACATGGAGCAGTGCGGCTCATGCGCGAGGACGTCGTCTTCCTCTGTCTTGTGGAGAACCACGCCAATGTAAGTACATAGTCCTAAAAGCAAAAATTATAATTAGAGTACACGTTTTTAAATGTGTATGTAAAAATGGGTGCAGTTAGTAATTGCCTTATGTGATAGATAAAAGCATATCGCATCTTAACTGGAGTGGAGGCGGCAAATCGGCATGCTTAATATCTGCGTATAGGTGGAGCGACGACGTACGTAGGGTTGCAGGTAATAATAGCAGTGAAGAGCCGAAGACTGTACTCAGTGGAATGCCTCGGGAGAGGCCTATGTCAAGCAGTGGACTGTAGTAGGCTGAATGTAATGATGATGCCTTATGACCTTAACTATCCTAATCAAATTAAGAATTAAAAAAGTTAGGCACAATAGAAAAAAAAGTAAACTATTAATAATTTGAAAAATTTACCTTCCAATTAATCAGTGCGATTAGATTTTAACTGACAGACGTGCTGTTTACGGTATAACTGTGAATACTCAGCGTGGATAGTAAAATGAATACTCTCAGTCGCTAAATGGTTTGCAAATTTTTTTCAAATGCCATTATGACTTTAAAGTATTCTAAAATATTAAAAAAAAACTTAAAAACAGGATTGTGATAATTATATATATCTGCCCAGGCGAACTACGTATCGCCTATCTTTCTAAAATATTTTTTTACGTGAATCTTTCCAATATTATTTTAATAATTATTATTTATTATTATTAATTCTGTTATTCGAGGCGGAGATGAGTTCAACAAATTATATATCATCAAAATCTGTCCAGCCGTTCTGTAGTTATAAATGGTGTAACTAACCGGCCTTTGTTTTATTTATATAAGATAGATTATGTTGTTTTTAGTGAATAAATAATTGATAATAAAATTTGTAAACAAACAAAAATCCAAGATTTTGCGGTAGGCTACTTGCTGTGTTCGATTCTGATTTTAATGGTATTCGATTTTATGCAGGTAGGTTAAATATTTATACTGTTTGCCTCAACTACCATTGCTAATCATTTGTATTCCTCCAACTAGAAACGTAGTAGAAGAAAGTTCCTACGTTTCTACTGGGTTGGGTTTCGTACTCTGATTCTGTAATCGGATAGACATCGTAGCCTTACTGTGTACATACTTCAACACTTCGATATACCTAAAGTCAATCTGACACTGCTGGAGGGACTGTAGTACCGCACATATCTCGACCGAATCAAAGGCTTTCTCATAGTTCACAAACGCCACACATAGAGACAGAATATACTGAATGAAATGTAGATCATTAGAAATCATGTTAAACATATACGAGTTAAATTGTAAAACACCAATAATAATTTAAATAATTTGGTTTCTATTACCATGTAAACATATACATACATTAGTTTTGGCTATTTACGTCTGGTAGAAAATGTATCTACTTATTTTAAAAACTAACGGTCAGTGACTTTGTAATCAATAGGAAATGTGATTTGTTTGCAAATTGCTGCTTACACTTGCATTGCAAACACTGTTCATAAATATTACAATACGTATTACTATGCTTTGTGATTAAGTCATCGCAAGTGTTTGTATATTGAAATTTTAAAACATCGAGGAACAAGTTCCTCTTCATTTTCAACCGGCTTAAAAAAGAAAATTAAAATAATTGATTTTACCACGATTTGAAGTCGGTTTTATTGTGGATTTATTTAATAAAAAAGAAGTGGTCTTTTATCGTGTAAATAACATTTCATTTCCCTTTTTAACTGACTTTAAAAGGACTTTTTTATCTGTTATTTTTTTACTTACACATTGCATCGTAATCCGTTCAGTAGTTTACTTTTTAAATCAAAATAACTGGTTTTGTCACAAATGAAGTCAGTTTTTAGTGGGACACGATCTTTAGTTAGTATTATACAACAGGCAAGAAATCGCCATGCTTATTATATATATAGCACTAATCGTGATATATAAATATTTTTTATATTTAACTATGATGTATTTTATAATTAACTTCAATATTTTTCTTAATATATTTAGGATTTTTTTTTCGTTTTATTAATACACTCCTCGCAAAAATTAAGGGAACATAAAAATTTTTGAAATTTTTGGGTGATTTTCAACAGGCTGTATTTCAGTGAAAAATAATCGTACAGGAAATTTAAAAAAAGGGTTTTGAAGCTTGAAAACTCTAGTTTTCAGATTTTTTAGTTAAAAATTTTTTTGAGCTCCGGTTTCCATGCAATTCTTAAACAAAGCTCAAAATAATTTTTTTCTAAATTTTCTAGGTTTCGTTTTTCACTCTATGGGCATGGAAAAATTTTTTCGAGCTACTCCATTGTATAGGTCTCTTAGCGTGTTTATTCAGCTTCAAAAATCGCTTTAGATGGCTCAATTACGACCACTTGTCTCCGAGATATCGAACTTTGAATGCAAAAGCATCCTTTTCCATTCAACTGCTAATATCTCTAGAACTACTGATCGCACAGCAAGCAAAAATTTTTCTTAAAAATTTTCTTGAATTTTTTAGATTTTTTTTTGATAATGAATTTTTAAAAAACAAAAAATTGAGTAAAAAGTGAAAAACAAATGAAATTATTGATTTTTGAATGGATTAGGGTGAGTTTAAGGGACAAAAACCTTGTTCCCTTATTTTTTCCAAAATTTCAATCAATTGGTCCGGGAAAAACCGTTGAACCGATCGCTCCAGGGATTTAGGGGGTTCTTTAAGGAACAATAGACTGTAAAATTTTCCTCAAACCTTAGCTTTCCCGCCCATATTAGCGAAGATACAGCCAAGTAACCAAAAAAGGAGAACAAGTCACTTTTTTCCACTTTTTTCAATTCAATGTTAGAGGTGGAAAAAAATTTTTTCTTCACTAACTCTTGACTGTGCTTAATTGGAAATTTTATGCAGATAAAGAAACTCGGCGCCCGCTTGCTGTGCGACCAGTAGTTCTAGAGATATTAGCAATTGAATGGAAAAGGATGCTTTTGCATTCAAAGTTCGATATCTCGGAGACAAATGGTCGTAATTGAGCCATCCAAAGCGATTTTTGAAGCTGAATAAATACGCTAAGAGACCTATACAATGGAGTAGCTCGAAAAAATTTTTCCATGCCCATAGAGTGAAAAACGAAACCTAGAAAATTTTGAAAAAATTTATTTTCAGTTTGTTTAAGAATTGCATGGAAACCGGAGCTCAAAAAATTTTTTCACCAAAAAATCTGAAAACTAGAGTTTTCAAGCTTCAAAACCCTTTTTTTAAATTTCCTGTACGATTATTTTTCACTGAAATACAGCCTGTTGAAAATCACCCAAAAATTTCAAAAATTTTTATGTTCCCTTAATTTTTGCGAGGAGTGTAGTTAAGGGGATTTTTTCTTAATAAAGTTCTTCGCCATCTTTCCCTCTGGTATTGTAACATACTTTAAAAATTAAACTTTGCGTGCGTATATTTTATTATGGCTGGACACGTTTATTACCTATATTGCATTCGCAGTGCGAAACTTTAATAGTGAGTTTTAGAATACCATCTAATTATATACAATTTTGTTTATAATAATACTCTAATTAGCGTTGTAAACGACCATTTGCCGTGTGGTCTCGGTATAAAATGGGACATGCCTTCCTTTCATGTTGGTGTCAAACGCGACTAAGGAAACTTATTGGTCGAGGAATGGGCAGCAGTGCCCTTCTTAAAACATCACCAAAAACCTAACTGCGGTTATTAAAACCAACCAACCCATATCTGCCAAGCCAAGACCCCATTTATGGGACCTATGTTCACAACAGCAGTGGACAATTAACGGCTGATATGATGATTATATTTTAAACAACTACGTTGTAAATAATTTTTACCCACGAGATCGGGATATAATGATTCTATTGAATAATAAAAAGTACCTAGTTCAAATACATATGTTATTCTCCATGCAAAAGACTACGTTTGTACCAAATTTAATGATAATTGATCTATCCTGTAAAGTGTCAATAAGTAACAAACAAACTCACAGTTCGACTACCAATAATTCGTTTTAACATTTATAAAATAGTTGTTGATATTTTTCTATATTTACTATCTTTTTAACTATGTTATTTACAGAAATAATTTTTACATCAATATATTGAAAATTGATATTATTAAGGTATTCATAATAAATTTAGAATTAGACGGTTGACTGGTAAAGAATACCATCAGGCGTTAACTCTGCTCTGTATACATATTTTAATGTGTGCAAAAGTATAAATAAATAAATTAGAATGTTTACTACAAAATTTTCTCTATTTTAATTAAGAGATATTCAGATCACAAATGATTATGTCATTTGTGATACTAGGTATTAATATTGATAGGATATTGTAAAATAACAAACTAAAAAATAAAAAACTTTTTAGGTAGGTATAAATAAAAATTTAAGTACAGTTTTTTACTTGTAAAAGTTTTTTTATTGAGGGAAACTATAGTTACAAAATAACAAGTAAATTTTGCTCAACAAAAAACAATAGCGATTTGTATCGTGACAATATTGATTACAAAAACAATTATTAAAATCTGTTTACAATTATATAATGGGAAAGTAAAATGCATTCAATTGTATGCAGACTTTGTTATGGTTAATTGTAGACGTCTTTTAATTTCCCTTTTGTAATAACTTTAATCAGTCCATGATGTTGATACGATGATTTCGTTTACAAAAAATTAAGTGTTCATATGTGTCTCTAATATGATCATGTGTATAATGTATGTATAGAACATGTGTGTTAGTAAATATATATATATATATATATATATTTTTGTATGATACCCCCCATGCGTTACCATTCCTGAGGACTCGGGTGTTATTCCTCTGTACCCTGTAAATTCACGCCATATCCCACCCTTCAAACCGAAACACAGCCATGCAAACACAACTGCTTCACGGTTGAAACACGAATAGGACAGAGATACCCAAGCAATTGACTTTTGTACAGTCTCCCTCTGGTCAAATTGTACACCGCATAATTGTATTACTGTTTTCCAAAGATTGAAATGAAATTAAATAAGATTTATTCGTAAAATCAAAACTGTAGTTTCTTAACTTATATTAATATTATACTTTTAAAAGGGTTTAATAGTTGTGGTTATAGAATTGGGCGCCTAAATAGGTTAATATAATAAACCTGTGTTAACGAGATAATTGATCAGCAGAGAAATGCTACTTACATAGTATTGCAGCATTTTTTTGCATACATTGCATACATTTCACATCATAATTCATAGGTATTTAAAATACTAGCGATCCGCCTATACTTCGCACGAGTTCAATTATCTACTTATACAAAAGTTTCACTAGGATGTATTGTAATACAACACACGTATATATCTAAATGGCAGTGAAATAAGCTGCGTAATTTAGAAAAAGTAAATGAAGAAAAAGACAGATGCAAACAGCAACTTTGTTTTATACACTTTAAAGATAATTATTTTCTTATGTTTTGAAAAAATGTTTTGGTAAATATTAAAAGAAATAAATCCTTATTTTCTCCATTGAACAATACTATGTACTTTATTAAGTTCGCAGGACATTAACATTATAGGTAATGACTAGCAACAATACATAAAACTATAAGCACCGTGTCAGAAGCACACCTATAATTATGATTGATTCTTTGGAATTTAAATCTTAAATACTTTAATATTAAATATTTTTAGTAGACCCATTTTCGTATTTGGATCTAATCGGAATGATTGATTTGGATGGTATCCACCCCTAGATAAAATTTAATATAATTTGTCGTATCGAATTGTTTATTCTTCCTGCATATTTAAGAAGTATTATCTATGAATTTAATACACAAATAAAATTACAAGATTATTTAACCGCCTTAATGCACCTCTCACAGCATACATTTTGAGCAAACATCTTTTTCACTTTGTAAATGTGTGTTATTAATGATTACATTTAATGTAACCACATATATATTATCCATGTCTATAAGATATATAAGTTTGCTCAGCTGATCCGTATCACAAGATAGCACGCGCATTTTGCACATTTTAAGTCTTAAATTATGTTTGCAAATTTGATTAAATTATGTATCTAACTACATTCCGTAGAAATAAAACACTACTCAATATCCTAATAAAAAAATTCGGAGAATATTTTGCTGAAGAATTGCAAAGATCTCCGCGGCAGTAACAATGGAGGGAGTTGGTGAGTCGATCCTCTTCTCCGCTTACATTCTCTTCACAAGTCTCCTTATAAACCTCATATATATTGTTTACTAAAGTCCATTTCCCGTTTATTCTCTTCTGGTCACCGCTCATTGTTTGTAATGCACAGCCCCGTTGATACGTCGTTATCACTGAAATGAAACTATGTATGAACACTGGAATAGCTGTTGAGTTGAAAGTTGTTGAATAATCGTAGGAAGATCCGCATGGTTTTATGTTTAAATTAATTAAAATATACTACTAATTTCGAGGTAAATAGATGAGGGCAGTGACCGACCGCACCTACTAGACTTGCTGTCTGGCTCGCCCCATAAATTATTGTACTTATTTATATTATTCCATATTGTAGTACTTACAAATTCCTGTGATTTTACGTGGCATTTATTTTAATAATCTATCATGATGACGTCATGAAAAAATATAATGTAATAATGCAATATATGTATTACAATCTGCATTATTATATTTTTTAATGTATGTTTTACTTTAGAGGAGTATTATTATCATCACTTTTGCTTTTAATTTTCCACTGCTAAGGTTATAAAAGGAACTGCTATAAGGAACGGCCCTAAGCAACTTGCCTTCACTACTCGCTGCAAACAGCTAATGGGGTGCGAGAAGCCTTGTACTACGTTGCCTATACGAGGTAGCCACTGGAAAAATTTCCATATTCCATACTCTTACTAACTATGGAATGTCGAAAACTATTTACCAATGCCAAGTGATCCCGATATAGAATGGGCCACTCCTTTCCGTCTCGTGAGTGTCATAAGAGGCGACTAAGGAAACTTAATAGTAAAGGGATGGGCAGCAGCGTCCCTCTTAAAATATCTACAAATCCTAATCGTAGTTGTCAACCTGCTTCCAAGCACGGTAATTATTGGCAACGCTTATGGGGAGGCCTATGTCCATTAGTATAAAGTTAACGGCTGATATATATAATATTAAAAAAATAAAACTGAAATTTGTCAGGAAGACGCTGCGTAGTTTTGGAAATTTGTGTAGAGGTTTCTATACAGATAGTGAGTACCTTGCACGTTAAAGTATGGAGAATAGTTAGTTGTGCTGTAAAAATCTTTCTGTTTACAATGACGTAAGATCAGAAGGCATTCGATTCCTGGCATTTAACACTATTGAAGCGTAATTATCGTGAAATAGCCTCTCGTTCAACTTTCCTGCCACGTGTATGCACCCATGAATGTCAGAACATACATAAACAATTAGCACTGTTAGTTTCAGAGGCAATGATAACATATGCGTCATATGGCGATTCGAGAAGTGCATCCGCTTGCATAGTGTACAATTCCAATGATTTAATTCTGCTATATTTGTTATCAAATGACTAATGGAAAACGGAGGGATAAAGTTGTAGGTTTCGAGTTTGTTAATATTTTATTTGTATACACTTTTATTATTGCCCAATGATATAACTAATTTAGCGTCTGCTGGGAAATTTATAATCTATTTCTAACTAGCTGTAATCTGCAGCTTTTCATGAATGAATTAGAATTGAAATTGTCTTATTATATATTGTGTTAATTTAGAATATGATTTATCTGTGTACCAAATGTAATTGAAACCCGAATTTAAGTGTGATTTAGAAATAAAGATCCAAATATCTTTACAAACTGTTAGATTTACAATATTAGTAAAATTCATAATAACAAAAAAATATTATCAGCTTTTCTATACAATCATACCTATCACATTAAAGGTGAAAAGTGAATCTATGTCACAAATATTTCATTATTTTTTTAAAAGAATTTATATAATGTAATACATATACGAGTATAACCAAAACAAATGAGTGGAAGTGAGTTGTGTCCCCCTTGGCTGTTTTACAATAATTTCCATTATTGTAGCAGTAGGCAATATTATTGTACCAATTGGCCTAGTTTCCTTACAAGTGGAAGTTAAGTGCCCTTTAGTGTATGGGCATAAAGTTACACAGCGACGCAACTGTCGCCTCGCCTCCCGTGTCGCTATAAAAGTCCAGCCAACATATATAATACTTTAAATGGAATATTGCGTCAATACAAGGCTTTTGTAATCTAGTAAATGGACGTGTTGTGTTATTTGCGACTGGTTTTACTTAAATATTAGTAAAAAAAGAATTTCTGTTCGCGATTTTATAGATATATCATTAAAAATATCTTTTCTTCTCATCACTTGCATTTATTGTAATAATATGGTTATCCCAGATGGATTGAATTTGGAAAATTTTGTTTATAATAATTTATTTAATCACTTAGTGATTAAATAAATGCATATTGAAATATTTATTGTATTCAACCTGAAATTGAAAGAGATTATATGTAATGTTTATCTAAGGTCTTATCTGGTTCTAATATTATAGATGTGGAAGTAAATTTGTTACTTCCTAATGATCACCAATAAAGGTTATGCTGCCATTGTATAGTCAACATATTGCAATTCTTTAATTATTTTTAATCAGTGAGAAAATATAAAGTTACCAGAAAAAAATAAAATTAAAGACTATCCTATATGTATAGTATATGCATATCATTATAATAAATTTATTACGGTGAGCCGTCTTATGAAATTTATGAAAACAATCTTGCCTGATAATTTACAAAGATAAAATGATGCATTTGCGTTGCATTTGTCCGGACGGCCGTGCCGATGACCTTTTTAAAGACCTCATATTTTTAGAGATTCTGTCATCGAAATTTTTAACTTACAGTATAAATAAAATACTTAGATTTTAGAATATTTATGAATCAATAAGTAAACGTTAGTCACAAAATTTGATTATCACATAACTAAATTAATTGTATTTGATTTTTTTTTCACACAATACATCATGTTAAATATTTCAAAATTATCTGCTAAATCCTTGGTACTTCTGTGACTGTTTTTGATCGACTGGGTGACATCACAATTTATTTTTTATTTTAATGGTAATTTTATTGAAACATGCGTTTTGATCTAAATAATAAAATGGGCAGTTAGTACTATTTGTCAGTAACAATCAGGTCCTCAGAAGGGACAATATATTTAAATAACAATAATAGTGCGTGATAACTAATGATAATTATGTTGACCCTGATTTTTACGCCCTGTCTATACTCAAACGTTACCTCTTCTTTATCGTCATGAACTTGTTTCATTTGTAGTAACAAAAGGAGAACTTACATTCATTTCCTAGATCAAATGTGATTTTCTTCTTAAAGCACATAGTAGAGGAGTTGCACTGGTGTACAAATTTGTCGCTGCCGTCAAATTGTTCGCACGTCTTGTGGCTCATCTGATAACTGGCAAACCGAGGTTCACATTTGAAGCACCTTACTATTGCTGATACGACGGAATCTGAAATATTCTTAGTCTAATTAGTACACGATACGGATATATAGTGAATTAGTCTATAGGTCTGAAGTTTGTTTACATCTAGGTAGGATTGTAAGTGTGTTTTGCGAAATGGATAGTAGAGGTTGGAACCATTTCATTTTTTTTTATTGTTTATTAAAGAAGTAGCATAGCGTCAAATCAAGTTTATAAATGATGTTGAGATGTATGTGCAATAAGAAAGAAATGTTATTACGTTCCGAATTGAAACAGAAGCATGTTCTTCTAACAGCTTATACTAATATTTAGTAATTCCACCAAATATCTATATCATGACTATATTCATAAGGTTGTCGACCACTGATTGATTAATTAATGTGATTGTAAGTATTCTTATCGCAACATTACCTTTATATCTATTCGTTTTACTTTAAAGGAGCATATAGGTCGTAAACCGAAACAAGTCCTTAATGTATGACATAACTATTCCTCTAGTGTGTATTCGTACCAATATAGTTAACACATATACATATTCAGTAAGATTGTTCGACCAGTTTAAATGTAAAACAATGTACGTGACTTTGTTACACGTGTCTGTGTATAATATATGCGCATATGCTTGGCATTTTCCAGGTTCGTTCCGTAGTACTTACAGTCCTCATGCATATATAACAATCTACGAATATTTGTGGGCAGCTTTGGCTCAGAAATAGAAGTACAGTCCCATTTAATCTAAGCTATATGCGTAAAATGTAGAATAACTGGGCAAACACTACATTTTGCTGCAATTATAGTTGTTGAATATAAAACCTTTAAAGAAATTAATATAACACCACATAACTACTGGATTTTTCTTAACTGAAACTCTGGTCCTTAATAGTCAACTGTCTTATCACCCCACGAATAAATTGACAGTCATAATTTACTCTATCCTTTAGTAATATCTATTATAAGTGAAATCTTTTGTTATTTGTTACCTTATCCCATAATAATGACTAAATTTTGTATGATAAATCATTGAACTTTAATACCTTTTTGTATGATAGAAACTGTCGTAGATGTAATTAGTGTTATTTTTTAATTAAATTAAAATTTAACTCAATTATGAAACATATCATAGTTGTATACCAACCAGAATTTTCTGATATTTGTCTATTACATACTATACAAGTTAATAAAAGTTTATTTAATGAATCCTCGAAAATAAAGACCAAAAGAATTCTTCTGGTCAATTAAAAGAATAGCTAGAAACCATTAAAGCGCAATTCACTTAATTAAAATGTATTGTAGAGTCTACGGGTAAAAATAGAAAAAATGCTATTTTGTAATTGCTGCAATATATAAATTCATAATTTAATGTTAGATTTATTATTTTTATTTTATTCATAAGCTATCTTTACAGCAAAAAGATATTTGCTATTAAAACTTTAGTCTATTAGTTATTTATTCATTATAAAGTCAATCTGAATATGTTACAAGAATATTACATAATATGAATAATTAATTGTGCATTGTATAGAAATAAAACAAATGAACTTCATTGATATGAGTTTATATGATACTGATGTATCATACTAATATATATACAGAAAAATGAGGACAATAAAGAATAACTACAATTTCGTGAAAATAAAAATCGATGTTCCAATTAATTACGTCTTTCCGAAAAAACCGAGCGATATGATAAATCTAATAAAATGAGAAAGGAATAATTATGAAAATTTATTATATACAAATTAAAATATTCATCATCTAAATACCCATCGTGGCTAATCCTCAAGAAATTAATCACAAGGGTCTCTGGAGGGGCAGCGTGGATGTCGAGCTAACAAATGTATATTGCTGGCAATGGGGCTACTGCAATTAATAATCATAGCAATTAAGTTTCGAATTATTAGATAAAACATATATAAAAGAGATTTTAACCGGACAATTGGTTCTTTTAGGTAAATATGCCTAATGAAAAAACAATTTGTTTAAGTAGATTTATTGGTAGTTACTTATATTTAAAATGAAAATCCGTATTACGTGATAATGAGGTCGATTCTGAGGCGCCACCTCTCTAAACCTATATCTAAAGTTTCAATTTGATTTGCCACAGCGAAATCTTTGTTCTATAGAACAATATGAAATAAGTTTCTAATAATTAAAATTATAAATTTGATTTATGATAATCCATAAAACAGTAACTTTGTGGAATTATCAAATTAAAATATTAGGTTAAGTAAGAGATAAGTTTAAAGAGATAACACAGCAAACCCAAATGTTTAATTGTTGCTTTAAAGTTTTTTGTTTGTTTTTTCTTTTAGCGCCGTAGTATATTTAGTTAAATAAAATTTTGAAAAAAAGGTTAAGGTATTTATTTTAATCCCAATCGTTTTAATATAATTGCAGATTATTATTTACATATGATATATACTATGCTAGATGTAATATATATTATGTAACTATATTTTTGATAATACAAGTTAAGATTTAATTACTATATTAATTGATTTATTATTAGCAGCAGAAATAATGATAAAGAATACAAAGTTTGCTTTGTATAAGTCACTTTGTAACCTTGCGCCCACAATTACATGTTAAAATTTCAAACCATATGTTTTAACTGTCTTTATGCCCACATACAAAAATATTTTTATATATGATATTTATACTTTATTTAGATTATAATTTTTTTTTTAATAATAAAGTGATTTATTTTTTATACGTATACTTAATTTAATAGTTACTTTGTTTTTAAATCGGAATCTATACTTAAGTGATTCAAGTGCAATAAACTCTTGTGTTTATTGTATCAACCACTTGTTGCTTCTATAAAAACATTAGGTAGCTTTCAGATAAAAGTTATTTATAAATTTATGTATAATAAAATAAAACGAACACTTACATTTCCAAAACAATGTCAAAGCCAATAATAATAATTTTAAATCCATTATTATGAATGAAACTCCACTTAAAATACTTTCAGAGACCTATTAGTAAAATAAACTTCAGCGTACCGGAGCACTTCATGAATGGCTCTTTAGAAACAACATTTACGAGTAATTAACTATCTACACAATCGCGTTTGTTCCTCCATGTGTTATAGAAGACTGAAAGCGGCTCCAAGCGGCAACCACCACCGCGCTTGTATCGTGATTCACAGGAAGGAAACACAGCGGCAAAACGGTACATGTCCAAATATCGAATAAGTGAGGCTATAACTCGAGCAGCGGCGCTGAATCATGCGATCGATGCTGGCGCCGGCGCGAGACTAACCAAGACATTAATTTTTGTTGGCGACCGTTGAATTGGATTTGAATTAATGCGTCTAGTTAGATTTATTTTAATAAGTGTACATTAATTAATTAGGTACATACCTATGACATTGTTCCCATATCAGTTTACGAGTGGATACTGTTAACATACTTTGGGGTTTTTATATCCAGCTATTATGTAGGTATATTATAATGATTTTGTTTTAAAGCGGCTTTTAAATTAATTGTTAAAGACCATGATTTTTTTCATAACCAAAAAATATTACAATTATAATACTATTTATATATTTACTCTATATTGCTTCGGTTAAATTATATATATATATATATATATATATATATATATATATATATATATATATATATATATATAAGTGATCTTATCGCTAAAGCAATCTCTTTCAGACTTCTTATCCGATATTAATATATAAAATTTAATATTAATAATTATAAAGAAATAATTGTCTGTTTGTGTGCATTTGGTAAAGTCCTGCTCCAATTTTTTCCCATGCTTTTCTATTTAAAGCTGTTCTTGCACGTTATTTTCCATTTATCTTATCTATATTATCCTTATATCTTTTATTCTGTCTGCTTCTACCTATTTTTCTTGTTATTAGCTGCCAGAAATGACGTTCCTAACCTATCTATAGACAATTAGCAACGTCACTCCGACTCCATTTATCTATGCCGGGAATTGAATGCCCGGTAGATACATCGCCATTTTATTTTTTTGAGTTTACCCCTACATGTTTTTTTTTTTCTTAGATATATACATTATTTTAATCTGTCTCTCCTTCTTAGACTAATTTCGCGTCTCTCCGTACCAAGCAATAAAACTAAGTTTTTTTATTTTGTATGTCTGATAAATTTACATAGATGGAAGAATAATTTGCAAAATTATCTGTTATAATTAACAATACGGAACTTTGAAAATTGTTACTGTCATGTTGTCAGACGATTGTTAGTTATTTGGGTTAGAAGTCAACGCTTCCATTATTATAATCGATACCAAGTGAGTTATCATAGATAATTAAATAAAAACATTATTTTATGACTTAAGCGCCTTCTGTTCATGCGTATTGTGAAATATGTTGATACTGACGACTAACATCCTTCGTAATTAATGATAATAACTATTTTATTATTATAACTATATTAGTCCTAAAAGCCTATGGGGGCACTCATAATAGAACTATTTAGATGGTGTTTGTGCGCGCAAAATTACAGAATCGATTTGGATGAAAGTTGGTGTGGTAATTTAGGTTTTAGGTTGACGTTTAGAATACTCTTTACCGCGGAAAATATTTCATTTAAAATAGAAAATCCGAATACAAAAATTCGTATCGAAAACAAAGTTGCTGGCATGGCAACAAATTAATAATGTTTGCCCTATTGTTACAGCTAACGTTATACTTACTGAGATCTACCATCTGTTTTACATAAAAAAATTAATGTTTATGCAAATGCAATGATTGATGGATGCTTGAATCAGAGCAGAAGATATATTTTACAGATTTAAATGTAACTTGACAGATGACAGCAACTTGTTGGACTGCGATTGCTTTATAAATTGTTTGGAATAATTTACTATTAAAATTCACGCGAACAAAATTGCTGAGGATAGTTAATACCTAATGCAAATTTATTCATGGATTTTGTGACGTGGTTGATTCAGTCCAAATACAACATCTACATCTGCTTTATTGAACCCATTACATATATTAAAATATTATGGCAGATATTCACTTGGCGTGTTGATGACTGATGCTTCATTTTACTGGTAGATACAGAAAGCATCCGTTTTGATTTAAAAAAAATTTAACACACGCCCAACGTCAATGGAGAGATTATCGTGTATACTCTATTTTTTTTTTATATGTTGCGCTACATTTTTGAGAATTGTGAACCGAATTTAATATTTCTTTTTAATTGATTTTTTGTGTGGGTGTGGGTCCATATTACTTATGTCCAAATCGAAGTCGATTGTTTTTTTCTAAAACAAAACTTGAAGAATCTATCATAGGCTACCTACCATATCTGTGATGTCTAAATTCGTAATATGATATTAGCTTATATGTAAATTAATTGTAGGTGGACTACAAATGAATTGTTGTATGATTTTTTTCACTCAGAAGTGTATTATTAACGGATAAAAAGCCTACCACGACTCGTATAGTATGTATTCTAGTCTAGGCTGGGATTTTAGCTTATTTAAGATATAAATTTGATTGCGTAAATATATCTTTGCTAAAAATTATAACTCTTTTTGAAATCGATTGGAAATTGTAATTATTATTTTTGAAAAGGAATGAGATTTTGTGCACCTATTTTGACCATTCTTTTTACCATCCATAAGGTTTATTCTGACATAGATCTATGATGGAAATCAAGCGTATATAACAATATTACAATATATATTGGCCCCATACTTTTTTAAGATCGATGGATATCGGTTTTTCGTTCTTGTGAACCTTATTCTCTATAGAGTAATGCATTCAAATTTTCCTGATCCTTTGAAGTTTATATGTTTTTTTGATAAATTATTATTCATATATTGATGTTGAACAGCTAATTCCCGTAAGTTGTAATAATAGGAATTGTTTCCTTCCTTTTACTCAATGTTTGAGTCATATGATGATTATTATTTTTTTTAATTATACCTAGGTAAATACCTAGTAATGACTTGTTTTATTAATATAGATTCTCTGGAATTAAATATGAAGTACATTAAGTGTTAAAGGCTGCGCAAAAGATAGTTTTGTCTGCGGGTAGAATGTTTCTACCTTTAAACCCTGTAGATACTTGTATAACACGTGTTACATACAATTTTAGAGCTTTTACACGACTAGTGAAGGGCCTAGTTTGCCTTTTTTTGTATTCGAGTATTTTGGTAATCGTTACAAAAAGTATTAAATCCTTACTCGATGCTAATGACTTGGGCAAGTACCTACTCGAGTATTTATGGGTATTCGAGTAGTTTATCACTCGAGTAAAATACTTTTTTAATTGATTTGAAGATTACTTTTAAGAAAATAATGAATGTTCAATAATCTAAGTACTGAATGTGGTAGGTATAAGAAAGTATAATATTTTTTTTTTATACTTTAAGTATTTAGTTATCAATCTTGATACCTATGTCTTTTTATCGAAGTAAGAGTGCATAAAAATAACAAAAAAGATAAGATACGCAGAATAGGTACAAAGTTTTTGTTTTTATTGATTTATTGACTAACATTTTTCTTAATGTATTATTATTGTTACAAATTACCAATTTTGTTAAAATAAATATGATCTTTCACTAAGTATGTAAAAAAACATTATATACCAGAACTAGTCCTATAAAACTCTAGTAATTCTCAGTATTTTTTTTTTCAAGTATTATGAATCGTCGACTAACACGGAAGTTTTTGTTGCCAATTGTAAAAAGAATTATTAAAATTTGTGCAAAATTTGTGATGTAAATAATTACGCAATATAACCACAAAAGTATAGAACGAATTGAGATCCTTCATTTGGAAATCATTTATAAAATGAGTGCTCTGTAATATTAACATATCACAAATATAAGTTAGAACCACATAAACAATAAATTAATCCTATGATAGTTCAGTTTTACTTTGTGTATTAATTGTAAGTAAACTGCGAGCAATAGTGATATTATTTGTTAGTAACAGAAAATTTCGTTTAACCTTTAAACTATGGAATCGTAAAAAGTAGCATAAAAGATGACAAATAAATTACAGTATATTCGATCGAGACCGGTTTATTCGTTTCCAAGATTAGCCAAGACAAAAATAAACTGTCAGGCAGATAAAAATTGCAAAAAGTACTGTATGAAATTTTGTAGCTTACATAACTGATGTCCGCGCGATGAAAGTTGGCTGCTCTGAAACGTTCTGGATGCAAGTATTTTTGAATGGTCGTGAAGGTAAATATATGTTAAAAGCGTTCGAAAGTCGGTCTGGATTGTCTGGCAATTGTCAAGAACAATTTACAAAATATTTCTATTGCGAACTAAAACGTTAAATCACACGATTAAGCTATCATCTTGCATATAAATTCACGGCTAGAAATTGTACAGCTACTTTAATACTAGCCAATTGTACAGCTTGTACAGCATTATTTTATATATGGTATGGTAGTTTCCAAATACCATAACATAAACAATGACAATGATACTCATAGTTTAATAATAATATTGCATAATTCACATTTTACTTTGCTATGTGTCGACTTCCGTATGAAATAAATGCTTTTATCTTGCCTTTCTTTTGTCAATCAAAGGGAGATTTTGTACAAAAGTCGTTTGCTTGGATACCTCATTCGTATTTCAACCGAAAAGTAGTTGTGTTTACATGGTTTGGCTTATTTGCCATTCTAAGTTGTATAAAAACACCCTTTTTTACCTTTTATTCCCCTTGTTTCATTCATTTAACGTTGCGACACATATTTTAGGCTTTAAAAATATTCGTGTAAAACCATTCACATATAAGTAGTTCAAGGTAGTCAATAATTGCGAACTGTATATTGCGCGATATTAAAAATTAACATTAATTATATGACAAACAGCCAGATCATAATATGGAATATATTTGAAATTCGAATTCTGTAATAAAGTAAAATTATGTGTATTTTTAAATAGTTTAAAACAGAATCTACTACCCACGTCTGGGAAAAATGCTGTAGTATATGATACTCTGTGTTCTTATTGTATCCTAAAAATATAATGTTAAAGTTGATTTGTTTGTTTGTTAGCAATTTACGTAAAAATGGCCGGATTGATTGTGACGAAATTTTCACAGCAGAAATGTTACCTATTTACAAATGCATCTTTTGTAAATTACAGTATTGATTCTAATTGACAACAGATGGCAAGAAGAAATAAGTGTAAAACATTATACGACATTTGATTGACATGTAAGATTATGTTTAAGTAAGTTAGCTCAACTATTCTAAAAAAAAATTCACACCTCTACGATCAATCGTAATTAAATAGAAGAATATATAGAACTCTATTGTAATTGACATAGTTATCTGGATGTACTCGTAAGTATAAAATAGTATTTATTTAATTCTATAAAAGTAATTATTTATATAAAAGTATTTTCCTAAACCAATATTTTATAAGTAGGAAATATTGTTTATAATGGATAAACTTAAAAAATACATAGGTAATTTGAAAAATTATTTTATCTACTATTATGTATATGTAAATTTTCTGCCTTTCTACCCGTGCGATTTCAATAGTATAAAATAAATACATATAAGTATAAAATATTGTTACGTAAGATTTTATTTATTTATTAACTTTTCGTTGCCATAAAGATTCTTTCTATCTTTGCGAATTAAAAACCGATTCTAATATATTTTTTAATCAAAAGGAAAAAGTTATTAGTTCGACTTATTCTGTTAAATTTGATGTGTTGTTTTTTTATTACCAAAGTCTTAAATTATTGTAATACACTATCATAAATACATACAAAAAGAGACATTAAAATTAATATTATAGATAGAGAGACAGATAACAGAGAGATTTAAAATACTTATGGTTTGTAGAGGATTTCGTAAAAAGTTTGAACATATTTACATAATATGTATAATATTTTACGTTATTAAATAAATTGTGCTGTATTCTAGTTTATATTACATTATCTTTAAAGTAAAATGTCTATAACCAAGAACAATTTTATTTATATACGCTGAGGTGTATATCTACTTCATTATTATAACTATTAAGTAAAAACTAGTCTAAAAATTTTGCTAATTGATGGCGTTTTTTATATTTACAAAACTAGCTAGCTCTGTCCTTCATACGTGTTTAAACTAAGTATTATTTATTGCGTAATCAGATTGAAAAGTACGTCAGTGAAACATAGGTAATTCTGTTAAATCTTATTAAAAGAAAATAAGTAATATGTGCCGATATACTCCAATAATATGATTGCAATAGGTGTTACATCTGCAATTAGAATTATTGATTACAAAGAAATAGCTGAGTATAATTTTATCGACGTTTTTAGTCTCAGACGACAAAATAAACTTATTAGGCAAACTTGTTCTTAGTTTTGCATGTACATTAAAATTCTTATTTCAAAGTATCTAAGCTGCTATATTATTTTATAGGTATTGTCTCTAAAATTTGCCTTTAAGAAACTTACATTTTGAAATTATACATCACTTTAATTTTTTTTTTAAATATTATGGAAACATTCTTAATTAATAAAATGTAGAAGTATATTTAAAAATGGGCTCTAATATTACAGTTCATAATAAAACGTCGAAAGATTGTTTACAATAAATATAATTCTATAAGTCACAACATTGAACTATTATTATGTACATAAAAGATAATTATTTATTTTGTATCACATTTTTTGTATAACACTTTGGACCCATTATTCCCAAAAGTCTATAATACGAGGTGTGCAGTCTACCTAAGGCTATTAATATATTTCATAAGGTTGAACACTACAATAACGCCCATGATGTCAGTGTAACCCTCGTGGTTGGTACTCGGAGACGAGTTGCAGAGGTTACCTCGACAATAGCAGTATCTGGAATTCAAAAGATATTTCGAGTTATTATTTATTTATACTTATGTGTACGAAAAGTTATACGAGAATATTTATTATTATTACTATTTCTGAATTGATTATAATGTATGAAGGGGTTAAATTATTTTCATATTAATTTTGGACTCATGAAAAATCTGACGGATTTAATATCAATTCGGTTAAATGCCGATATCTTTCATATTTTAGAGCGAAAAGATGATGTTATCATTTATTTGGTTTTGAGGCTATGTATACTTTGTATCGCCAATTCTAAACTGATTTTATTAATTATTTTTACAATAGATAGGGTATACTTCTGCGTCAACCTATATTAATTTTGATATGTTTAAAGTTTCCGTTTTTCAGGCAGGTCAGCTAGTTTTTAATATTTTTATTTGAATACATGTCCATGACATTCAAAAATTGTTCTTACCGATTGAACGCTGTCGTTCTTTCTCCTTTATCGTCTACTATTTGACATCCTTCTTTGTATGGTTCCATAACTTCGACTTTTGGAACCCATTCACCAGTCGTAAAATCATGATACTCCAGTTTTTGGGAGGCGCAGTCACGTAACACGTTAGTGATTCTCTCTGAAATAAAAACAAATGTAGATTGAATGACATTGTTAATCCTATACTATGCCAGATGGCACACAAGGCTGTCTCCAACAAGGTAGATAAAAATAAACCTAACTTGAATGTTGATAAAATTAATATTTTTTATTTTTAATAAAAAAGGATTCTGTGGGTCTGTGGGTTTGCTGGAAGAGAACTCTTGTAGAGTTAAGCTTGCTTGTTGTACATCTTATTTCAAAATTAATTATAACAATGTAATCTTTGTGTACAATAAAGTATCGAAATCGTTTCAAAATCAAAGATATGACGTAGTAGATACGTGATCGATTTTCAGACACTAAAGTAACTTTTGAAAAGACTTATTAAAAGAAAAACATACTCGTAAATTTATATATTAAATTATTCAATCATCAAATATTAAATTATATATTAAAATTAAATAAAATATAACAAATACTTTGATAAAATAAATTATTTTATGTTTATATTAGCTATATTGTTGGTAGAGAAGTTAATACAATTTGGGATAGATTTAAGCTATCGAGAATAGTTTCCCATACATTTGGGTTACTCGCGGCAACACTAGTAACTAATTGGAAATTTGGTACTGATTTTTGGATCTTTCAGTTCTATATTAAATAAGTGTAAATAATTGCAAAGGCATGAGACCAATCTATGTTTAATATTCTAATTTCTAGCCCAGTTCTTACAAGCTTTAGGCCTGCGTGTAAGAGATCGAATTGCTTTATACGAGAAGGGTACGAAATTTTGCATTCTTTAAATTATTATAAAACCTCACCTCCATTTAATATGTCGAGATGAAACTCCTGTATCATGCACATAGTAGAGTACGGGCAGTCCACGACGAATTTGTCCGAGTAATCGAAATGAGCGCAAAGGTTCTTCGTTGTGTCGTATTTTTCACCTTGCGGCGGGTTGATCAGACATTTGTAGCATTGCAGTGACGTTCCTGGAACACGAATACAGGTTATGATTATAATTATATGTTTGATATGTTGTATATATAGCAAAAAGTAGTAAACACCTGGTAAGTATCAACAATCGTCTAATAAATTCATAGATATCATAATAATAAACTCGCTCATCCTACTCGACATGTGTTGCCACTCTTGGCTAGGCGTTCTGTTTCTTGTTTATAATTTACATTAGCCAACAACCAATTTTAATCAACAATTTATACATTGCTACTTCATGGATAAAACTACTGAAATGGATAATATTTACCTTGTCGAATGACTTATATTCAATTTAAATTGGTAAAGACGAATGACTCATATAAAATTCTATCATCAATAACAAATATTTTTCGCTATACATCATCTAATCTTCATATTTGTGTTCATTTATATTGCCGCAACAGCGACTTATGGTCTGCAATTTAGTTATTTATATCTATATATCACAGTTCAAATGTTGCTTCAGGATAAGAAGAGGAAATATAGTAAAATGAAAGTATCTATACACATTGTTATAAATTGCGAACTATTTATAGTGCCTTGATAAGCGAATGCTACGAGGAAAAGTCAGTGATATTTTAAATAGGTATTATTATTTTTACAACATGATACAAAAGACAACTTCGATCAAAAACAAACCTAATAAATAGAAATAAATAGAAAATCGTTATATCAATAAAACTCATCGATTTAAAAAATATAGAAATTGGTTCATTATTGGCAAAGATATAAAAACAAAAAATACAATAAAGTTGAGAATCTTATTGAAGCTGGTTTAAAATATAAATGTCAATGGGTTCGAAAAAAAAATCCTGTTCCTATTTTTCTCAATAAATGGTGAGTGAATTGTGTCAAAGATGATATATAATTGCGCGCAAAGAAGAACACAAAAACAATGACTGATAGGGAAAAATAAAAAAGGAAGACTTTTTTTATTATACTATTAACCCAGTTTATAGATAATACACATATTATTATCATAAATATTCTGGTCACGACTACACATTGATCTATGTGTCATTGCCCTCTAAAACATATGGGTAGATAACCGCAATGTCTGTCTAGTTTATAGAATAAAACTTAATTATAATATTTATAACATTATTACTGTTGTAATAACGGTCCTCTTAGAATGGACCTAAGAGTTCCACTCATAAACTGACTTCAAAAAAAGAAGCTTTTCTGTTTGCCTGTTTTTTTTTTCCTATTTTGCGTATTTATACCACACTTCACGGCACTTTGAAAAAATTGGAATTGAATGAGTACTCTTGCTAGTAACTTAGTCAACCGTCCTTTTTATATAATTATATTTTATATTCTTTTTTTATATATTCGATTCGATATATGTTATTTTAGTGCAGTTCCTTCAGTACATATAAAAATGCATGTTTTCTCAAGACGTACCCGGTATTATTGTTCCTCGTCTACAAGTATTTAAGTATTTTAACTATATTCCTGGTACTATTTTATTTACAGTATTCGAAAAATTTTGAATTTGGAAGTGATTTTGGTTGATTTAAAAAGTTTTCTTTGGTATAAAACCATGTAACTTAATACTTATACTCCTGTTTAAAACCACAATACTTAATTTGATCCTAAATGTTCATTATTAAGTTTTACTAGATGTAATTATGTGTAAGTTATAACACAATCTTAATTATCTTATAAAATATACTCTTAATTAAAAAACGAACAGTCAGTAAATAACGGGACAAGGGTAGAACAATGATGATGATATTGTCGTCATAAATTAAAGTGTCCAGTCATTTCTAAATGCTATTTTTTAAATGTCAATAACCTTATTATATTAGGTATATATGACGAAACAATATGAAGTAAAACACGTCGGTCAACGGTCTATGTATATCAACTAAGCGAGTCTACTGACTCTGCTGTAACCGTAACTTGTCACGGTATAAACTACAAATTAATGGATCTCGATCTCTACATGGTCAATGGGTCTAGACACTAGACAACATGTACTTCATATGATACTGATCTCTAAATGTTAACATTAGTCTTATAACTTAGCGTCTTTTTTTTTTGTGTTTTTTTTTTGGACATTAAAAATTGTTCATAGCGTGTTTCTGATTTTCCTGTGAATGAGATATCCACTTTACTATCCACAGAATAATGTCACTGCACAATTGCACTACTAACTACGTAATGCATCTATACAAGGTGATTTCGAAATCGTTAACATGCTTTGAAGGAAGTATCCTACCAGTAAAACTGAACATTATTATCAGAGAAGTATACGTCGAAAAACGATGAAAATTTTGAACCTTCTATACTAACACGGCGTTTTCAATTATAAGTATAGGAAACTCAAAATTTATTGTTGTTTTTAAATTTTTGTTTTACGTAATTTCTGTCCTAATATCTGTAATAATAAATAGCATGAGTTGATTCTTATATTTACGTACTGTTAATGTTTTCACTCTGTAGAGATAGAAAATGGAAATATAAAATATTGTGATGTTTTCTTTATACCATTTAGAATGCCAAGCAAGCTAACGGCCCATCTGATGGAAAGTGGTAACCGTCGCCTATAGACATGAGCAGTACCATGGACATAACAGAGTCTACTGTTTCGCCCATGATACCCCTCATGCGTTGCCATTCCTAAGGACTCAGGTGTTATTCCTCTGTACCCTGTAAATTCACTGCCATATCGCACCCTTCAAACCGAAACACAGCCATGCAAACACAACTGCTTCACGGTAGAAACATGAATGGGACAGAGGTACCCAAGCAATCGACTTTTGTACAAAGTCTCCCTCTGGTAATCTTAACCTGGTATCTTAATTACTAAATATTATATCCTAAGTGGTGTTATGGTTTAACACATTACCGTACCTTTCGATGGCTACGGATTATGTTTTCTTATTATGGTTATGTTTTATAAAAAAAATCAAGTTTCCCAAACTTGATTTTTTTTTATAAAAGATAACTGGCGTAAATGGCGCTGGGTGATAACTAAGTAAGCTAATACAATAATTAATGACTTAATTAATTCAAGACTTCTAAATAAGTTCCACAATAATTTTCGATATAGATAAAATGTGTATTTGATATTTAGTAGGAAAGCTGTTTTAGAGCACTGAAACATATACTTAGTTTATTTGATACTTTAATTTTTGTAATCGTCGTGATATAAACAATTATTTCAAAATCAAGTGGATCTCAGTCTCAGTAGATCGTAACAATAGTAGCTTTTAATTCTAGTATTTTGAAATGAGTTAATCTCTCACATCAATAATTTTCGGATGAATAGTGAATGTCGATGAACTTATGGAAGTTCCTTTTTATATTTATTTTCAAATTGTAGTATGATTCATGTTTGCAACATGGTTTGACTCCCACGCAGGTTGCTATAACGCGTACGCGCTTTGATGAGTGATAGTTCTGAGAATCGATCCTTGCCCTCTTTGTCTGTATAGTATTTAACTTGAATATATAAATGCGCTATTGTAAGTTGTATCATTAATATATTAGTCATCATCTAAGGATACATTTTATAATTAACTTTTACGTTATGTTCGTCATCGTGTCAAAGTTATGTCCTGTATTGGAATTAAAAGTACCTATTATTATATCTACAATATGGTTATTCTACGTAGTAAATATAAATGAAATTGGTTCCGTCATTGCGTGTGATTGAATAGAATACTACCAAATGTTTTTTTACGATTATATTATTCGTAGAATTATAACTGTTATACTGTTAATAGTCGCTTATTGAATGTTTCGTATAAATTATAATTATCATATATTTCTCTAATTTTAATTGTCGCTTGTTGTTAATAGCTGTTTTACTTTAGTTGTAGTATTATACTAGCTATTACATCGGCTAGCCTACATTCTATTGGTATTTTTTCACGTCAGATACAAAAATTACAGTTGAATTAAAAACCTATTTTGAAGTCGGTTGAAAACAGAACATTGACTGTGACAACTGGATTTGATCCAGTCGGTTTCGGAACAGCTATTACAATGGCGTTATATGAAATATATTTCTCTTTAGTTTTACTATCAAAGTGTATTGGAATTGACTTAGATTATTATATTGATGGAGATACTTATAATAATGACACTAATATGGAACAAATAGAACGCAGATATGATGGTTCTTCCATATTGGCCGAAAATGTTGCTTTTACAAAAGCAGCTGCCTTGGCTACTAATGCCATGTTATTTAATGAATATCAAGAAGATGACGAGTTTAAAATATATTTAAAATTAAAAAAGAATGTCAAAATTACATTAAATTCTACATTAAATATATCTAATCATAGCATTCCAGTGAAAACATTAGGGACTCCAGATAAATTACCTAAGGTGTCTATTACTATGATGTCATTATCACCATTTGACGTGATAAATAATTACCAATATGATTATAGTGATGACGATACCCAACTCGAACTACCACGTGAGGATAATGTGCAACGAAGTGTTAATATTTCAGTGAACATTTCTAAAACGAATGACTCTCAGAATAATACCAATCAAAAGATATACTATGCAGACTTTTTTAATTTAAAGTCAGCTGCAGAAACTGTAAATTATAACCATAAAACCTCTGAAAGTAACACTTGGTATGTCCCAGAAAAATATCCTTGTTGGGAGTTGCCTGTTTTGTATGGAAAATTACGAAGAAAAAGTAATGCTTCAGATGTTTTTCATCTTTATGCTGGTAAATTAAGAAATGTAATAGATGATGAAAAACAAGAAAGTTCTTTATCTAAATCTTATGGTCAACCACCATTCCAAACATTTTACAATAAATGGTGTACTGTTAAACCTTGTTATGGTGACCATACTCTTTGTTTATTTCCTCACAAAACTATTTCTAAACTTTGCGATGCAGGGTACAAAGTTGAAAAACCCACCACCATACAACAAATTGCATTTGTTAATACTCTGAATTCTATGCGAAATAGTGTAGCTAATGGTGCATCACAAGAATACCCCCATTTTCCTTCCGCTGCTAACATGAAGCAAATCATATATGATTTAGATTTAGAAAGAATATCAGAAGCATGGTTGCGGCAATGTCTTCCTGGACCAGCACCTTGTTCTGCTCTTAATGGAAACTATATAACATCTTTAGAATGCACTAAAAGTGCCGAACACTGTTGCATACATTCTGACGCTACTTCTAAATGGTAATGTATACTTTTTGGAATAGCAACTTTTAAATTGATCATTATAAATACTTTCTCATTTTATAAAATTAGTAGATGAACTAAATTGATATTATTTAAGTGTGATTAAAATTTACAAATTTGGATTTTCGATTCTAAATGTCTATAATACAATATTATGTTTTGGTCTATACTTCTGATCTAATTATTATTTAAGATTTGTAATGTTTTGTTATTAGCATACCAAGGAATGAATGTCTTGTTTCACCTATACTTGGATGTATTTACATTTGGTTTCTGAGTGCTGGAAGTAAATTTAATGAAACTGACATAAAATGTGGTCATACAAGTCCCGTAACGTTTAATACTGCACAATTAATTTGGGCTAATACCAATAAAATTGGTTGCGCTTATGGTATAAGGACCAATGGCGATATTAGAGTAGTGTGTAATTTTGCACCTGGCGCACCTTTTTTTCTCAATACTAAGTATTATTGTGGATTTATTGCTCATAACGATATTTCAACTAAGATTCAATTAAAGGATTTAAATGTAACAGATCAAAAATACATCTCATTTTTGGGACTTCAATTGGACCCACCAGAGCATGAAATAATTTATGATAAAATGAAACAAAATTTTAATTATTCTAATATATCAAATAACGATTATTCAAAATTTTGGAGCTTGCACGATTTAAATAAGAAATATAATCAAACACAAATGAGGAAGAATGCAATAGGATATACTAATGGGACTATTGGAATTATAGCAAAATTAGTGACTAAATATACATTTTTTGACGAAAGCCAATCGAGATGTGATACAGGTGAGCCAATATACATTGTTGGGAGACCAGGCTCATTATGTATAGAAAAAAGTAGGCGGTTTCACGCTCTGTGCTACGATTTTAGAGATCCAACGCCTGGTTATAGATTGGTGGCTGTGATAGCACCTATTGCATTATTTTCGCTAATTTTATATGATTTATTTAGCGGTGTGGTGAGACAGACAAATTATTGATAAACAAATATATACATCTCAAGAACAAATACATTAATGTCTGTTAAAATATATATACTCTATCCTTTCTCGTCCCGGCGAATAAAAACGGAAAATTAATTGTCGAGAAATGGAAAGCAGCATCACTCTTTAAACATCACCAAAGACTAATTGCGGTTGCTAACCTGCCTTCCAGGCATGGCAACTACTGGCATGGATGATATGATATGATGATTCTACCATACCAAAAAACTAACGCAGTCTATTTGATATTTAAAATCAGAATCATGTTCTTTTTTTTGTTACCATTTGGTGCGAAGGACTGACCACCACAAAAATAACACTTCAAACTTATATAAAGTATTATGATTTATTATATAACCTTTAATACTTGTGCTTCACAAATAACAAATATTGAATTTATGTAATGGAATCCATTAATTTTCCGATCCAGAAACCATCAGAAATGTATTGTAATTTTAATAAAAATAGGTGAATTCCTAGTATTTCACCTATACTATATTCGTGTAATTACGTGTGCATAGAATAAATATTTAAATACGGTACTCACCTTTAGTGAAAAAGGTCGACACGGTTAATATCACAGCCAAAATACTCTGCTTCATACTTTGTCTTTTTATTTTAGTATATTATTTTATATGCTCTAAAGACTTGTATCGTATAAATGTAAATTTCATTTGTAGTATTCCAGATATCAACTTGGTGTTGTCAGTGTGTTGTACATTTCAGTATTATGTCACGTTTTTCAGATAGCCTGTGAATGAAAAAAGATAAAATAAGTATCTCAACCACACCATACAAACATACAATGCGGCCACGTGATCGATATAATAATCGCAATCGAGTTAGAAAATTATCCTATAATTATTTGCTCATGTCGACTGTGTTTCTCGAGACAAATTCAGTTTCATGTGTTCCTACCATTCGTTTTTAGGTTACAAAGGAACTCTCATGGTACGACTGCATTCATCCATCTATCCGTCATAGAGCTGTAACCAACAACTACTAATGCTAACAATATGAAATTTGGAATGCTTTTATGAACTTTTTAACTTATGAAAGAAAATGTGAGAAAAAAAAACTATTCCCCTTTATATCCAAAGTTTATGAAGCTAAAAAAATTATGGTTTATAGAGATATATACGAATGTATAGGAAAAATAAAATATTGTTTCTAACTGATACCGCTTTTGAGCAATTATTATAAAACCTCCAAAAACAAACTTATATGGTTCAGTTTTTAACCAAAATTATTATTAATATAAGAAATTGCAAATTGCAGCGTCAAAAATAATTAAAAATAGAAATAGATACCTAGTTATTTTGTTGTTAACAACTAGGTATCCATTTCTTATAACAATTACAATAAAGATATTTTGTCTTATAACTATGTATGTACGGAAACCTCGACGTGTGAGTTCAATTCGCACCTGCTCGATTGTTTTGGATGAAAATAAAGCGGAGCATCTATCTATGCTAACGGTATACAATCGCGGGACACCAGTGGAGGATCAACAGATGTAGATAGAAAGCAGATTACTTGGCCCATTCTGGTGAATTCACTATATCTCTTTGTTTGCAACGTTCTTAGCCTATCTTAGCCACCTATCAACCCACTGCTGGGCACAGGGCCTCTCCATAAAAAAGGATAGGTATAGTTTACTATTACTACACATGCGTTTTATTTCACATCTTACTTCCCATATTATGTCATGTTTATATCACTGTATTATGCAGCCATTATTAACAAGGTCTATGATTTATATTATACAACATTTAAATTGAAGTAGGTAATATCATATATGCATATTCAAGTAAGCGTATAATGTATAATGTGTTCGTGTGTTTTTCAAGGCTTTGACCTTTACAACAGCCTTTCTATCGTCTACTATTATAATTGACTGATATTATGAAAATTAAGTACCTAGTGAAAATAAGGATGTGATTTCTAATTACCGCTAAATAAAAATATGTACTGTTTGGCCTATCTATTCCATCATAAAATCAGACAAAAGTTAGAATGGCTAGCAACAACAATCCTTTTAAAATGACAAATCCCTTTTGAGCGACCACATGTCAACTATATCTAATCTAAAATTATAAAGAGGAAATAATTTATCTTTTGTTTGCAATACATAAACTTAATATTATAAAATGAAGATTATAAAATATTGAACCGATTTAAAATTTTTCATCAATAAAAAGATATATTATCCGTGAGTAATATGGGCTGTATTTTATTTACAAAAAATTAATAACAATAATCGCAAATATCTACCCGTTCGAATTCACAAGGAATAGCCAGTATATCATATTTTTTATTATATGGCAATTTATACTGTCAAATACATGATGATGCATGATCATTTTAGCCTTAAATGTTCACTCCTGAACATAAGTCTTACCCATATGGGGAGTTTTGCCTATATTTGCCACGCTTAGCAGACGTGTTGGCAACCGCAAATTAGAATTTTAAAGTTCTTTTAAGAGGGATGGTTCGTGTTTGATATATATTATAAATACTGTCAAAAAACATAATTTATATTTTAAGATTGAAAATACGCCCGCTAAGTAGAATTCTGTTTGCTGATCCACGAGAAAACGAGAAGCCGGATTGTTGCTTTCTGATCCTGCCTTATGCATACGGCAAGTCGTGTCTTTTGATAATAATTTGCCTCTTGTCTTAGAAGGTTGGAGATAATAAATTATACAAAAAATAGTGTAGTGTGTTAAGAACTTCCTTAATTGATTTAGATAAACTAGTGACTGTTTACTTTCAGAGGGGCTATAGGTTTGTTTCTCACCTTCGCGGTATGTAAAAAGACATAATCCTATAGATACTGTAATTACTCCTATAAGATTTAGGTAAAAACTATCTATATGGTACGCACTCATACAAAATGTGTTTGTTATCACTATTTAAAGATTTTCCTTCTCTAATAAGGGTTTTTGTCTAAGGTTCATGCCTATATTATCTATGCAAGGTGAATACTGTCAAATTAATGTGTTTACGAACTTTGAACACACACAAATAAATCAAAAATTTTTTACGTGTGCAAATATTGAGATATTTAATTCCATTCATAGCCATGAACAAATCAATACTGTGATTGTGAAATGTTCTGTATTTGAATAAAAGCTTATTGTGGTCGTATTCTTACGAAATGTAGTTGTTTTACGTAGACAATTTGAACACTAGCTAGACTACTTGTTAATAGTTACCTAATAGGAACAGTTGGGGTTATGGATTGGATAAAATAGGTATTATGGAATAATTTTCTATTGTTATGTACATATAGATAGATGTAAATATGTTAGAGATTTTTAAATTCAATATAACATAATAGTTAATAAAGCTACATTTATAATTAATAATACATTTAATTCTATTTAGAAACGAACATGTTGCATATATGAATACTGATATGAAATAATAATGTTTTAATCTTTGAAACGGAGGATGCGAGAACTATTGTAACTAATAGTTGATTTTTCTTTTCTTACATTTACTAAAAGTCAAAAAAACATCCGCTGATATAGGCGATGGTATCTAATCTCGATTCTATTTAATATAGATCGATCGGTGTTTTGGATTTAGAATTTGGATTTTTGGAAACCTCGAATTGCTACTTATGTTCTAATATATTATACTCGTAATAATCAGTTACGCGAACTCGGCCTTTTCTTTTTCATAAATAATTCATACTTAATCTTATTTTTTGTTTTATATAAAAATATTTAACATAATTTTCTTAATGTAGGATAAAAATAAATTAAAAAACATTTAAATTAAAAGTCATATAAACATGTATTGTAAAATATATTGATTTTGAGTAATTTTAACGATCACTCATTGCCAGGTGTGCGGTGTCAAGGACCATTTTCTATACTATTATTTATATACTCGAGTGAGTCAATGGCCTGCAATGTATGAATTGATATTGGCGCGTAGCCAGTTTTATGTTAGCCTACAGTGTCTAGAGACACTTGAGACACTTGTATATTTTTAAGCAACTTCCAAATTATGTTTTTCATTACTGTCAACTGATTTTTTTTATTGTTTTTAAAATTAATTAAGTTTACTTCCAGGCTACTTCCATTTAAATTTTATTTTGTGACAATGAGCAAAAATACTGCTTACAAAAATGCAGTTTAATCTAATATGTCTACGAATTATCTCGTCGTTGATCTGTGTGTTTAGTCACAATTGAAGTTGTTGTTTTTTGTCGATCAATATGTGTTTGTTTATGTGTAACAACGCAATTCCATCGTATTGCATATTATCTGCAACGTCATGGGCTGTTGTGAGACGTTTGCAAACATGTTGAGCGTTACGTGGTGCAACTCATTTATCAACTATAGCCTAACCATAAATATCACAATACTAGGCCAAGGGGGTAGCTAATTATAATAATAATATATTTTTATTATGAATTATAGGTTTGTTTGTTTTATTGTATATATTTACATTTAATATAGATATCAGGTTATACAAAAATGACAAGGTACACAGGTGGACTTGAAGACTTTGAAGATTTCTTTCAATCAACCTTATTAATAATATATATACAAAAATTTTCAAAAAAAAACCGTTCCAACTACAGCGACTGTCACCGCAGTTACTGTCCAAAGCAGCACATGCCCGGACAGTATTTGTGTCAGCCAATAGATCAGAACTTTACGGCGCCCGCCCATCCAATATTGTAATACCGGTCGAAGTTGCATTAACCTATGTATTGAAATACAAACAGTCAATTATAAATGCTAGTCTACATGTTCTGCAATACGAGTACGTCGTTTATCAACATTATTCAAACATAGTTCATCATCATTTTTGCTTAATAAGAACATGGCTTAAAGGTCAATCGCTTAATATTACGACTCATATGGACTTGCAGTGTTAAGTGATTTCATTTAACTCGACTAAGAACAAAGCTTACCGGTGCCATTGCTTAAAGGCGTTACAACATTCTGCGTCCTTACTTCAGTTTGCCGAGAAATATGTTTCAAAACTCTTTCAGGGAGATAAAACACCGTTTCAACTACTTGTTTTTTTTTTAAATACGCATTAAAATTCTGAAAATGCGTGTATATGCATTTGGTCGTGTGGTCCTGGCATACATTGAGCCATCCTCTCCTTTCCTGGGGATATTGTAGGAGAACTAAGGAAAGTTAATGATCGAGAGATATGTAGCAACGTCCCTCTTAAAGCTCCAAGCGTGGCAACTACAGGCCTATGTTCAGCAGTGGGACAGTTAACAGTTGATGTGATGATTTATGTACATTGTGTTACAATTTTTCAGAATCTATAATTCCTAACGTTTTACAAACCTATCTTAGTATCTGTATAAAAATCCTGTATCGCGGTGTTCGTTAAAGCTAATCACAAATAAGCGAAAATATTTTTTCAATTATTGCAATAACGATGGGTCAATGATATGTAAAACTATTCCAAATTTCAAATCGATAGCATTAGTAGTTGCTGAAATATAACGTTGTGACAGACAGGACGGACGGACAAAGTCGCACTTTTTTACTTTTTTGGGGTTCTTTTAGTACAGAATCCTAAAAATGGTTCCGATAGATAGTAAGGACCAAAATAACGTTTGGCTCGTCAGCTGATATAAAAAACGCACAAACCAATACAGACAAGCAATCGAATATGTAAGTAACTATTGAAAATTGAAGTAGGGGGAAAAGCTAGCAATATACCCTATCAGGTTTCCCCTGGAAAACATTGTAGTTAATTCTTGAA